CAACAAATCAACTAACTGCCGAAGAAAATAAAGATCGTCTGTCGGCATCGGTAGCAACACACACACGAAGAAGAAAAAGGAGAAAAAAGACGAAAATAAGATGTTTAACTTGTAAAGCTCAGAAGTTAAATTTAATGGTCGATTGCGATATGCCTCTTTTTACTTGGACTGTCAGAAATATTCGAATGGGAACTAATGATTGGACTTTCCATTTCCTTTGTAGTCGGGTAATCGAAAATTCACTTTCGATTACTTCTTTTCGAACAAGAAAAAAAATCCAACGGATGCACTGCAATCTCAAATTAATCGGATTTCATTGTTAGAAGATCCACAACTTCGTAAATTTGCAAAATTAACAAATATGAGTTCACCTGACATAGAAAATTTAAGTTTCCCACGAGCGTACACTCAAATCAATATCTACCTACTTTAAACCCGCGAAAAAATCAAAATTGATTACGCCATAATAGCATACAAACGTAAATGTGTGAGATGAGAATTTCGATAATGTTGTAGACGTTGTAGACTTTAGCAAAACGGATAACAACCTACCTAATGCCATTGAAACAACATGAAAGGTTAAAACTTCAGGCACAGGTGAAATGAACAAACATACAAATCCAAACAACCGCGCCGAGAATAGTGAAGAATTTTGCCATTAACCTAGAGCTCGAAGCGTCGATGTAATAATGCCGAGCTGGTGCCTCATATTCCGAACACACCTGCACACCTGTAGAGTACAAGGCATCCATAACTGATGTTTCACATTCGCAATTATGTAATAGGTGTGCTGCGTTCCGCGATACGGCGCTATAACTAAGATTCAAAGAGTTTAAGAGACAAGTTCAACAATGGCACACGGCGATATGCCTTGCACACAGCCAAGAAAGAGGGCTTTCAATCATCGGCGCCGTGACACTGACGAACGCTTGGCACGTAAATTATGAACTTGTTTATTGTAAGTTTGTAGAAAATAAGCAGCATGCAGCCGATATAACCAGTGCCGTTATTTCTGGGACCTACAAAACTTTGGCACACGCATTTTTCCAGCCGCACGACATCAATCATGATAAATATACCTAAATATAAATGTACACACCCTTGTCGAGGCCAATAATTCAATATTAATTGATTGCCGAAGAGAATAATAATAATAACGCACATTAAAGATTGGGAAATTCGAAATTCTAAATGATAGATGATCGGATACTTCATGCAACAATGCGGTCCAGCGCAGCGAATTACTTCAAGTCGGTTTACCTATTAATTAAAGACTAAATGCCCCCCATGCATGTGGGCGTTATTCACGGGCGCAGAATTCTCCCAAAACGAAATGTTTATCAAACCGTCAACGCTACGGCTAGAATGTTAATCGTTAAATAATGCCCGTATGCACGCGCGAGTCAATATTTCTCCACTGCACGCGCATGAATAATAATAATAAAAAAACTCACCCGTCGTGCAGTGCAACAACACAGCTCGTTGTGTCTGTGTTCGTTTTTTTTTTTGTAATATACTCGTGAAATCTACGAGGTCATCGTACCAAAATTCAATTACCAGTTGGGCATTACCCATGTGCCGCGCTTGTTATTATTTTTGATTGTGCTAACGCTTTCGCCATCGCAACGCACCAAACTGCGGCGAAAAGTAGGTACTGCAAGTGTACTTACTTACTTACCCGGGAGATTCACTTACTTGTGCTGACCCGAACACGTGGGATGTGCATCATTCATTGCATTATTTTTTCAAACGTTTATACCTTTGATTTATTGCTCTTTGATTATACTCGCATATTTTACCGAAGCGGGAGGGAAAAACCTTTGGGTTTGCGTGCATGCGCTGTGTGTGAATTAGAAAAAAGAGCTTCCCACAGCAAATAAAACTAATTAAAGTTTAGTTTGTAGATAAAAAGTTTTCCTACTTCTGTCTGGAAAATTTAACACGACAGCTTCGGCTTCATCTACTTCAGCACGCATCAGTATTTGTTTATGAAATTCCTCAAGACTGACGACGGGTATTTACATTGCCACCTAAACGCAATGACATGTGCGGCAGGAATACGTTCAATATTTGATTTAGTCGAATAAAAAAATACATTTTTTTATCTTCAGACGTAGGTAGCCATTGAATAGCAATTTTTGCAAAAAGTTACATTTTCCCATATTAGTTCGCAGTAAAAATTAGCAATGGGTGAGTTTATCTGGTGGAAAATTAGCGTGTGATGCATTTCTTACAAATAGTTGAGGCCTCCGAAACGTTTTATACTAATTTAGACAGCACTTTATTTACTGGTCAAGGGCGTAAATCAAATTATAATCCATTACACGTTCAGGATTACCATTCTCGTAGAAGATTTATTGCGCCATGCTACTCCCGAGTTTTGCTCACTCATGTAGTCGCGGCGAAAAAGTTCGCAAAACGACAACCATTCGTACTTCTTCTAAGATTAGTAACCAAACCAGTAATTATGGCGAATAGAAGAAATACATTTGTCCAAATTAGTGGACAAACCGGCGCAAACCGCTAATTAAATTTGCATGAGAAACGCAAGAGGTGGCCGGACGTTGGCGCAAAGCAGGAAGGGATAGAAAAAAGGACTTAAATATTTAACTCACTAGTTCAAGTTAACACTCACACCAACACACAACCACTGCGCTAGCCTTGAAGTTGTGATACTGTTTTTCGGTCGACGAACCCTTACGTTTCGTTCGGAGGGGTAATACACGCGCTACAAGACAAAGGTCCGAGACAGAAATGAAGAAAAAACATGACGCACACGTTCGCGGACAGGAAAAAAGTTGCGCCAAAAAGTCCCAAACCGATATTATCGAAGATACATTGTGCTTATATGCGTGCGGTATGCGGCGACGAAACCGCCAATTTGTGCCTGATAAATCATCCTTCCCAGAAGTCCCAAAAATACAAGCGTCGTGCTGTATATTGCTTACGATGAAACCGAGCCTAATAACAAGGGGCGAAAAAGTTCACCAAAGCGCGCACCGCAGGTCCCTCAACTTTGGAAATTTCCAAAACAAAGCGCACCCAAGCATACAAAACATAAACACCGCAGCTGAACTTCTTAGAGAACTTCGCAGGAAGATGATTACAATGACCACGAATTATGGTCTGATTAGTAAATTCGCAAAACCGAAAATTCCATTAATTTTGGCATTATTTTCGTTATCATTAAAAATATTGTAGTGTGCGAGAGGCGCAAAGTGTTTTTTACACGTTCCACTTGGGTGGCCTGCAATTGAATCACCGCATTACACAACTACACAAGTCATCCTGTGTCGGTGCAATAAAATAAAAGCGATCCAAATAATCGACAAGTGGCCGGCCGCATAAATGCGCAGTCGGCAACGTCAAACCGAAAGTGCACTTACTCGTTCACTACTAAAACTCGAACAGTAGTAGAGATATAAAAGCGTAATTGAAATTGACCACGTATATTTAACGACACTGCCGGCAAGTAAAAATTTAATGTTCTAGACCGAAGTACACACGAGTGACATTTACAGCCTATGGGATTTAAAACTATTCTGGGTGCGCAAATTATAATTACAGGCCATAATACTCATTTCTGTGCAGCAAATTATTAAAAACTGGGAACTCATTGTCGCTCTCCCCCACTCAGACCTCCGGTTGTGTCAGGATCGCTCGTGTTTAAGTAATCCTGTGCACGTACCTCCTCCCACCCTTTTTCGCAGGTCGGGCGCAGATGTAATGAACATCACGCCTAATAGTTCATCACTATTATATCAAAACAACTCATTTTATAATATAACAATAATAATAACAAAAACCACAAGTGGGCACGCTCACCATATCTGATAGTCGTAATAAACAAAATTTATATCATGAAATTTGTATTATGTAAATCTAAACATATGATATTAAACTTCGTGTGTAACTCTTGATAATACTAGGCTTTATAGGATTTAAAGTGCCATAGATATGAATATAAATATAGTCGAACATTAAACTCATTCAACCTTTATGCTCTTTCCATATACGTCTGTTTAATTATTCAAACAGAAAACCATAGCATGTATTTTCCTTAAAAACTTTGAAACCTATCATTTTGATTTTCATGCATTTAGAAATTATAATTCGCAAAAGTTTCGAGTCGCCCAGTAGCAGTATCTCGATAATCATAAAAAAACGAATAAAAGTCTAAACACATTTTCCCCTTCCGTACACACGAATTAAATAAAGGTCGTTAACTTTATAATTAATTATAATTAAAATAAGATTATACTCGACATTTATAAATACATACATATTCACATTGAAATCGTAGCAAAGTTGAATGTATGTATTCAAATCGTCTTCACCGGCACAAATTGGTCGCGTTTGAGACGACGGAAATGACTAAATATTCTGATTTAAAAAACATGGAAAACACAAACAACCTAAATCATCATAAATAAATATATGGCAATAATAAAAATATATAATTCTAGAATTAGTGGTGCAAATTCTAAAATGATTGCACTTTACGATCACTTTCATGTCTTTCATTTCTTGGTTTAATTTTTCCAATCATTACGCACGCTTTGCAAAAATAAACTACGTTCTAAAAGTCAGTGCAAAGAGTTCAATCACCGTATAAAAACCTATTAAATGCACAAATTAGTAGCAAATTTATGATTAATTATAATAACGCGCAGCCGATGAGTTTCATAAGCAACTTAGATGAAGAAGCAAATAGCTATGCAAAAAGATTTAAATTTATGCAGCTTGGGGTTGCAGCACACCGAAAATTGATGCGGCGCGCTTTAAACCGAAAGTTGCTGCGCTGCAGCAAAGTTGCAATCAGCTAGACAAGCTGCTGCTGCTGCAGCATGAGGGTGCATACGATGATTTATCGTTTGCAAAAAGGTGCAACTTAAACATTCGAGGCATGCCTTTTCGTAAATAAGCAATCTCGCCCGACGAGCCAGACACCGTCTGCTAGTTATTGCCTATATTTTGTGCAAATATCTACATCTTCTTACCTTTAAGTTTAGTACTCTCGATTGCAAACATGTTCAACGCCAGCAGTTGTAGAAATCTACTCGAAGGCAATGGCACTGGCGAGTGCTGCAGTAGAGCACGAAATTCTTTCAGCATTTGCAATGCCGTTTCGTGAAATGTCTCCATACTGAAATAGAAAAAATAATAAAATTACTTCTTTTTATTTATTATTCTCATTAAAATAAAAAATAGTGATAAATGTGATTCTCATCACTTTATCGGGCTACAATTAGACAGAAACCCGATCTTTTGAGCGTTCACATAATTTCAGTTTCGTGTCAATAATAGTTGCGCCTAATCCGGTCGGCTTCTTATAAATGTCTCAATTATCGCCTAACAGTTTCTCATCAACGCGTGTTTCGAATCCATATGTACGGTAAATTTAATCAAATTCCATGAAAATGAGTAATAATGCGAATGTACACAGTACGTGGAAACTATCGAATCAAAGTCTTCATTCTTCACCCGGAATACCCGAGATGTGTGTTATTACACACACAGAATTTCCGCGTCAAGTTTGCGTGCCTCAAACAAGCACATAGCATAGCATAGCATTGAACCTTAATACCCTCTCGTTCGCAAAGAGACGAGTCAACTTGAACAAGTTAAACACTTATTTAAAGAAAGCAACAAATTTCCAATCGGAAAATAATTGTGCGCATGATAGTAATTTATCAACGATTAGATTCAGATGAAGATGCACACACACACTACCAACGCACACGTAATTAATCTTATTATTACGTAGTTACGTTGATCACATTTCACATTTTGTCAGATCGCGTCTCCGGCGCTCTTTCGAAAATCCGTGCGCAACTTCTATATCATAATGATGTGTGTTCGTCAATGCGTATCGCCATCATGAAATAATAAATGATCTTTTTCGAGCATGTGAAGATGCTCAAAAACGCACGCGGCTCGCGTATTACGGCAACGCGTACGCGGAGGAAAAATCAAATGAGCTGTTATGCAATGAATAACTGCACACGAAATTAAAGCACATCGCAGCGCGCAAGACAGCAATGGCGCATGTTCTAATGAGAAAATATAATTACAGTGTAATGCATACAACGAATCAAGAAAATATTTTCATATCTTAACTAGGCGGAATCACAACTTTACAAAAACTGGATGATAATTCGTAGAATTAAGTTTATTTTTATACATTTACGACAATGTTTGTGTTACTTATGTATCCGGCGAATGAAAATGACTATGCATGTATAAAGTGATTAAAAAGCTATCCCCAGTGGCAAACCGAAACGATCTTGCTAAAAGGTAATTGATTTTTGTATAATCCAAATCTGGCCCGAGTAGCTTTTACTGTTACACGATTTTTCTTCGAATGTAAGTCGCTGCCGGCAAATTACAGCAACCAAGTTGTAGCAGGCGTCAAAATTTCGCAAATCTGTACCGATATTATTCGCAGTATTAAAATGACACGTAGACAATTATCGACTGCTGCAACTTGTTCTCTTGCAGGTTGTGCTCGGTGTGAAACAGTGATAATTTGCAGCGACTGCGCTCCGTAACAAATTACAGTGGTAAGTGTAACACGTTAGTGTTCGCGGGTGTCTGCACGCAGGTTGTTTCCCCGCGACGCTAAAATATTGCACCATTTATAAGCCTTCTACTCCTGCATGTCGGAAAGTTGCGCACGACGCACCAAAGTCGCTCATTTAAATTCATGCACGAGACTTATCATGCAATTATAATTACAATGAGGAAAATTATTGCACACTCCCAGCGTGCAGGGCCCGCGAGCGCAAAGCGTTAAAGCAGAGCTAAAGATAAAATCCCCCATCCAAAGAGTAACTTAAGCTACTTCAATGCTAATGCTTTGTGATGCATTTGCACACTCTCTCACATACACACACCGCACATAAATCTACAATGTGTGACTCACCCGATTTTCGTGATGAGTTTGCCGTGCACGTGAAGATAACTCGTCACAAATCTTTTATTCACCTGTAAATCAAATGCATCCGGTTAAAATCTCGTAATTAAAATGATGACATGATGAGTGGTGAATTCACTTACTTCGACGCTCGTTAACGCCGCCAAGTCCTCCTCCTCAGAGTCGAACGTTTTGGTATCTTGCAGCGTCGACGTGGTGCGATGCATGCGGCGCCCGCCATCAGGTCGAATCCATGTTTCTTTGCGCAGTGAGCCATGCTTACTCTTCGCATTTTCCGACTCTTTTTCTTTCATGTGTTGACGGGCTTTTTCCAGTCGCTCCTCACGTCGTTTACGCTCATGCTCATACTGAAGGGGTGCATACAAATTGAATTACTTTGCGAGAAAGTTGATGCGAATTAAATTAACGTGTGTGTGTGTGTGTGTGTTGATATCAAATAACAAATTGTGTCTGCGATGGCCGAGCGCGCTGCAGCTCACATCGCATACGAAATGGGTCGCACAAATTTTATGCATAATTATATTACTAGTGAACTCTTACTGTTCTATGACCCTACGCGACGCAGACAATAAATCATAAAATACGTACATAGATTTGATGCAGATACTGCCGCATATTTAAATGGGAAAGAAGCGTATTAGTTAATTGTTATTAGTACATTAGGGACCATGAAATAACGAATAATTTATATTTTCCTAATATAAATATATAAAAATATCCATTTCAATGCCCCAAACCATTAGTAATGAAAGAATGGCAACACAACATTTGACACTCACCTTTTTACGATTTTCATCAAATAAAGAGATCAAACACTCCCTGGCTGATGGAACAGGATTCGTCGACATCAAACTACGCATGTAATAGTAAACCGCATCCAATCTTTTCTTCTGTAAACATAATTTTACATAAAAATGTTTTTAAACTTAATTTTTTTTATGTTACTTACAGAATAAAACGCCAACACTGCCAATTGATTGTATGGCCGTCCATTTTTCGGATTTATCTCATGCGCCTTAATATACAACCTAAAACAATTAATAATTTTTAAAATATTGCAAATAATCCTTTATAATATACATACTGTCGACATTTGCCGTAATTTGTTGTGTCGCTCACAGTCTCCTTATACCTATACAAATCTCCCAGACAAATATAAATCTTCTGCGCTGATATCAACGCTAGTTGAACATAACCCGTACTTTTCGTGTGAGCTTTAGTGCCGGTGTAATTCTCCAACTTAAAATTGAACTTATCTTGCAAACTATCCAAGAGTTTCTCATAATAATCAGTCCCTTCTATGATAAGCTTCAACAAGAAATCTTTATACTGTTTGCTATTGTCTGGATCTTTAACAATAGCCTTGCGCATTATTTCAATAAAATTGTAATACAACAGTTTCCAGAAGTATTGCTCAATGTTCTCTTGTTCAGCAAACTTCATATCCTCTCGTAACAAATACACCAGCGCATCCTGCAAAAACTTTCGGCAACTGTGAATATGCAACCAGGATTGTAGAATGTATTGTGGACTGGTGAAATTTAGCATTTCCGCATCAACTTTTCGGATGTTCTTTAACAAATCAGGATAGTGTGAAAGTTTGAAATTATCAGAGTTTTCATGGTGCCATGCAGGACGCACATTTCCCAATTGATCCGTACATGTATAAGACTGCGTTTCAGTAATTTCCGAAAAACTGTGCGAGCTCACACGAGAATTCGGTTTGTTAATGATAATCGGTTTATGCGGATTTTGTGGATCGAATAAAGTTTTCTGCGATGCTGAATGCGTATGCGTTGTTGTTGCTTGTCCAGGTGAGCGGCGATTTTCAGACATAGGACGATCCTTAATTGTAAGCACAGGCGGTTTAGGTCCTTCCTTCGGTAGATGTAAAAGTCCACCACGTCGGACATTATCATCGCGATCTGAAGTGCGCCGTAAACGAGGTTCCTTCTCCACGGTACGTGCACGAATCTCTTCTCGCCAGTTTACCTCTGAACTATCGCTACAACTTATCTTTCTGTGACGTTCAAATGAAGGTTCACGTGATCCATTTCGTGAGCGAGTCTGGCCACGGTCAAAACTACGATCTCGGCGCGGCCGCGCATCTGGAACTTTAAACTGATGATCTCCTGAATTTTTACGGGTGCGATTTTGATGAGAGTGGCGAGGTTCCGAGTGACGATTTTGATTCTCCACACTTCTGTCACGATTGCTACTTGTACTCCTAAAGTTTTACAAATATTTTATCACAAAATGAATGATAATATTTATACTATACCTTCTATTTCTGCGATCTCTTTTTTTGCGTCCACGTCTTGGTCTTGACGGTGGTTTAGTAACAGACTCTGTAAGGCTAGTCATAGATGAACTTCGAGTCAGAGCGTCACTCAAACCTTCTTCAAGATTTTTCACATGCATTTCTACCTCTTCACTCCAATCCTAAAATTATTCTATCAATACAAAATATAATCTCATGAAAAACAAAACATACAAATATTTCATTACTAAATGCATCACATTCAATTTGTATTTGTATTTTGCCTGCAGGTGGAGATGTTATTTTGGTTGCCGACAATTTTTCTTGTATTAAATGAATATCTTCATGCTTAACATCGTCAGCCTCTATTTCTTTGTGTCTATCACTTTCTTTATCACGTAAATAATTCCTATTTTGATTCTGATGCCTCGGATATCTGCTCGAATTATAGTTATAATCGTCTTTTCTATTGTTTACCGGTGTTTGCGAGCGTGAATCACCGCGATTCAAGCTCTCATTACTGCGCGTCCGACTTGAATGTGATAAGGTGGGTGTACTATTCGATGAGCTGTGCGAACTGAACTTATCTGGTGTAGCCGGGCGATATGGCAACATTCCTGGCTTGTTTCCTATATTACCATAATCCATATTAATACGACCTCTACCCCTTGGTCGATTATTGGGTAAAGTATTATAAATTCTGTTGTTTGCCGACACGTGCTGGTTTGATTGCAATGCATTTCCCTTCGAATTTTGCGTAGTACCCTGAAATGTAATGCTGGAGCCGTCCCAAGATTCCTCAGGGACTTGATTACATGCTAGTAAACCGGCTTCTTCTAATCGTTTCTTGCGCAATCGTGGCGGAAGATTGTCCAGTTTGATTTGTGGTTTTTGTCTTTTATCAGGCTCTACCCCGATGGTGCTGTGACGCCGTCCGGACGGTGGTTTCGCATTCGGGGGATTACGCGATTGTATTTCATGTTGGTATGCACGTGATGCATGCGCTGGTTCTACGCTGCGCGTATCACGTACGCGGTCCCATGATTGTTGCTGTGGCCTTGGTTCGGATCCTATAAAATATTATTACATAAAATAAAATTGTTTTTAGAACATTTTCACTTTAAAAAAGCATACCCTGACGATATGTTCGGTTTGGCGACGCATTCCTCCACTCATCTTGTGAATCATTCCCTTTTCTCTTACTAGAATACCTCTTATTTCTATGAGAATGTCTATCATGTTCTTGATTATGACTGCCATTTAAATTATGATCATTTCTATCCATGTAATCATTCCTAAATCTTTCTTTTTCCTTTTTATCATATCTATCCTTGTTACTTCTCTCATTCTTAATGATTTCCTGTTCAATCTGGACTTTCTTCTCACTCTCCTGTCTGGCCTTTGCAACTGGGGTTGGAACATAGATTTGTTGCTCAGGTTTTCTATTCCTTTTTCTGTCTCCTTGTTCTGGTTTATCTTGCAATTGTTCATTGACACTTTCAGGTATTGTCCTACTAAACTCCTCCTGTCGGAAGCGATTCATACGACTGGCCGCGATATTTTTCACTGGTTTACTCATAGTGGTTTCTTCTTCAGTTGTGTCTGACTTTCGAAGAGGCCCACATCCTGGTTTGTACAAGGCTTGTTGGGGCCGATTATTACCGCGCCGTGTGTTTTCTTGCATTTGCAGCTCAAGTGCTTTGAATGGGCGTGCTTAACTTGTGCGTTAATCGAAGTGCCTGTAATATGATTTGTTTATAAACAGTGTGATTGTGAGGTCTGCGCTTAGGGGAGGTTAGGTTTGTAGATTTCTTACGTAAAATTTCACCACGACTCTTGGTCGCAGTCCGCGTAGGCGCGCGAAACGGCAGGTGAGCCAAAAACCTTCAAGATTCACACAGAATTGCGCTGGTTTGTTAAGAAAATACTGTACACCACAATGATTCCTATAACGAAGATTCCATACGAGTTGTAAGCAGAAAATATCAACAAATTGGCGGCGTATTTCTCGCGTGTGTATTAAGATGTCTCACTCTTTAATATGTGAAAGCAATATGTTCGTCTCTCGTGTTATTGTGTTTTGGTGAAAATGTGCCGCACGTCAATTCCGGTTACAAAATGTCAAATAAATATCTGTAATAATAGGCAACCTGTTATCAAAGGAGCATTTATCAGTTTGTTTAATACGTCAACACTTTCACAATCATTTCCTATATTTGCGATATAAACTACTATGACTTCTTCTGTAAACATTTATTCAAAAAATGCATATCGCGCAATGCTGTACAATTGGTTGCCTATCTAAGAATATTTTGAATTAAATATTCAATTCTGACAAGATGCAATAAATAGATTTATCTTTTACTTAAATATATTCTTGTCATGATTGTTCAGGAGAATAAAAACTTATAGAACAAAGTAGTATAATAAATTAAAATCTACAAGAGCAATCAAAGTTGGTCGCATATTATATAAAATATTACTGAGATAAAACAAGGCTTAATCTAATTATGCTATTTATGTGTCATCCGATGGTTCCTGCAACAACAATAAGTATTAAAACATTCAAAATAACAACTGAATAATTAACGTACCACATTTTCATTCGTAACATTCAAAGATTTCTTCGCCGGTTTCTTTTCCTTTTTCTGTACTTCTGTGGTCACAAATTGTCCTTGATACTCAAGATCAGAGTCATTTTGATCAAAGAAATCAAGTGATGGACGCCCGCTACTTTGATCCATACTCTCATCAAGAATCGAGATTGACGAAAGATTTAAGTCTTTGTATTGCAATACTCTTTTCGATACTTTTCGGGGAATGTTGTAAGTAATACGGTTTTTGTGTGATGGTGTCTCACCGCTGGGTTTGAGAATTTGCAGACTGGAAATAAAACTATTGCCCACGCCACTCAACTCGGCGAGACTTCTGCTACATTCTTGAATACCGCTTTTCACTGTGTCGATGACAGTTGCAATTTTGTGTGCTTGCGTTTTATTGTAATGTGTAACATCCGACAGAGATTCTTGAGTACGTTTCAAGGACTCCGATTTCAATTCATATGCTTTCTGCACATAATTCTCCAGATTCTTTTGAACTGCAACCTCGAACTTTTCAGCTTCCAATTTCCTTTCATCAACTTGTAAAATAAATTGTTCTGATTTTGCATTAATTATCTCTGCAGCAGTGCCATTTGCAACTGTGTGTTTCTTCTGAATCTCTAATACATTGTTTGTAAGATGATCAAATGCAGTATTAGTTAATTCAATTGCATTCAAACCAACTTTACTGATGCCATCAAGTTTATTTTTAGTGTTTGCTACTTGCGCCTTTGTAACTTCTTCATACTGAGCCCATTTACTATCTGCATCCGTATTCAAAGTCATAGTTTTCTCCGAAAGTTTATTTAACAAATCATGATGATTATTTGCCAGTTGATCAGTTTTCTTCATAAAAGCATCAAAAGCTTTTTGCAACTCAAGTCGTTCTTTCGCCGCATCATCGACAGGTTTCTTTAAAACTTTCATCTCCGCAGATAACTGCGCTAGACGTTCATTTGTTTCCTTAAGAATAATTCGCACCTTTGCGATAGTCGCATCATTTTTATGCTTTACATCTTTCGCCACTTCATTTACGCTACATTGCCAATTTTTAAAGATCTCATTGTACGCAGTTTTATTAGTTTCAATATACGAACAAACTTGGTTCAAACTAGTGTGCATAAGAGAATTTTCCTTTTCAAGGTGCTCCTTGATAATTTGCATAGTGTCAGTGGATAAATTACATTGTTGTTCAAGTGCATCTAATCTTTGTGCTTGTCCTATTTTCATTTGTTCCGAAACGCTTTGAATGGACTCGATATATGAGCTCACTATATTAGCAGAAGCAATTTCCACGCGGTTAATACAACTGGACTGTTGTTGAACAAATTCCAAAGTGGAAGTTTTTGTATCTTGTAATTGGCGGATCAAATCTTCATGTAATTTGTCATAGTAATCCTCAATAGTACCCGTGATGTGAGATTGTTCTTGTTTAAAACAATCCGTTGCATTTTCATTCTCTTGCATTGACTCATAAAATCGCTTCAACTTGTCACATAAAATATTATGCTCTCTGATGTGATTATCAAATGCTGCAGACATTTCTTTCGATGTTTTAAAGTGCTGCGATTCTGTTTCGGAATACTTGTCGATCAATTCCTGACGAATATGTCTATCACGACATAGCTGTTTCAAATGCACCTTGGATTTTTGTAGCGTGCTTTTCGCCTCGGTTAAATCTTGCTGTGTTGCAGAATAAACTTCTTCCAAATCAGTACATTGCCTTTGCAATTCACTTGCTCTACTTTCGAATTCAGCGCATTCCTTCACTGCCCGTAAATATTCCTCTTTATTTGAGATATTTTCTCTAATTAACGATTGATAACTATCGGCATTGAGATAAAATCCTTCGCCTTTGCGTGCTGCAGTTAAATCTTTTTTAATTTATCAATCTCTTCCAAGTAGCCTTTAATCATAGCAGTTTTACATAGTCGTTGATTAACTTCAGGTTTAGTAATAATATTTCTGGCGCGATATGCATAATCTAAAGTGCTCAGTGTTTCTTCCAAGTTAGTTATTGATGGTGAAGCAGTTGCTATAATTGTTGTCTTGGTCTTTCCCCCTAAACTATCTTGTAAAATTCGTGTCAATTTGGATTCGCGATAGGGAATATGCCCAGCTTTATCAACTAAAGCCTTAATAACTCGTCCTAATGTCAGGAGACTTTGATTAATATTGCCTGCTTCACGTGCTCTCTGATCCACCGCGCCTGAACGTTGAATATTCTCAGAACCAGCCAAATCCACCAGATTAAGTTTGCCTGTTTTAACCAATTCTTCACCTTCAGGCGTTGTTTCTTTCATGTGCACAGTAATAGTAAACACAGAATGACTCCTACTTGAATGTTGATTCATATAAGTCGCGGCAATTTTACGTTTTTCTGAGCCAGTTCTGAGTAGATCATAAACATCAGTTTTGCTGTAAACTGTCTTTTCTTCTAGGCCATGGATTTGTACAGAGCTTTTGTTTTTGGATCTTCATATATTCTGTATGAATAAGATTAAGGTTTAATTACACAAACAATACAAAATTACTGATATATTTACCTCAAGCTTTTATCATCAGTTGAAAGTAAGTCATTTAATACTTCATTGTAAATTTCAAGATATGAAACTCTGATGGTATAATCCAACTCTTTTTCCCTGCCAAGACTGTCAAAGATATGTCCCATAGCCCTGGGAATAATTCCCACATCAGAGTCAGCATTAAAAGTCATTGCATTTTCCGTAAGTTCTGGTCCAACCATTGTGTGTGTTTTTCCACTGCCAGTTTGTCCATAAGCAAACACAGTACAATTGTATCCTTTGAGTACTTCTTGGATGATTGGACTGATAGCTTCCTTGTAGATATTAACTTGTTTTGAGTGGATATCAAATACTTTGTCAAATGTAAACCGGCGAGTGCCGTGAGTTTGAGGGACAACAATATCTCTGCCATTGACTTGCATAAAGTGATTTGCATTGTGTAGTTTTTCAGAATCATTGAAGGGCCTTAAATAATCATTAATTGTTAAGAAATACTGTGAAATACGCTAGTAAAAATATTGTAAACTTACCGAATACGTGCAAAGACTTGTATGTGCTGTTTATCCTTTCTCTCCTTGCCATTCATTATTGCTAAATTTTTATAAAAACACTGAGAAACACACGTTCCAACGAACTAACGTACTTCAAAATGGCAGAAATGCACGCTTTATAGAGGGCGCTAAAATCTTAACGGCTGTTCGCGTTGTGTACAAAATTTTAAATGTTTAGCCAATCAGAAAACAGGGATAGTTGACATTCTGTGCTAGGGGTGGCGCGCAGTGCAAGTTGTTAGGAGGGGATCAACCACATGAGAGTAAATGTTAACTGTTGTCCACAACAATTCCTTAATGAAGTCGCGGGCGGTATTTAAATAAACATTTTAGCGAATTATAAAAATAGAATTATATATACTAATTCAAATCAGCATAAACTATTGTAAATCATCAATTGACTGGCACTTCTTCTTTTCTTCATTCAAAGAACAGGCGGATTTTAAAAGGTAAAAATGCAAAAACAACACTCAATTAAAGTGCCCCAATTGTATAAAATAACTTCCAACATATATAAAAAAGTGAAAGATGAAGGTGCCAGCCTTAAAAACCTCGTGTACGACGCGAATCATCCGGTAAGTGGAATCCCATAAAAGGTTATGTGAAGTCACATGTTGCCTTTGTTTTCTTTCTAATTTGTTTAATAACGATACAATATTGTTTCAGAATAAAAAGGCAATTTACGCGTTAGTCCTCACAACTATTCAGAGAGACACACAAATTGATTTTTTAATGAAAAAAGCCCAATTTCTCACAAAAGAACCAGGAATCCAGGTGCCGCTTGCCAAAGTTCTTATTGCAGAACTTCTCTGGGGCAAAAAACGCCTTGCATCTGAATGTAGACCTGTGAAAACAGTACTGGCATATGAGCAGATATTTCAGGCCCATTCCTCTGACATAAAAGATGGTTTTCAGGAGCCTCTGATTCAAAAAGGTAACTTTATTTTTGTTTTCTAGATGGATACATCCAATGAACCATTACTTCCTCCACACACAAGACAAGCAACAGCAGCAATTCTAGTGCTATTGTTCTTTAGCACTTTAATGTTCTCATTGCCTTTTGGCGTTTTCTTTGGAATTCAACATGTGTTAAAAGTGTATTTTGACATTACTGGTTTTCAAAATACTGTAGCATCAGTACTTGGTGCGGTTGTCACTGTAAACTTGATTATTGTTGCATATGTATACTATGCATACAAAGAACAAGAATATGATGATCAGGGCAATAAAATTGACACATTAAATGTTGGTACAAAGATTGTACCCAACAAACCTGAGTCAAAGAAAAGAAATAATAGTATTCTATGTGCATGATACTTATTTTAGTATTAACTATTTTGTAATCTTAAATTTTAAGACTAATAAATCTATAATAATAGTGTTTTTGTTTGTTTGTAGTGTGTAAGCCCCGTTTTGTGCGAGTTAACACCTTGAAACTGGCCGTAAATGAAGCTGTTGACGCGTTTCGTGATGAAGGTTGGATTTTGAGACGTTATATGGGTGATAACTATCAGGAATTTCTAGAGCAAGTTAATAACTTGTCGGAATCCGAGTTTATGGTCGATTTACATGTCGATGATTTGTTGATTTTTCCGCCACGCACACAATTCTATAAACATGTCGCTTATAAATGCGGAGAGATTATTTTACAAGACAAAGTAAGTTCAAATTTAATGATTTACTGAATTTATACCTAATTTATAACTATTTAGGCTAGTTGCTTGCCTGTCACATTATTAAATCCACCTCCAGGAGCACTAGTGTTAGATATGTGTGCAGCTCCAGGTATGAAGACTACTCAACTAGCAGCACTTGTACAAAATTCTGGTAAGGTATTCGCGGTTGAAAAAGATGCAAAGCGCATGGAAACTCTGCGTGCGATGGTGGAATCTTCAGGTGCAACTTGTGTGGAGACTGTTTTCAAAGATGTACTCACTGTGGACGGAACTGTACTTCCAGATGTTGAGTACATTTTAGTAGATCCATCTTGCTCTGGTTCAGGTAAGAAATTTTTCTTGTGTTTGTTTGTCATGATTAAATTTTTATTTACTTCCTTATATACAGGAATAACGGATCGTTTTGAAATTGAAAATGTTTCAACTCCGGCCGATCGCATTAATAAATTGTCAGGTTTTCAAATAATGGCATTAAAACATGCCATGCGCGCTTTTCCGAAGGTGAAACGCATTGTATATTCTACGTGTTCAATTTTACCTGAAGAGAATGAAGCTGTTGTCCAGGATGTTATTAGGTGTAATTCTAATTTTAAATTGGTTAATGCTAAAGAATTGCTTAAGTCTTGGGACAATTTTGGCTCGGACGCGTATGAAGTGGGAAAATATTGTATTTACTCTCGCCCTGAATATGATTTAACAAATGGATTTTTTGTTGCGGTTTTTGAACGACTTCAAGATGGTGAATCGAATGAATTTTTGAAAAAAGATGTTAATTCTGAAGATATTAAACAGTCAAAAAAGAAAAAGAAATCACAAATCAATCAAAATAATAATTATGAGCATGATCAATCTATAGAATTATGTGATTCTGAAAAAACTACTGATATTTTGCATAATGAAGAACAAGATTGTGATAATTCTATTAAAAAATCTAAGAAAAAGAAAAAAATGAAATCTGATACAGATGTAGATCAAACACAATGCAATATAGAGAATGTTGAACAGGATTTGGATAAAAAGACCAAAAAAGAAGAAAAGGAAACAAACAGAAATTGAAGACATGCAAGGCCAAAACAAAATAGATGAACATGAAAGTACTTCTCCTGAAAAAAAGAAAAAGAAGAAGAAGAATGAAAAACTTGATGAAGAATCAACAGTTTTGGATTCCACAACAACTAAAAAGAAGAAATCAAAGAAAAACAGAGATGAGAGTTAATTTCATGAACATTATAATCTTGACAGATAAATATTTTTTCAACATGATTTATTAATGTTATAAGTTTATTTCATTTCATTTATATCCCTAGCATTACGTAGTTATTTTCACATTAATTACACATAGTAATAGTTAATATTTTGCATGTACAGAATTTCTCAGTGCACTAGGCAATAATTTAACACGCCTGGGGAAGTTTTATGTAAAATGTAAGGTTAGAGTCGCGTCAAGAAGCGTCACATAATGTAAACATACGTGAAAATGCCGCCACAGTTTTAGTGAAATTTGTTAAAGAAACGCATTTATGTAAATAATTACGCACTCAAAATGAAGAAAGAACGAACTGGAGACACTTGTCGACCATATAAATTATAAGTATCTTTTGTTTTCCATGGGTTTCTTAAAATAATCATTAAAATAACCTCGCAATTTCTAATTGTTTACAGCTCATCAAATATTAAGTTTAACAGGAATTAGCTTCGATCGTAAGAGTATTATAGTACGTAGATGCTTTATTAATTTTCCTAGATCATTTTTAATCCATTTATTTGTGTTGTAGGGATTTGTAGAGTTAACTGTTGTTCCACTTAGGGACAACCTAAGAAACATAAAACTCAATGCAAAGCAATGCAGAATCTACCGAGTTATATTAAATGAAACATATGAAACACAATTTCAATATTTTGATCCTTTTCTTGATATATGCCAGGGTGATGAAGAAACAAGATCACTGGAAACTTTTAGTGCTCATCATTTATCTGCAGCATTGAAGATTGATCCTGATAACAGTGCTGGAGAGTTAGTTATCAATATACCTGCAGAAGCAGTTCATTTAATAGCTGAAGGAACTGCACTCAGAGTTGGTATTGAATTTTCCCTTGAACAACCTGAAGGTGGTATTCATTTTGTGGTCCCACCTGGGGAAGGCACTTTTGCTGAGGTGAGTCTTATTATAGATGTATGCTTTGTGTTTTTTAATTAAATACTTATTATTTCGTTAGCGCGGGGTACACATGTATTCTTATGGTCATCAAAACGCATCTCGTTTGTGGTTTCCTTGTGTCGACAGTTATGCTGAACCATGCACATGGAAACTAGAATTTACCGTTGATGATAATATGACGGCGATTTCAAATGGTGATCTACAAGAAGTGGTTTTTACGCCAGATATGCGACGAAAAACATTTCATTATTCCTTAAATATTCCGACATGTGCGCCAAATATATCTCTGGCAGTGGGGCCGTTTGAAATCTACGTTGATCCATATATGCACGAAGTAACGCACTTTTGCCTACCACAGTTACTGCCACTTTTAAAAGTCACCACGACTTTTATGCATGAAGCTTTTGAGTTCTTTGAGGAGACATTAGCAAATCGCTACCCGTACTCTTGCTATAAACAGGTTTTTGTGGATGAAGTACATGAAGATCACAGATCGTATGCGACAATGGCTATTTTAAGCACAAACTTGTTACATTCGGCTGTGATTATTGATCAGGTGTATATTACGCGACGTGCGATGGCGCAAGCAATTGCCGAGCAATTTTTCGGATGTTTTATATCGATGCAAAACTGGTCGGATATGTGGCTGCCAAAAGGTATAAGTCAATACTTATGTGGACTTTACGCTAAAAAATGTTTTGGAAATAATGAATACCGAGAATTTGTCCAATCTACACTCCAAGAGGTGGTGAAATATGAAGAGGAATATGGTGGGATTATATTAGATCCCAGTCAGCCACCGGCGCCACTTCCAGTGGCTTCCAATACGTCGCAAATGCATTCGAAACATCAGGAGGCACATTTTTATTTTTCAATCAAGAATTTACACACGCAATCACCATTATACGTTGAGACACTCTACAAGAAAGCGTTTTTGGTGATGAGAATGTTGGAACATCGGATTGGCTTGGAGTTGCTATTGCAAGTATTTAATAAGCAACTGTCTCTAGCTTCGAATGCTTCCAGTCAGAAAATTGGAAGTGGCCTCTGGGGCCACATGTTGATCAGTACTAACTTATTTACTAAAGCAATTTTTACCGTTACTGGAAAAGACATGGCGGTTTTTATCGATCAATGGGTACGAACTGGAGGGCATGCAAAGTTTCATTTGACTTCTGTATTCAACAGAAAACGTAACACCATTGAGTTAGAAATCAGGCAGGATGCTACTACACAAACCGGGATTCGAAAATATGTTGGACCACTTTTAGTTACATTACAGGAACTGGATGGAACTTTTAAGCATAATTTACAAATTGAGAATACTGTGGTTAAGTCGGATATTACATGTCATTCCAAAAGTAGAAGAAATAAGAAGAAAAAGATTCCTTTGTGCACTGGGGAAGAAGTTGATATGGATTTAAGTGCTATGGAGTATGTTTCCTTTATCTATCAAAATCTTTGTAGAAGTAAATCATTTCGTGTCTTTTTTTATAGCGATTCACCTGTTTTGTGGATCCGGCTTGATCCTGACATGACTCTACTGAGATCTGTTGTGATTGAGCAACCCGACTATCAATGGCAGTATCAATTACGGCATGAACGCGACGTTACGGCACAAATGGAAGCCATCATGGCTTTGGAACGTTATCCAACACCGGCTACAAGATTATCTCTCACGGATACGATCGAGAACGAACAATGTTTCTACAAAGTACGATGTCGTGCGGCCCACTGTTTAACTAAGGTACAAAACTTGTTCTTGCAATTGAATGTTTCTTTCCGTTTTACGGTTTTACACCTGTGCTATTTTTTATATTGTACTGTTTTCTAGGTAGCTAATGCCATGATTAACTGGGCTGGTCCACCAGCAATGCTTGCTATTTTTCGCAAACTGTTTGGTTCGTTTGCAGCGCCACATATTATTCGGCAGAATACGTTTAGCAATTTTCAACATTACTTTATTCAGAAAACAATTCCCGTAGCGATGGCTGGCCTTCGTAACGCGCACGGAATTTGTCCACCGGAAGTTATTCGTTTTCTATTAGATCTTTTCAAATACAATGATAACTCAAAAAATCGATATTCTGATAATTACTATCGAGCTGTTCTTGTTGATGCGTTAGGTGGCACTGTCACACCGGTGATATCAGTTGTGCAACAAGGTTCGATAACATTCGATAGCTTGAGCGCTGATACAAAATGCGTTCTGGAGGAAGTAACACGGATGCTTAATCTGGAGAAAAGTTTGCCGTGTTACAAATACACCGTTACGGGTGCATGCTTAAGAGCGATCAGAAAATTGCAGAAGTTCGGGCATTTACCCAGTAGTCCGGTTTTGTTTAAATCGTACGCGGTTTATGGTTTATACATTGATGTGCGACTGGCCGCTTTGGAATGTTTGGTTGATTTTGTGAAAGCTGACGGACGGTTACCCGATTTACAATATATCTTGGATTTAATCGAAAATGATCCGGATCCTGGGTTACGACATAAGTTGGCGAGGATGTTGATACTCAATCCACCGTTTGAAAGAGCGCATAGGCACCGTTTGGATGTTCCGGAATTGGTAAAACGAATTTGGGTGAATATAAAGTAAGTTCAAATCACCAAAGCAATATTTAATTATCACTGTGATTACAATCGTTCATTTCAGTGGCATGTTGTCTCACGATACAAGATTACGTTGTGACTTAGTCGACCTTTACTATAAGCTGTATGGAGTGAAACACCCCACATGCATTCCTATACCAGGGCTTGCTGGCATTCTCAAACCGCAGAAAGTGCATAACTTTGTGGAGGAAGAACTTCGTCGGCCACAATACGATCCGAAGCCTATACCGAAACTGAAGGAAGAAAGACTTACGCAGGTTGCACCAATGGAAATTAAAGAAGAACCAACAGATGTGTGGGAAACTCGCACAATTATAAAGCAACCTCCTGCAGCAACACTCGATGAAGTGTGTGTGACCGAAACTAAAATTGTTACCTATATTGGTGGAAATAGTGTTTCAAAACAGGAATATTTCTCGGATAATTCCGTTTCATTGCCTGGTATGGGTCAAACGGGCCCAGTTGGGTTCGAACCTGGTATGTTTAAGAAAGAAGGCGACGGTAAACACAAGGGCGATCCGACTAAAGTTAAGAAAAAGAAGAAAGATAAAAAGAAACATAAACATAAGCATAAACATAAACACGAACATAAACATAAGGATAAAAAGGAGAAGGATCCGACTAAAAAGCTGATAAAGGAGGAAGAAACGCTTAGTTCTGTTAGTTCTACACCTAGCCCGAATCCAATTTCTTTGGGTCAGACCGATATTTTATGATAGTACAATATAATTTTTTTTATATTTGCAATACAATATATGTTGTATCGAAACCAGACTTTTAATAATTCCTTCTCAATATTCTACGATAATTTAATCTTATTATCTTGTTCAGATTTATCCGTTCTGTGCATTTAGTCGTTTTTACATGTAGTTTTAAGTTTTGCTACAGAAGTAGACTTTATAAAGCTATGAGAATTGTAAATATAAATAGCAGAAACTAGTAGTGTTTGCTACGATGCCGTAGGTCGTTGGTTCTATCTCTAACCGCCTCCAGCGCTCTGGTCGATCGCCTACTGCTTCGATGCGTCCATTGCTCCCAGACCATCCTACAGCTACGATGTCTCTGCGCTTTATCCAGGATTCTTAGGCATATCAACAATTTTTATGGTAGGGGATCATCCCCAGAGAGAGGGAACTCTTTATAAGGACAATTCTTATAAGGACTTGTAAAGATATTTCCAAGTGTCGTCTCCCCCAGAGCCGGCCACAACACTGAGAAATACTTTACAAGTTGTTACCTGTACCTGAAATGATAGAAAGAAGGGGTTCACAAATCATAAGAGACAACCATCACATCAGATTGTAAGTATTTAATTTCTTTATCATTCCCCTAAATAACTTTTGTGATTATCTCACAACTTGACCGCCAAAATAGCATTTTAATGTTCGAAGGACTAATTTTTGCTGGTTTTAGGGCTTTAGCATCTGAGTCTGACATCGTAGAAGTACCATTCTTGCATCAGATTGTAAGTATTTAATTTCTTTATCATTTGCCTAAATAACTTTTGTGATTATCTCACAAGTTGACCCCCAAAATTGCATTTTTATGTTAGAAGGACTAATTTTTGCTTGTTTTAGGGCTTTTGCATCTGAGTCTGAGATCGTAGAAGGACCATTCTTGCATCAAATTGTAAGTATTTAATTTCTTTATCATTTGCCTAAATAACTTTTGTGATTATCTCACAAGTTGACCCCCAAAATTACATTTTTATGTTCGAAGGACTAATTTTTGCTTGTTTTAGGGCTTTTGCATCTGAGTCTGAGATCGTAGAAGGACCATTCTTCCATCAGATTGTAAGTATTTAATTTCTTTATCATTTGTCTAAATAACTTTTGTGAATATTTTACAAATTGACCCCCAAAATTGCATTTTTAAATTCTCAGGACTAATTTTTGCTTGTTTTAGGGATTTTGCACCTGAGTCTGACATGGTAGAAGGACCATTCTTGCATCAGATTGTAAGTATTTAATTTCTTTATCATTTTCCTAAATAACTTTTGTGACTATCTCACAAATTGACCCCCAAAATTGCATTTTTCTGTTCGATGGACTAATTTTTGCTTGTTTTAGGGATTTTGCACCTGAGTCTGACATCGTAGAAGGACCATTCTTGCATCAGATTGTAAGTATTTAATTTCTTTATCATTTTCCTAAATAACTTTTGTGACTATCTCACAAATTGACCCCCAAAATTGCATTTTTATGTTAGATGGACTAATTTTTGATGGTTTTAGTGATTTTGCACTTGAGTCTGACATCGTAGAAGGACCATTCTTGCATCAGATTGTAAGTATTTAATTTCTTTATCGTTTTCAAACCTAACTTTTGTGATTAGCTCATGAATTAGTGACAAAAATTACATTTATGTGTTGCAAAGGACTACTTTTTGCTTGCTTTAGGTGTTCTGCACACGAGCCCGATATCGTAGGAGAACCATTCTTTCATCAGATTGTAAATAATTAATTTCTTTATCATTTTCATATATAACTTTTATGAATAACTTAAGAATTAGCGAGAAAAAAAATAAAATTTTTGTGTTTCGAAGCACTGATTTTGCTGGTTTTCGGGGTTTAGCACATGAAAGCGTCATCCGCGTAATATCAGCGCGGTCCCTAAAGATGTAAAATTTAATTCTTTATGGCGTTATATTCTAATGTCGTAGGAGATGTACCTGTAGAACGTGTATTGTTAGATAAATTGTACGTTTCGTACGTTGTTATGTCCATAACTTATAACTGTTTGCTTACATTTAGTCATTTTGATATTTTTTATAAATATAAAAATATTTATTGATTAAAATTACAACGTGATTTTTTGGATTTTACAGGTTTTTTGTTGAGTTTGACATGTTTCGCCCAGAGGGCATCTTCATAAACATTTTGAATAGTTTTTGGATTATATATAACATGGATTGTGTTTTATTAATTTTCGTTTAAGTGAGTGAGATAGAAATACAGAATGAGGTAATAGCAGGCGAGTTAGAACAAGAGAGCAATACACTAAGTTTCATGTTTAATCCATGTTATTTATATGATCTGCCGAATTTTCTACACTTTGTTTATGCTTTCAGTTCGACCTTGATTTGTTCAGCACGCCGTGCGCTGCCATTTGAAATTTGAACAGTACCGCACCTGTCGCCGTGCGCCGTCGGCTTTAAGTGACAGTGCGCTATACTGCTCAGTACATTTTTCGCAGGCGTACGTATATCTGGCGCTGGTGGTTCGCAATTGTACTGTGTGCACGTGTTCGCTTTCTTCTTCGCCACTGTTCGTCGCGACTGTTAGTATTTCGGACGATTTTAATACGGTGCGAGCCTTATAATTGTTTAGTCATCGATTGTTATCAACTACTGAACAAGATTAATCTCGAATCGATTGGAGACTCAAGACATCACGCGCGCGTGTTAAGGCATCAGCCGCCGGCCGTCGGATCTCTTACGTTGGGCTACAGATTTCAATTGGATTTATATTCCAAAATGGTACTGTTAATTAGAGGGATAAATCACGCGATTTCTCCGTGTGGCATAGTTGTTAGTGCAAAAGTAATACAGTGAGTAGTTACATCAGTTCTACTAACAATTCTACTTTGTGTGTAACGTTTGATAAGAGAGCGTTGTGACTCGATGGTTCCTAGGATATGCCTTGGATCGTACGTACGTTCGTTTTATTAAAAATGAAACAAGAATGTATCGTTAAATATAATTCATAAAACTCAATTTAAAATTAAAATCTCATTCATATTTTTTGTGAAATCCTCTTTGTCGTTTTCAGGATATGCGTCTTAAATCATATTTCATATGAAGCTTATGTGAGTGCAACATAGCCAAGGCTTGTGTTGTTGTTTTTAAAAAGTTGAATAAAGTAGAAACATAAATAGAAGAATCAAATATAAATAATAAAAACACTCGGTGGTCGAGTGGGTACGTGCACCTGCTAGCATGCTAGTGGACACGGATCGAATCACAGGTATAGATGGCATTTTTCTCAAATATAAAAATATCAGGTGTAATTTGGGTTGCATATATGAATTGCAACGAAATATAAGAGAAATTGAAATACAAGTGAAGGCAATAAGGAGATATGTAAGAAAGTAAAAAGAGAAAGGAGAAGGGGAGAACAGAGAAATAAAAGAATGAGAGTAGTAGAGAAGAGGAGGATATAGAAGAAAGAGAACAGGGGGGGATCAGATTTTTAAATTTTTTGGCCCGTGTCGTTAGACAGTCTAAGGTCGATCTCCCAGAGCCCACTGCTTCGATGCGTCCATTGCTCCCGGCCCATCCTACAGCTACGATGTCTCTGCGCTTCATCCCCGAAATTATCAGGCATATCAACAATTTTTATGGTGGGGGATCACCCCCAGAGAGAGGGAACTCCTTATAAGGACAATCCTTATAAGGTTTTGTAAAAATATTTCTAAGTTTTAAGTCGCCTCAAGAGAGGTGACACTTAAAAATATTCTTACAAGTTCTGACCTGTAGCTGAAATGAAAGATGGAGTACACAAATCATACAGGATACCTTAACAATTTTTATAGTAGAGATCATCCCCCGAGTGGGAGAACTCCTTATAAGAATTTGTAGAGATATTTCTAAGTGTCGACGCTCTCAGGACCGTCCACACCACTAAGAAATACTTTACAAGTTGTAACCTGTACCTGAAATGATGGAAGGAAGGGGTGCACAAGTCATAAGACACAGCCATTGCTTTTAACATTTCTTTATTAACAAACTAAATACAATATAACTTCCGAATTTGCAATTTCAATACCTACAAAACACGTGACGTCATTTTAAAACATGTTTATCATCTGCATAGCGGCCATATGCATGGCTATCAAATTACAAAATATAACACTAGAAAATAGCAAATTGCGCCCTGTTTTCGCATGACATCAGTGGAAAATTATATACAGGGTGTTATCAAAAGAAAATCTTCAGTTAAAAAGAAAATCTTCAGTTAAAAAAGAAAATCACCCCAAAACAATAAAGATTGTCCATTTTTGGCTGGGCATAAAGGAAAATTTACATACAAAGTGTTGTCAAAAGAAAATCTTCACTTGCAAAAGAAAATCGCCCCAAAACAATATAATTATGCTCAGTTTTCGCAGAGCATTAAGAAAAATTTATATATATATAGGTGATACAATATCAAAATCAAAAGTGAATGTTTTATTACCTGTTTTCTACCGTTTACCTAGGGGAAGTGATAAGTACGTGAATAGAAACATAATAAATAATACAATTGCTAATAATTATAAACTTATTAAACACATTTTCAAGAAATACTAAATTCAGATCTCTTAAACACACAAATTAGCACAGACAGAATTATGAATACAAAAGCAAAAAGAAGGTACAAAAAAGTCCCGAATGAGAGCGAATGCGCAGCCGACGGAACGCGACAATATTCCAATACTTGTATTACAAAGGTTATTATATGCAACCATGTGACGACTATGCTATGTATTAAAGTGTTAACTAATTTTTCTGATCGTTTTTCCTTATAAGGTTGGTAATTGTAATAGAATATAGTTTTTATGTTACATACTTCTTTTACGTTTTCGCTGATGAAATATTCCATACGATGCATAAATGATGTTGATTCAAATTAATAATTAAATTGATACACGAAACAAGCCTGAATATTTCTTAGCCGACGGAAAACACGTGGTGCGTACGTTGTAAAACCACGAAATTCTTGGTTCCACGCGCGATAACTCATTAAATATAGGCCGCACTGGTCTGTTAATTCTAAATCTTATCTTTGATGACTGATTATAATCCAACTACAGACTTCAAATCACAAGAAACGCGATAAGTCGCCTTGAAGACCGCCGCGCAAGTAAACGCGTGCACACTACGCCGCAGCGCACGTTCAACTAAGTAAGAAATGGAACAAACACGGCTGAGCGCATGGGATGCGCTGCAACGCAATAAAAACAAGTTGTTTGTGCACTAACACCGATAAAAGCCAAGATTGCGAACTACGAGTATAAACTATTCATGTTGTGGATACAGTTCAATACAATGGAAAGATTTTATATTCTGAACGTACCCTCTTATTCACATAAACAATGTATCCTATAATCCGGAATTGAATGCAGTCTATATGAAAAGGCAGTTTAGGAGATAATCGCAATTGAAAAATCTGGGAACAACAAGGCAAATCTCTTATATTAGCGCCTTTAACAACTATTTTTGAACCTTTACTTCACGTAATTAATATATTTCATTATCCTGTTCTATAAAGAATTTTGGAAGTTTTGTAATCTTCAATCACGTGACGCGCGTGACGGCAAAAGTGACTACCATTCAGGGCATCGTACGTGGGTAGCGGTAGAAGTGACTCGTGTTCAGGGCACCGTATGAGTGTAGCGGTAGAAGTGACTAAACTACAATTCACAACGAGTACTACGGCGCACACACAAATTTCAATATAACTCGCGTTACGGAATTTTCTCGTAATAAATTTCAATGCCGAGAGATGCAGTTTTAAATTCTGCATCTGGGAAAATTATTTCAAACTAATTGTGAAATCGCGTTTGCGTGTTATAACAAAAAAACTACAATTCCTAGCGCAACAAGTACTTCGGCGCACACACACAAATTTCAATATAACTCGCATTACGAAATTTTCTCGTAATAAATTTCAATACCGAGAGATGCAGAATTAAATTCTGCATCTGGGAAAATTATTTCAAACTAAATGTGAAACCGCGTTTGCGTGTTATAACAAAAAACTACAATTCCTAGCGCAACAAGTACTTCGGGGCACACACACACACAAATTTCAATATAACTCGCGTTACGGCATTTTCTTGCAATCAATTTCTATACAGGAAGAAGCAGAATTAAATTCTTCATCTGGGAAAATTATTTCAAACTAATTGTGAAACCGCGTTCGCGTGTTATAACAAAAAAACTACAATTCCTAGCGCAACAAGTACTTCGGCGCACACACACAAATTTTAATATAACTCGCGTTACGGAATTTTCTCGTAATAATTTTCAATACAAGCAGATGCAGAATTAAATTCTGCATCTGGGAAAATTATTCCGAACTTAGTGTGACCCCGCGTTCGCGTGTTATCACAAAAAAACTACAATTCCTAGCGCAACGAGTACTACGGCGCACACACACAACTTCTATATAACTCGCGTTACAGAATTTTCTTGCAACAAATTTCCATGCAGGGAGATGCAGAATAAATTCCGCATCTGTGAAAGTTATTCCGAACTTATTGTGACACCGCGTTCGCGTATTATAACAAAAAAACTACAATACCTAGCGCAACGAGTATTATGGCGCACACACACAATTTTCAATATAACTCGCGTTACGGAATTTTTTTGTAATAAATTTCTATACAGGGAGATGCAGAATTAAATTCCGTAAATTCCCAGAAAATTACTTCAAAAAAATGAAAATTTCAATTTTTTTAAGGAGCAATTAGGAAAATTTATATAGAGGGTGATACAAATAGAAAATCAAAAGTGCAGGTTTTATTACCTGTTTCCTACTGCGTGTCTAGAAGAGCTGATAGGTGCGGCGATAGAAACATAATATTTAATTTAAATGACTAATAATTATAATTTTATTAAATATTATTTAAATTTTTTTAAAGAAATACTAAATTAAGATCTCTTAAGCACACAAAGTAGCAAATGTGTAAAGTCGATTACAGACAGAATTAAGATACAAAAGCAATAATCAGGCACGAAAAACGGAACCTAGTGGGAACGAATACGGAGCCGACGGAACGCGACAATATGCCAACACTTGCTCTACAATGACCATGCAACGATTATTCCTACTTATTTTCAGAGTGTTTAATTATTTCACTGATCGTTTTTTATATTAGGTTTTGAATCCACATTAAAATATTCCACACGGGGCACGAATGATCTTGATTTAAATTAACTATTAAATGAATACACAAAACAAAACCACTAAGAATTTTTAGCCGACGGAAGATATTCGACAGACGACGACAAACACAAGCGTATCTTGTAAAACCATGCTAACTTATATTGTTATCTCATTAACTATATGCGTCACTTGTCTGTTAATACTAAATCTTATCTTTGCTGACCGATTCTAATTCAAGTACCGATTTAAAATTACAAGAAATGCGCTAAGTCGCCACGAAGATCGCCGCGCAAGTAAACGCGTGCATTCCACGCCGTAGCGCACGATCGACTAAGGAAAAAATAGTATAAATAATGCTGAACCCGCCTGACGCGTTGCGCGATAAAAAGTTGTTTGTACACAACCACCAATAAGAGTCAAAGGTGTGAACTATGAACAATGCATGTTGTGGATACAGTCTAATGCAATGAAAAGATTTGATATTACGTACTTTCTTATTCGTAAGAACAATCTATCCTATAACCAGAATTGAATGCAGTCTATATGAAAAGGCAGTTTCGGAGCTAATCGCTTCTTTTAGCGACTATTCAACGACTTTTAGCAATTTTTAGCGAACTTTCACTTCACGTAGTAATATATTTTATTATATTGTTCGATACAGAATTTTTGGCAATATTATAATCTTCAATCACGCTATGAAAGTGTCGGTAAAAGTGACTCCAATTCAAGGCACTGTAAGAGACTAGTGATAAAAGTGACTCTCATTCGAAGCACCGTACGAGGGTGCCGGTAAAAGTGACTCGTGTTCAGGGCACCGTATGAAGTTAGTAGTAGAAGTGACTCTTATTCAGGGCACCGTACGAAGCTAGCGGTAAAAGTGACTCCCATTCGGAGCACCGTAGGAGGGTGCCGGTAAAAGTGACTCGTGTTCAGGGCACCGTATGAAGGTAGCGGTAGAAATTACTCTTATCCAGGGCACCATACAAGGCTAGCGGTAAAAGTGAAGTTTTTCCTATGAATAATATGAATAATTATTTTATATTTTTGCCTGACAGAAAATTTTCCAATCTTTCATAATCAGAAATTTGTTAGTTGCTATCTCCCTTAGTTTCAATAATATTATTTATCAAAAATCGTCGCAAAAAAGTATCAAGCACCCCCCCTTGGCAATTTTTTCTTAAGAATTAAATTTTCATCTCTCATATTTCCGTTTTAACTATCCTATCTTATAGAGAATAGTCCGTAGATTAAGACGCTGCGATCAGATCTTATTTATCTCTTTTAGTTTACGAGATATTCGCAATTGAAAAAAAATCGTCAAAAATTGAAAAACGTCACTTTTTAGCACTTTAGGCCACGTTTTTTTTACCTTTTTTTAATTCCTGTTGGGAATATAATTATGTTATATTTTTATCTGACTGATAGAGAATTTTCCAATCTTTCATAATCAGAAATTTGTTAGTTGCTATCTCCCTTAGTTTCAATAATATTATTTATCAAAAATCGTCGAAAAAAAGTATCAAGCACCCCCCCTTGGCAATTTTTTCTTAAGAATGAAAATTTCATCTCTCAGATTTCCGTTTTAACTAGCCTATCATATAGAGAATAGTTCGTAGATCAGAACGCTGCGATCAGATCTTATTTATCTCTTTTAGTTTACGAGATATTCGCGATTGAAACAAATCGTCAAAAATTGCAAAATGTCACTTTTTACCTCTTTCAATCACATTTTTCGCCCTCAAACCCAACGATATGTAATTATTTTATATTCTAATCTTATAGAGAATTTTCCAATCCGTCATAATCTGCAATTCGTTGGATTCTAGCGCTTTTAGTTTAGAAGATATTCGCTATCAAAAAACGTGTACTTTCGTTACATGCCTTAAATCGCATAGCTCCACACATCTGATTTGCAAGTATAGACGTGATTCAAAAATTTAATTAAGATGTTATAACGTTTATAAACTTTCCAGTGTATCGGATAGTCAAAGAAAGTACTGAAACAGAAAAACACGAGATTCTGATAAGGAATTTGTATTATTTTAACCGGTAATATTGCCGGAAAATCCTGCTAAGGACAGACGTTACTTACACAAACTTATCAATTCTCAGAATCGAAATAATCCAATATCCCACGGACCACTAACGCACAAATTAAACACAAGTTTTATTATTAGGTACTTCACGCGCAACTCATCCCTATCAAAACATTATACACATCTATTTGTCATTAAGTGCCGATATTTATGTAGCTTTTTAATCATTAAAATGTAATGCAGTTAATTTAATCCAAATCAATGAAAAAAAAGTTTCTAATTCCAATTCTCAGCATCGAAATAATTCAATAGCCGACACGCACATGTAAACACGAGTTTTATAATCATTTTAAACGCAAATCATCCTTAGCAAAACACTCTACACTCTGTTGTCATTAGGTGCCGTAATTAATGCTGATTTTTAATCAATAATAAAATGTAATGTAATTGGAATGAATGAAAGAAAGATGTCGAGCCGCGTGCAGGTAAGAACAGACTGAAACGGTCGAACGTTCGTAGCGCGAGAGCAGCATTGCGCACGTTTGCACGATATAAAAAGTTGTTTATACACAAACCCCGATAAGCGTGTTTATTCGTTTGAAATCGAAACAGTTCTGATGTGCACCTAAACAAAATGTAATATAGTAATGTATTATTGGAAATCTCTACGGCAACTTCACAAAACGATAAAACCCATCATATTTGGAGGACGATTTTCACATAGTTTACACGTGTCTTCCGAAAACAGCAAACGCATATCCCGATTATTACTAGTATTTTTCCGATTTTAATAATTTAGCTTATAGAGAATTTTCCGTAAATTAAGAATCATTAAATGTTTAGTAAACAGAAACAATCGTTGAAATCCAATCTTGTAGTTCCTTATAATTATATTTAAATATATTTGCAGTACATAATGATACATCATTAAAATCAAATGAAACGAAGCATTTTTGGAAAATATAAATTGTACCGAAAATATTCATGTTTCAAACATTTCCTTAAGAAAATACACATTTAATTTTACATACACTTATAGATTAGTTCATGCAATCGTTTGTTCAGTTTTTGAAGTAACAAGTGTGTATAAATTTTATATCTGCATTTGAAATTACCTTCTTTCACACAGAGATACTAAATGCTTTCAGCTTCTTTTAAAGATTTCATGAAAGCCTAAATTTAGAATAATAGAATAAGTAAAAGCAAACATAACAGGTACAAATAGGTACTAATAAGTTTACTATACACTTGCAGTTTTGATTAATCATCATTTCAGTCTCCTTTTTCGTTATAAGCAATCAATAAATGTTTGTAGTAACATTTAATTGTTTTCGTCGTTCATTATCAAGTATCCAAATCTTCTTACAATCAAGAGTTAGAAATACGGAGCAGCTATGTTTTTTACTATCACACAAAAAGATAAAATCGCAATGAACAAGTTATTTAATTACATTTTTTGACGCTTCCATGTTGGTATAATATTGTATGGGATCAGACGCAACCATTGCAGTATCGGAGTTAGCGTACTGCGTTTTAATCGGAGTTTCGTAGCCAGTTTTCAGTGGACTGAGTTCCGGAATGAGTTCGTTGTTGTTCTCCAACAGGTTGCTAATTTTCTTCTCGACTTGCTGTTCGGTGCTGCGGAACTTACCTCGCGGGGAATTCTTTTCCAAGTTTGTTTCCAGCTCATCTTCAGCATCATTGTCATCTTTATCGACGCTTTTCATTACGTCTAAAATTACATGTCATACAAACTTTTAACAAGAACAACGCAACTTTATAAAATATTTAATTAAAATTTATATAATAATTACCCTGGTTATCCATGCCATCATCAGTCTCTCCATTTATTGTACAGAAATAACTTCTGTTGTGGATGGCATTTGCGGTTAGATCCAAATATTCAACTTGATCCTCCAACATTTTTTCGAATTTGTTTGACAAATCATGAAAACTTGGACGCTGTTCAGCTTCAATAGTCCAGCAACTTTTCATAATCTTATATCTATAAATAAATGGAGTTGTAAGTGGACCATAATATTATTTGCGTCCATGGTCAAGCTATAAAAGTATTTGCTTGTGATAAATGCAATAAACTTACAATGGCACAGAGCAGTTTTCGGGTCGTTCCATTCTATACCCCGAAGTAAGCAAATGAAACAAGTTTTGAACTTGTATGCCAGGATATGGCGTAGCTCCAAGCGTTACCAATTCCCAGATCAGAATCCCATAGCTCCACACATCTGATTTGCAAGTATAGACGTGATCCGAGAGAGATTCGGGTGCCATCCACTTTACGGGCACTAAAAGTTGTTATGCATGTTGTATAATTCGGGGGATATAACAATTTCACAATTCAGAATAACTATGCACATCAGATGTCGAAGTAAATTATTTTGATATAAATCATGCATAAATCTGTTTGCGGATTTTAGAATTTCGCACAAGAGAAAACTTGCAGAAATACAAATAACGTCAGTTTAAATCACGACCTATTTAAACTGTAAACTATGAACATTCACAAAATCAATGAAACTTTATATAAAAGTATTGTTCAGTCATAGCCGGCTGAACTTCGAAACTAAATTTTCAAATATTGACTTTTATGCATCCATACATAGTGTACGAGTAAACGTAAAAAAGTTTAAATCGATATTATCAAGAGCGATGAATGTTGTATGCGGGTTTAGTTCAGAATTTTAAATAAGTTTTAAACTTTGTAACAACTTTGTTTCCCGTTTTCTTGTTTTGCAATAATTTACCGCTTATCGAAAAACTTAATTTTCTTTTCATTCTTTCGTTTTAAATTTAAAATGAATTCATAAATATGTAAATTCTTTTCGAGTTTTTCTTTTTGAATTAAAGATAACCATTTATCATTTTTCCACTTTTATTTAAATTAATTTATATTAAAAAAACTAAAATTGAATAATGCATGAACATTTTTATTTTTATATGAAAATTATATTAGCATTATTTATGATATAAAATGCCAACAGAACCGCAGAAAATCCTATAGTTCCCGCAAATAAAATACAAAGGCATATTTCAGTGCAAAGATAAAAGCGTCGTATCAGGCTACGAAACATTGGACTAACTAATACGGTTGTAAAACGCACGAAGCATGTACTATAAACGTCCGCAAATCCTTCTTGGAAAATTGAGCACCAAACTAGGAACGCGTACCCGAAGAGATCGCCACCCAACGCCTACGTACAATAGACCCTAATTCACGTGTAATGGTCAGTTCATTGTATTAATTGGCATCTAAAGATCAATAAAATTATAAAACAACTACTCAGCTCTAAAAAGTAAAAATCATTCGTTCAAAGTAATTAAATGACGGGTTTTTGTTTGATATTCCAGGCATATCTGCCATTAACAAAAGAAATTGGGTCTTTTTATTGCCTACAGTTGAAATTTGTTTTCTTTTCATTCCTTTGTTTATTACTAAACGGTAAGACCACGTTAGCAATTAATGAGAGAATGATGGCGCAGCGCCTGCAAAGTTCAATCGACCGTGAGATCGCCAATGAACATGAATAGAAAACGTTAAGTAGCCATCCATAAAAGACGAACGTCCTGAGACCCTTGAAACGGCGATTTTGGAACTGATAAATGAAAGAAAAACCTATAGAAAGAAGTACGGAAACCTACCTCGCCCCTTGCTACGCTTAAAATACGCGTCGTCCTCGTAAATATCACGGGTCAGGCCAAAATCGGATATTTTGCAGACTTTTTCTTTCGACAGAAGGACATTACGAGCCGCCAGGTCACGATGAACCAACTGAAAAGCATCATTTTTATTTTTACACAAATGTGTCATATCCTTTTTGTTTTCTAGTATTTATCTCTATCTATAAATTATACTGTGGATTATACAAGCTGATATACACAAGGAAATCCTACCTTAATTTCACTGAGATAAGTCATCCCGTTGGCGATTTGCCAAGCAAACGAGAGGATGTCCTTCGGCGTCACCTTGCAAGTCTTCGGCTCATCGTAGTTATCATTGGGCGTCGCCGGCGCTAACATTGCTTCGTCGACCATGCATGAAACAACACGCGGCAGATGCGTTTCAGATTTTAAGTGCCGACTTCGTCTCAGATAGCTCCTAAACAACCAAGATGAATGAATGACAATAAATACCGTCGTGTTCGTGTTGGGTAAATTCATAGTTTCTAAATAATATATACCTACTAAATAATAAACAAACAAAAACCCAACTCAAATGAAAAATGTAATTTCTCAGGAGAGCATCGAAAGCAAGTAGGAACAACTAAAAGAAAAAATGCAGTAAAAGCAGATAAATATTTAAAAACGTAGGTGTGTTTTTGTTGATATATTAGATTACCTCAAGGACCCGTACTGTGCATACTCAATAATCAAATAAACTGGTCCTCCAGGGAGAGTAGACGCGCCCAAAAGTTTGATGATATTGGGATGCGACACTTCTTTTAGTAGGTGATATTCAGAGAGCAAGTCGGTCAGTTCACCATCGCGTGCATCGTCTTTCAATGTCTTCACTGCGACGATCGTGTAACCTTTAAAAAATATACTCATTTAACTTACTGATCGTTTTTTACTGTCTGTTTCCATCACTTAAAAAGATTGAGTTTGGCAGGCAATTGAAGACTTTTCGGCAATTAAAGAACGTTCGGAAAGAAAGTTTGTCTGCGGCAAATAGCGGCAAAGAGAAAATCTTCGTTATACGACTTTGTTTTGCACTTGAACTTACAGTGCGCAAATTTCCCGAACGCGTTCCAAGAATAATAAAATAAAAGTTTCAAGTTCATTCTTCTCCAGCGATACTATCTAGTGCCAACTGTGCCAATGCTGCAGATGTGTAAGCAGCACAAGTATCAAGGCAAATTCAATTAAAAGTGGAAAACAATGTGAAGAATAAAAGGACGAGTATACATTACGTTAGAAAAAAACTAACTTCAACAAGGCTACACCACCCATTAATCATTAGATGCAGACTTTCCGTAGAGTTATTTGCAGCAAACATGAATTTTATTGACTTTTTGTTTAGAATTCAATTTGCAATTAAGAAAACAAAACGAAAACAAATGTCTAACTCCGGATATGCGCAGAAATTTACTTATAATGGAATAAAGTTTTAATTGCTTGTGGTGTTGCTTTACATTTACTGCCAGCGCCAGTCCCCGCATTAAATTCCCAATAAACTGCTCACTTATTTGATTGAAGTGAGTTCTGCTTTTGAAATCTACTTGAAAAGGTGTATAATGTTTTAATTCCCATCTTCCAAATGAATTTTTCCAATTGTAACAATTGAAAAACAGTTTGATGTTGATTTAATGAAAAATCAATCGAAATTCGATGAGAACTCGCTTTTGCAAATTCACAAAAGGCGTTATTAATGAATGAAGTGATGCGTCGACACGTGGGTGTTGAATTTTTGGGCAATACTTGAATAGTTCTACCCAACTCAAACAAACCTGACCCACACATCATACGACTTGTGTGTCTGAGTAAACATTACCTAGAATACGCAATGCGGCTTTGTTTCCAGCTTTTCGGCTTCGGAATAAAACGCTCATTAATCATTCGCATAATCAACGGAGTGGATGAAGATAGACATTTAGCGATAAGCTTATTCTGCGTAAGTTTTTTTTTCATTTTTCGCGTAAAATAATAAAAATTTGCAATTCATACATTTTAATTTGATTGTTCTTTTTCGTAAGTTCTTTATCGTGGTTGGTACTTTTTACATTCCACACCTAACAAGATTTGATTACTTGCTGGAATTTGTGAATATAAAATTACGTACCGGAATGTCCAGAAATGTCCTTTGCACGCGCTCGTAATACTCGTCCGAATTCACCTTCACCGAGGGTTTGTTCGATGAACAGTTGGCTGCGTGGAAATTCCCATTTGGGATCCGGCTGTGCGGAGAGAGAGCAAAAAAGTGAAATTACTATGACTTGCGACATGGTAACCCACTTTATTTCATATGCATTTGCCAATTATTGGATTATTAGATGGATAGATTCAAAGAAAATTTAAAAATAGCAAAAATTTTGTAATATTACCAGTTTGGAAATGTATATCAAAGTTATTTGAATAAATGTAAATGCAAATGAATCTATTTTAACGGTTTGCTTTCAAGTAATACCCATATAAATTTTGATTACTACTAGTTTGCTTAATTAAATTTACAGTTCTTGGAAATGCAAGTTAATTAAATGGTATCAATATACTTACAGTAACTTTAGTGTTGTGCGCCAAGGAGGTTGTCATGTCAAAGTTGAGAGTGATAGCATTTTCGGGCAGTAATCCCCTATCAATATAATCGGAGAGAGGCGCGGACAAGTCGTTGTGATCGGAATTAAACTTCCCCCGCACTTTATGTACCTTACCAAGCCTCCAACACACCACGATAGACCCGATGGTCGTAAGCACAAAAACACACACAGCGAGGATGCCCAGTAAGCAACCGGAACCACACGAAGCAATTTCCATTCCTAGAAATAGAAATAAATCAAGTAAAGAGAAAAAAACTGAACATGCCGCTAAAGTCAACATTCGTAAATTGCAGATGATCCCTAGTTTTCTCTCACGAGCTCACTTCTGATCCAATCTTCTTGTGTCAACATGATGCCAAAACACGGTGTTTGTCTAACAAACTGGAAACACGCTGATCAAAATGAGATGCGAGATAAAAAACATTAAAAAACATATAAAAATGACATCTCAACATGTTGCCACATTACTACGAAAAAAATCATCATATTAAGCCAAGCTGTTTGAATTCAATTAACCTAATTGCATCTCATCAGACTCGTACGGTTGCAACTTTGGCAATTTCGCCAACTTGACAAATTTTCTACTTTTAGCCTTCGGGTTTCACATTTCACATTACAGTCTATTCCGGGTAACTCCCATATGCTTCATAAAACCATCCTCAATGTCCTTATTAACATGATAAGATCCTAGTATCTACGTGAATGTTAGAAATAAGTAACAGCAGCAGGAGACTTACCGACATGGCGGCTCAAATTCGGAACGACCTCAACCGGCAACGCGGTCGTAACGTTCTCGAAGTTGCCGCTTGTAGTCTTGTTGCTTAAATCCTTGGCCCGCTTCCTCTTCTTTTCTTCTTGTGCCTTTAGCGACTTGCTGATTTTTTCTCCGCAAACGCATTGTGCCCTCGTGCATGTGCAGACGCCTGCTGCACGCGCGATGCCTCTTCCAGTGAGTGGATTTAGAGCTGTTGGAACAACTGAGCTGCCTACAGGAAACAGCAAAAAAGAAGTGTTTTATTTTAGTATTGATTTGTGTAGTTTCGTTGGAACTTACTAGTGCAGTCAAGAGGGCACAGTATTGAATTCATTTGTTCCAGGCTGTCACAGCGTCCATCAGGACATGTCTCTGTATCGACAGTGCAAGTTTGGTACAAATTCGTGGTTTCCATAATGGTGACAGTTTCATTGCCTCTCCATTGACAACGTGTTGTTGATCCACTTTTCCTGAATATAAAGTAAAACCTAGTTGAGTATATAATGTCTTTCTGTTTAGGAACATTTCTTGGAAATGTTAATTTTGGTACTAAAAAGAATTTGCTATATCAATTTCCAGTTAGAAAGTTTGTCATTAATGAGTTTCAGACAGAAGAAAGTGCATAAAACCATTATCTAGTTTGTAACAAAACACTGCGAGCGAGATGCAAGTTTATGCTTTCGTTGAAAACGTTTGCTCTTCTTATAACTTCGTAAAACCCAAACTTTTAGTGAAATTACGGTGTGCTTAGTAGGGGGTGTAAATGTGAGTAATAATAATTCATAATGTTTTAATTAAACTTTACTCTTTGCATTAAAAAACAAATTTAATTTCTGACCACTTTATGATAGAAAATTCAGAGTATAAATTGTTGCACAATTAATTATATTTCCCTTTGGCTGTATCTACTCGATAAAATAAGTGAAATATTCTTGCGAAATAAATCTTTAATGCAAACTATCGGAAACGGCATACAAACTCAATAGAAATTGAAATGAAGACGAATTGTATGTCGTGAACAAACTGAAAACCACATGCAATGTAGAGCGGAACAAATTGCACAAACTGTACAAACATGTACTCATTGCGTGGAGATATACCAAAAGTATAATACAGGTTCGTTCACCGCTTTATCACTTGAAAAGATTCCAAAATGAGAAAAATTGAATTGTCACCATAAGAAAAAAATTCTTCCTGAATTTATAGCGTAAATTTATGAAGATGGCATACAGAATAATATACATTTATCATATTCTGAAGTATTATTAAAACATATGCTTAGAAATCCACTACATGAATCTTGTAATATTCCCAAATATTAATTATCATCCTAGTCATTATCACTCGTCTCACAATGCAGAGAAATGGTTGATTTCTGCACGCAATCCTTGCATATACGAACCTTCTACCTAAATGTCGTCCTGACGTGATCATATATTTCGCGTCGTGAATTAATCGCAGCGTCGTATCAGCGTTCCCGCAACATCTATTATTTTAACAGGTATATCTACGAAGGAGGCGGGTACACAACCTTGGAAATAATCTAGTAACAGGATGATAAAATTACACTACGAGGTGTAGCTATGTAATTTGTTAAATAAAACTATGCGAAACCGTCACACATGTCTCCACCGCATGGCGCAAATCATACAAATAACGTGTGATTAATGATTCTTGCTGAAACGACATTTTTTTCTTCGCAAAAAATCTAATTCAAAAAAATATTCCTGGAATTAACCGCAGTATTGCAATAAAAATGTGTATAAACTTGTTTTTATGTTGTTTCCAATACGCAGTATGAAATTTTTAGCTTCTGACCTAGAAGTTAATTTTAATATGCGTTAAAAAGTATACTACCGTAGTTTTAATGCGCGAGAGTAATTAACTTTATGTACCTACATAGAAATGCAAAATGAACAAGGCTATTTTCCCTTTTGTATTCTTTTACGTTTTAGAGCGTCAGTTATTTACCTACTCGACAACAATGTTTTTCCAGACCTTTTTAAATAATGTACAATTCTCTATTTTGTTTGTGTCTTCATTTTCCATGTATTTTTCCACGCTGGAATTAAAATACATGTTTATGTTTATGTTTAGTCTCTTACACGCGTACTAGTCCTTTGATTAAAGGATTTTATCGTTGGCATATCAACACAACAGGTAGGTGAATCAAAACAAGTACGGCGTTGTTTTATGGATTAACTTCGTACTGCTGAATTAGTTATTGCTTAATTTTACGATCGTCGCAAACTTAAGTTGTAAAAGCTTAAAATACTATAAATGCTGTAAAGGTATAAACTTTATACGTCAAAGGACTAAAGTCATACTAAGTTATTAGAGCTATAAACTATGTATGAGTATAAGGGATCAATAATTCCCTTGGTAAACAAAAAATAAAAAAAAAAAAATTATTTTCTCTCTGAGATAAATTAAATTGTAATTTAAATTAATTAAAAGGGATTTAACAAGTTACAAATACTTGTATTCCACACGTGTTGACATTTGCGGAAATGTATCAATCATAACTGCAATTTCCCCGAATTATTCCAACGTGAAATTTCCACACAAATGTGATCTCCGCTAATTAGCTGACGAGAGTGATAACATTCCCTAACAAGTTCTTGTATTCTAACTGCTTTCAAACAAAGTTTCAGTCCTGGTTCCAGCATAATCGTCACTGCATTATTCGGCTTCGCTATTATTCTTGGTAATGCAATATGAAATTGCTCGAACATCACTTCAGAATCATTGTTGTGACATTTAGAAATTGTTACGCTCCCTGCACTTTAACTTTCGAGTATTTTGAAAGACTTCCAAATAAAATAAATTATATATAACTGAGCAATGACAGTAGTGCAAAAAATTTAATATATTATTGTGAATTACACCAATTTCCACAATTCACAAGACATGAGATACGAGTACTCAGAATTCCTAACAACGATGACAAGAGTTGTGGAGTATAAAAGCAGGGAGCAAATTTGAGCGATAGCAATAATCTTTCACGTCGAATTCGTGTCAGCACCAGATTGTCTACTGAATACTACGAAAGCTTAGAATTTCTGTAGTCTTCGGAAGTTAGAACTCATCTATCTACTAGGAAAGTAGCAATGAGTAAGTAAGCCGTTTGGCACGCTTAATTATGCACATAAATCATGCTTTTTGTCATTGAGACCCCGTTGAGATTAAGTATGACAATTGACATCAGTGACGGCGTGATTAATTACTGAATTATATAAGCTCTACTTACGATTTTGCAACGCTGGAGTGTCCACCGGTTCCAATCGCGCATGCGGTTTTGCAATCATACGGATTCGAAATACTCGTGCAGTGCGACCATTTTGTCAGGTTGTCATGCAGATGATGGCAGGTGTTTGATGCTTCCTCGTAAATGGCAATGCGTAGTTGATCCACTTCCAATTTTCCATCACGTTCCCATTGCACGTCCAACCGCACCGAACTCTCTGAATTCCACAAACTAGTTATATTGTTCACGTAGATAATGCCCTCGCTCTTTGTAATATTGAACGTTTTCAAATAGGATGCTTTCCGGGCAAGGAGAGTGAAGTTCCCAATGTTTGATGCAACCGGTAAAGGGGGATTGGCTACACGCGCTAATGGTGCTGCCAATCTGCAAACAAACATTTACCAAAGGGAATTGTATAGTTGGGTACGTGTTGTGACAAGAAATGAGCGAAAATATATTCACCTAAAAATCGTATAATCTCGTTGTTTGTAGAGAAGTAGAGGCGGAACATCCTTGGGAGGTATCAACGTTTTAAGTCGGTTGTCCTTTGGATGAGTTAGATGTATCGGTACGCGTGCCTTGAATTAAACAATGTTTATACAATTACTGCGTTAATTTTATTTTTCTTAGTGATGGTTGTGATGTTAACCTAGTAGAATGTGCAATTTCAGCATGTTCCCAAGTACCTGAGTGAATCGATACTGTTTGATTTATCACCCTCTCGAGACTTATTCGTTCTCATATTCGATTGACGCCGGTGCTAAAAAGGCTCGACAGGAAATTAAACCAGTGTCGTTAGAGACATGGCAGGTAAACCAGGCCGATATGAGTGCCGTTAGGCGTTTCATTATGTCTATGTTTTATTACACTCCTCGATTGCTTACGCCTCTCTCATACCGAGGTGATCGAGTTCCAGGTAATATGTACTCAATTATAGAAGTGATAAAAATGATGAGTGTATAAAATTCCAAGCGGTAGTAATGCTCAAATGGGGAAAATTGGGATCTATTTTAATTGATTTATTTTCATGGCGTGTAATTTTTTATTTTCTTTTGGGATGTAAATTTATATCCTGTTGATTCCTGCAGACCTTGCGTATTTACAGAACTTTTTTGTTGAGTTTTGTTGAGTTTTGTTGTACAGGTCTGAATTCATTTTGACTAAAATAAACATAAATTCCACCGCGTTTGACACCATAAAGTCGCCCACATGTTTAAAGCATAATGCATGCATCCAAGAGGCAAGAGTGTTCCTTGCAGATTACAAAAAGGATTATGTAAAGTACGTAGCTTGACAAAAAATGAACAATGTAAGCAGCGACGCTTTCACAGGCGCAAGTTAAAGAAACGAAAAAGGAAGAGCGAAATTATAATAATGGAAGAAAACAACCAGAGCATAAATCATTTGATAAGAAGCTTCAGATAAAATTTCCGTCGACGGTTGTTCGTTCGCTCTAGTTTGTCAAAGGACCGTCCTTAGTTTTATTGCTTCATTTTATTGTCCTTTTTTACTTACGTCGCCAGCACGCCTAAATTTTCTCTACTAAAAAGAAAACAAAAAACTCAAGGTCGTTCCGGGGCTCTAGAACTTCTGAACTCAATTCGGCGTTTGACAAATTCTAATAAAGTGTTGAAATTTAGTTCTAAATAACTGCGCAGTACCGAGACTTATTAGGAAGGATCAGTGGAGCAAACATATTGTGACCCTAAGACCCAACTAGTTTGCGCAGGTACCTGCACTTGATTTCCCCCACCACTTTTTAAGGGTAATCCCAGTATAAAAGAGCAGCGCGAAGCGACCACAATGCACAGTCGTTATTGAGTCGCATCACATCTTCGATTCCGATCGCTCATTGCGGACGCCCACCCCTATTTTCTGACTTTTTGCAATTGACTACTTTGTAAAATGATTGTAAACATCACATAAACTCAAATTTCCAGAAACTATCTTTGTGCATCTGCATCTAGGTCATGGCGTGGAAAATTGAATTCGTCCTATTGATAAAATCATATACAACATGTTCAACAACCATAGAAAAATTCGTATTTTCAGAAACACTTAAAACTGTCCTATTCTTGAAAACGCAGTTATAAATTCCAACAAAACAATAAAGCATGAATTTTGTTCCTGAGTGGTCATAGCCGCAGCGTTGGTATGACCCTTTGCAATATTACTGCTCACTACCGTGATAAATTTATGCATCTGCGTGCATCTGCGCATCAGTTTACTGGCGCAACCGCTTTCCCGGTTTCCCAACTAAACCTGGAACCTGCCATGCCGTCGCGTTCCGGGATCCGTAACGTTATTGTACGTTTTTCATGGAAAATCCCTGATGTTAATATCTATATAGCACTTTGCTCATCACCCATTTCAGCATATTTCAACAATTTCAACACATTTTCTATTTTATAATATATTTTAACCTTTTTGGAGCAACATTCAAGCAAAAACAAAACATGAAATTAGTTAGAACTAAAAGCTCTAACTTATCTTGCTATCAGACGATAAATGTCTTCACGCTTGGGTTCTTTCGTTCCCCTTTAGCTCGTACTAATAAGATATGCGCTTTTAGTTTATATCTGTACACGTAAACGGTAGAGGGTTTAACGGTGCACTGCAACCTGGCATAGAATTAAATTCACCCGAACGCGAAAGTCAGCGAACGATAAACCGTTATCAGCGAATAATAAATTCCTAAAGCTTTATAGCATTATTCAAAGGTGGAAACCTAGCAATTTTCCACATTATGTCTTCCCAATTTTCCATTTTACACTAAAAATAGTAAAATTTACTTACAAAAGTAGGTCCATGTCCTGGCATCATTGTAGTATCATTAATTTGCAGTATAACCGTATAATTACTGACGTTAATAGCGTCCAAATCAACTTCACGCTTAAAGTGTAAATCTACGACAAAAAGAACAGCACATTAATAACACTCATAAAGCAGATAATTGTTTAATTTTCTGGAAGCATGTGATAAACCTCCACGTCCTTGGTTACTTAGCATTTTTGTAATTACGTTAATATTATTGAAACGCATGAGACAGTAGAAATGACGCACATTGATATAAATTTGCAAATGACGCTAATAAATAACACGTTCTGCCCAAGCTCCCAGAACGTACCAAATTTCTGAGAATGGGTTGGGTCAACGTAAATGCCAGGACGCATTATGTTGAAGCATGTCGATTCAAGTAATCCTCGTCGTGCGCCACTGCTTCAACCACCTGCGACTATCCGATTAATTAGTCTCTAATTATCTAACCACCATGACAGTTAGGAACTACTCGGTTCATAAAGCAAGGTGTGGTAGATAGATGAAGGTCTTAATGTCAAGTTAACAATGTGTCGTCACAACGAACAGGTTGGGACGGGGTTTAATTAGCAATAATTTCAGATTTTGCATTAGGGTTGAAGGTATTGTTGTCTAATGGTCGTGCTATCACCCATTATATCTTGCCATTATAATTAGTGTAAATTACAAAGGTTGAGGCCTTTATCACCCGTACAGAACATAAAAATAAAATTATTTGATACTTACCACATGATATTATAGTTTGCGGTTCGCCATATCTGTCATCTTCACTTTCATTACACTTTACATCAAAAAGATCTAAAGTATCGTTTAGAAGTTTAACTTTGTGGGAGTTCACAGCAGGTGAATCCAGGTCAATGAATATCAAAGTTTGGCGATGTTCTAAATCAATTTTTTTCTGTAAAAAATGAAAAAATGAAAAAATTAACAATTTATCTAAATAGGTTTTCTGTGTTTTATTGCATTCATAAATCCGGTACGGTATAAAAAGTTTTTAGAATTCATTAAGGTTTTATCACTCTCTGCATTTTGTCCTTCAAACAAAAACAATTAAAACCCCCTTGCAATTATTACGACTTTTCTTTTCGCAGCTAGCGTGCTTTATGATTTTGTGATACGAAGTTTCTGAATCTCAATTTATTCCAGCATGCTTTGTGTTTGTTAGCCTCACACGCAAGTTTACATGTTTAATCGATTGCTCGCGCGTTTTACGAACGCAATTAACAAGTTGCGCTTTTCAACCACACAAACACAAACACCACTTCATATTAAACCCTTCACAATTTACACGCGTTCTTTCTTTTGATAAGTTCATAGTTCAAAGTCAATGCCACAAAAGAAAAAAAATATACTACGCAAACTTCTAACTTTTAATTAGAATTATGAATTCATTTCATTTAGTTCCACAAGATAATGTAATTAATTATTCATTCATTACCTACAGAGGATAGAAAATCAGACAGATTAATCCCAGCTTTTGTTGTCAAACAATTGTATCAGCCCAAATTCAATTTGTATTATGTGCACGAACATCTGTACGTAATTAATATAGAATTTTAGAGTTGTAGCGGTATACCAAAACACTAACTTCGTGCCGCCGAAATTGCGACCGATGTTAACCGGTTGAATATAATAAAGTGAGGGTTGATAAGGGGAAGAGATTGAGGTGCCGCAATGGAAATTTAATTAATTAGTTGCGCCGGCGACGTCATCGGCATAAACTGCAACCCGTTAAAACCCTTAAGCGTGAAAGACGGTAACTACCAGCACCGGCGAGTTAAATGCCACGTTGTTAAATGTCGGGTAATCGAATCCGTATAACGGTGCGGTGAATTAATTAAGTAAGATCTGCGTAAATGCCACTTCATTAATAAATTAATCACTGGCTAAAAATGCAAACTTGTAATAACTTCGTGTTTACTTTAAAATTTAATCGAAATTTCTGAAGTCAAAAACGGAAAGGTAAATATTAACAAAACGACAATTAAAATTTGAATATTAAAATATTGGAAGTAATAAAACTTGTTTTTATTTTTTTCTATGTATGCTGTCAAAACAAAAATGTGCAAGGCACCAACTTATTAACTGTACCATGGCATGTTATTTCCTTTCATTGCTTTCCGGAGGAAAGCTGCTTTGCTTTTGGAGCTTAATGGCGCACGCGAATTTATTATGAATTTCTCAATTGTTAGTTGCTCGAGCATGAAACCGCAAGCAAGTATAAGCAGGATATCGTGATCCCAAAACTCTTTAAAAAATGTAATATTTGCAAAACGTGTATTATAAAAAAATAATTTCATCTAAACACGACATCTATTTGTGGACGATAATAAAAATCTAAGAATTTGTTTTTATCATAACAAAATCAGGTTTTCCAAGAACACATATGTCAAACCTCAACAAGTTAGAACGTGTATGTAGTACCTAATAAAGTTTAGCTTCAAGTAACAAGTCCTCTTACTTTAACATTAGTTTTGCATTATATGCTTTCAACTTCGGAGTAAGTCTTGAAAGTGTCTTTTAGTGGTTAGCAGATTAGAAAATCCTTTTACTCTTCAACATCATCAAATGGACGCCTTCGAAAACTTTGGAAAGAGATGAAAAGCAGTGGTTGAAAAAGAAGAAGCAATAAAAGCGTTGAAATGCATCTTGTAGACAAGTTTTTAAGCTGGAAACCATTTTCAACGCTTTTAACAGATTAAAATCATGAAACTCGCTGTTTTAATGCTTTCATTCAAGTTATACACTGTTTAGGTTTGTGTATCTTTTGTTATCATATAATGATTGACATTCAACTTTGGCATTTTATTGATTCGAAATTATTTGATCGGATGTATCACACCTTTCATTTTTATCGCGTTTATTTTGTTTGCTTCTTGTATTACGAAGAATACGACATAGTCAAATTCCTAATAATAACATTATTGATTATTTATTAAATCACAGTTTATTGTCAGTTGTGATATAATCGACAATTGACGGTCGTCTTACAATTGACAATCCCGGTACAAGTCGTGTGGTTTACATGAACAGGAGACCTAAGTCAACTAGAAACGTATTGACAGTCCGGATAGCATCCATGAAAATGATGGAAGAGAATCGCAAGTGTTATTTCCCGCGTCCGCCGATTCGATTTCGGACAAGGCGCGTCTCGGAAATATTCGAATTGTGAGCAATTTATATTCAATCGCAGTTCTGTAACATTCCGCTTCTTATTTGTATATCCAGCCGCAAACACAACAACTTTCAAGATTTCCATTTTCATGATTCAACACTTCGGACATCCGCAATTTTTCTATATTTACTTCGTTTCATTCCGCCGCATCAACATAAAAATGCGAAAACAAAAGCGGAAAAAAATGTGGCCACAAAAATGTCAAGCGATTTGGCCCAAATATTCACAATCCGTATGGATATTTCATCAGCGCCTATTCATCCTTATATCTGAATGGATTTTTCATGCGAGAGCGGCTGGCTGTGACAGACGATCTATCTCGCAAATATACATATGATACAAATGTATCTTTACAAAATATGTGGTGTATTCACAGATCATAGAAAACGTAAACATAGTGATTCCATGAATCCCGGCATTGCAGTCCTTTAACGTGAATTTCAATGATCCACCAATTACGATAGGTAGATGGATAAATCCTTTGTTTATATTTCAATAACCAGCGTACGTGATGCAAATTTGTGTTAACACGCGTAAATTTCTGTTTGATCGCGTTATTGTAAACTGGATGCCGATGAGATACCACTTCGTCCTTGTAATCCGTTTATTCCTCGGTTGCACATTGGCCGCAATGCAAAATCGTATATTGCACAGCATATAAATCGATAGATAGGACACTAAGCGTTCAATTGGCGCACATATGCTGGTTGAAATACATAAATGTACTCAAAGATACCTCTCTAACGACATGCAATTACTGAAGTGGAAATGTGACTCCGTATCGAAGACTATAAACGTAAATTTCAATGCCAGTTATTTTATTCCGCAAACATGCACATTGGAATGACTCCCAGAAAGATACAATTAACTTTTATTTTATTTTTTCCACTTTGAAGCACAAAAAAATTATATAAATGAAATTGGCTCATCAAAATGTTCTTTAAACGAAAAACTTTCGATAGAGGACAGAATAACTTCGATTAACTGAGATATTGGAAGATTGTCTAAACAAAAAAGCCGCAGCCGAAAACGTCAATAAATCAATTTTTCTTGCTGCGGATTCGTTCGCAAAAACACCTAAAGCCTTTCGATGAAGAAATTCCCAAAACGATCCTCGCATATAAAAATAAAAATAATTCCACGCTATTCGCAGGAAATAGAAGATTACTAAATAGCTGCCGGCAAAAGTACAACTTTTTCGTTGTTTTCTACGCTTGACGATAATAAACTTGAATGTTTACTATTTTTAGAAAATTCGACTTACCTTTTGCAGTTTGGGATGATCGTATTTTATGAAAATCTCCGAGTCGTCCTGATGTTTGGGCGGATTGTCGTTTTCATCCAGCACCTTGAGAGATAACTTCCTACTTTCTTTTCGTTGTGAACCGTTGATATCCTCGATGAAACAGTGGACCGTAAAGTTAATCAACTCCCCAGCGAATCGCTTCTTGCGTAAGTTATGCTCGTGAACCGGCGAACGTTGAAAATCTCGCTCTAAAGGTTTCAGCGTACGAATTTTCCACAATTGTCTCTCGTCTTTTAAATCACTTTTAATATTGCGATGATTATTTGCATTAAGACCCACGTCATTATCTTTATCTGCATAACCGGCACTTAGACTTATTCGATCGTCTGAAAGTTAATAAAAGATGTTTTTAGTTTGACTAAATTTTTATTTTTGTATGTACGAGTATTTTTACTAAAAACCGAATTAAATTAGGTTCGTTACCTTGATTGGCTATGGTGTAATTAATTCGATAGCCGGGGCATAGTGATTGCAGATAGGATGACCCTAACGTGCCCACAATCGACGGCCGACGATTCTCGTAGATGCGATAATCGGCGGCTTGCCAATAGCACAGATTACTGAGAAGGAAATCGCATTCGTAGCCCTTCGCACGCTCAGGGATCTTTTTACTTTCACCAACCGGCCCAAACCTCATCACGTCCACGGTGACCGTGGTGTTATCTAGATGCCCACTGCTGTCCTCGACAGATATCTTCACCGCAAGGGTCGACAGGTCTGCAATCATAAAGTAAGCACATCACGTGCGTTAAGAAAAAATATTGCTGGAAAAACCATTGATTTCTATCACTAAAAACATCTACACTTACTTTTGTCTTCTCCTGATCGACGAATAAACGCTTCAGTGAACGCTAAATTTTTACCATCCACTATCTCGAAATGATTTTTGTTGTCATGCAGCACGTACTTTAGCGTCTTGTTGGGGCCTGTAGCTTTATTTGAAGTTTCTCTTCCCACGTTGGCGCTGACATGATTTTCATCGGCTGCTTCATGCGGTAGAGTGTAGAGATGAGTGAGGACACGATGCTCCTTGCTGACAAAGGACGGAATCGTCAGCTTGAGGTTGCCCATGGAGAAATAGGCGCCTTGTGTATGGTGCACATCTGGAAACAGGCAAGAAACGCAGACGCAAAAATTAATTAATCTAAGATTTAAATGAAAAACAATGATAAACGAGAGTGCATGATGTATTTTGGCGTTGTACGCTTAGCAAAACGTGTTAGTTGTAATATTTTACGATTTTTTTATTAAGGGATTAAAACCTACGCTTTTGTACATACTACGACAATTAAATAGTAAATAGTAAAACGTAAAATATATACTCAGATTGAAATGAATTTTATATCTCTATCAAAATTTACATTATATTTTTGCGTCAAATTATATTTGTTCATGTTTTGTACGTGTCTAGTTTATTATTTTACAAATATTCATATTTTTTGTGCAAATAAAAACAGATTGATACCCTGGTGTAATTGCTTTGCAATGTCATGTAGCGAGCATACAGATGTTGACCTTTTCAACTTGTCCGCCATAATGCATTGCGAATGGATGAAGGATTGTTCTGCCTACCCACCAATGCGAAACATTGGCATGCTTATAAAATATTTATACTGATCGATAGCAACAATTATTCCAAACCACAGTTTAAAAAGTATGTTAATAAATAGTACAGCAGCTTGCAATTAGCTTTTTTACTGTAAAAAAGATAGTAAATTTAAAATAAATTTGTTTAATTTTTTGCATATTATCACGAATTCATGTCAGTCTATGCACAATTACAATTCGTTGCTTTGGTGTTTGTGGTACATGCTGCTGTGACTTTTCCCGCTTTTCGTAATGGCTTGAGCGGTTAAAACGTGAAGAGCTCACAAACTGTTGAGCGCGTTGGTTGTAATTAAAAACGCCGCCAGCATTTTTATGCGCTCGCATTTATCATTTAAGTTTTCTTCGTTTTGCGTTCTTTTCATTTTATATTGTTTGATTTTTTATCACGCCTCCACTAAAAGCTCTGCATATTAAAAACTCCAGAATTGTTCATATTTAATTATTCACAGTTATAAATATAGAAAAATCTACCTCAAGAATTTTATAAAGTATTTTTTCGTCAATATTAGAAAGGTTATACATTACTTATGCGAGAACGTGTCGTTTGTGATCACTAAGCAAACATATTTCCTTTGTTAGGTTCAGTGTGCTACACTTTAAATTATTAAATTCCACTCCACCACCAATATACCACATCATGACATAAACTATTTGCTCAAAGTAACTTTGAACACAAAAAAGGTAAATTTATTATATTACATTCCTCAAATTTACGTAAACAATTATTAATAATAAATAACATAATGGTCTTCAAATCGAATTAAAATCCATATTTTTAAAAGTAATATTAAATGAGTCGTGTACACATAATAAAAGTACATTATTGTAATTATCCTTTACACGTTACATTTCATTTTTCTTATCTGATTAATTTCCTACTCATCACATTACTCTATATTATTATTAGATACAAAAACTGTTTAGAAATAAAGGTGTAGGGCAAGTTCAAGGTTAATAATATCGGATAATTTTACTACCTACGCATTAAAGTAATAAAAAACAGATCAATAATGTGTGCAACTGCGTTTTATTGCACTTATTGCATTGCTATACATTTCAAATCGTGAAAAATAAATGTTGTTTGACTAGATATTCTTCAATTTCCGCATAAAGTGCACAGCGGGTAAATAACTAAATCCTACAAGTTCTATTCAGCGCTGATTCCCCTACCAATACTTAGGTAGGAGGCTCATTATAATAGAAAATGGAAAATGCAGGCAGGCAACAGCTGTGGACGTGAAAATCAGGTGCCAGGTGCAATGTTGCGAGACCTAACGAGGCGATGAGGAGTGCGAAGGTTGTATGGAAATGGAACGGTCGTTTGCACGCAAACCTTTACCAACATTTTCACATTTAACTAATATATACCTATATTATTATATACCAACCGGCACGGAGCGCATTTAAAACAGTATGTATGTATATAAATAGAACCTATAATTACATTTACAAAGTTGGAATAAATTTTCCATTTTAAAACAAAAATGCCAAAAAATTGGATTTAATTAATAGCCTACAAGACATACTGTATAATTTGTTAATGAAGTACAAATTTGCACGCAAGAATCGCAAGAATCATAATCGCACTTCATTAAAACCGTATTAAAATAATGCATATGATAAAATCATGCGTTTGTGCAATACATTCATAAATGTTTTTCTATAATTTTTCGAAACACAATGACAAAACAAACGAAATATGCAAATGCAAATTTCAACTCGAACAACTGTTCACCTTTAGTCTAGTGACGCTTGATTTAAAATTCAAATCAAGTTTGTGGAACGATATACATTTTGTGATAACACATTTTCATTATATACCAGACCCAACTAAAGTAATGTTGTTCCATAAATAATTTCATAGAAAAAATGTGTGTTTAATAATAATTTGTGTATATGTATAGACATAGTGAGTAAAAATGGTGGTACTCAGTAAGTTGCAACTGTTGTGTGATTTTCCGTTTATAAAATCATGTCGGCCATTGCATTTTTCCGGACATCAACATTGTTCGGCAAATGCAATCATGTGTTTTCTCAATGCAGCACGTGCCTGTACCAAGTATTACGTTCCTGTGTATATAGTACGTAAATTGCAGAAAATAAACCAACAATGTGTGAAAATGTCATCATTTTTAGTTGCAACTTGCATTAGTTGGAGCAAAAAATTTAAACCAAGAGAAGTTCTTGGAAATTTTCCTTGGATATTTACGATCGGTTATTTATGGTGGAGTATTTCCAATGGCTGCCAGTGGGACTTTATGTTTATATCTGACATTATTTGGTCGAATTGATGTGAAAACTCTTCTTACTATTGGTGTGATGGTTGGGGTGACTATTTTTTGTGAAACCAAACGAAATCGTCGGCTTAACTCATATATGATTAGCACATTAGTAAGTAATCAGTGGGTTTAACTGGTTTTGCTTCAAATAATATTCAAAACTAATTTTTAAGGCATTGGAAGTAATGGTTAATGAATTGGAAGCCAAGAATTTGATAACAAGAAGTCCGCTTCGCGACACATTAAAATTTATGGCAATAAATGGATTAGTCATGTATTTCTTGGCCCGCAAGAAGCTGAAATCTTTGAACTTTTGGTAATCCCCGCCAGACCCTGAAACTTAACATCATTGAACTAAATTTAGCGATAAATTCTGAAATTTTGACTTCCAGGTTTTACGACATAAAACCAATTAAAGAGAAAGCCCCAGATGATAACGTAGAAAACATCCAAAAGTGCACACATCAGGATAACTGCACAAACTTTCTCAAGGAAGGTTTTAAAAAATATTTTTTCATCGGCTATGGATGGAACCTAATCAAAATAATAATGAAAAAGTCAGCTCTAATGATAAAGAAACCAAAATTGATTCCATCATTTATAGTAAAACTAGAAAACCTAAAATTTGGTGCTGTGCTTGGTTTATATGCTGTCATCTATCGAGTAAGTTAACATTTAAATCGTATAAACATAAAATATTCACACTAACATCGAAAGTCACTTGAATGCAAATCAGATAAGCGGTTCCAACAACAACATTACAAAACTAGCACTTTATATTATGCTGTAAATGTCACTATTTGTAATGAAACATTATTAATATTTTACTGCTGAGCACTTTAGATTGCTTTAAGTTTTATATAAGTTTTTTACTAACCGCACGCATGTTAACAGTACATAATGTGCAATCTGGTGAAAATCGATTCCGTTCAAAGTGCACAACGAAGGGCAGTCCATTCGGGGTTGGCTGGCGTGCTCGCAGGCAGCACTTATATAATCGAACCAAATTTACAATTTGGATTGACGGCACTGGTAACATTGCTACAGGTAAATTATTCAATAATAGAACAATCTATTTTTGTTTGTGTGAAAATAGATTTCACCTGTCTATTTTTAAATTATGTAAATTTTTTACATTTAAAGTAAAATAATAAATAATTTGCTTTTGCATTCAGATATTTTATGAAAATTTAAAAGAAACGACATTCAATGAAAATTTCTGGGAGAAAGTGCCCGGAGCTGAGTTGTGCTTCATTGTAATGGTTTCATATTTGAATATTTGTTACATCGCCAATACGGTCGACATGCAACGAGCCAATATTAAATTTATTTATGACACTTTTTCCGGGAACATGTAAGTTTTCTCAAGTTACAGATTTTTTTACTGACTAACGATATAAATAATGATTTCTTTCAGTGCAAGCAAATTCCGAACGGTGATTCTACGAGAAATGAAATTAATTCAATGAATATATATATTATTTAAATAAATTGTGCTATCAATTATTTGGATTAAAGTTGTTATCATGTATTTATGGTTGAATTAATAGGTAATATAATGTAAGCGGCAATTAACGCATTTGAATTGGATTAATATATCAAAATCATTCGTGAGTAGAACTGCGAGGGGCAGAGAACTATAATCAGTGTTTAAATTATGATAACATCTATGCAAACCCGTTTGCATACCAATTAACTCTGCTTAAACTAATGTAGAATAATCCATATTTGTATGCAAATAATTTTGTGATTTTTTCGTCAATTTAAATGTGAAATTTAATTTAAAATTTAATGAAATTTAAAAAGCAAGAAATAAACTTTTATATTCAATTGTAGATAATTTATTAATTAAATAACCCATTTAAAATAAATCTAAACTGTTTGTTTTGATGGAGTTAGATTGAAACATTTTAATTTGTTCTGAATTAAATTTGCACATAAAAGTGTTATTTTCAACAAGCTTTGCACCCTTTTTCACCCTCTTTCCTTTCCATGCAAATACTGTCTGCCTGCAAGTCTACCGAGTCTACCCTTTGTGTTACCCGTGGTCAATGTACGATTTTTCCATTCCCATTCATATGTGGAAATGGCAACAACATTCGCAAATATTTTCATACATTTCACGTTCTCCTCTGTTGCGTTTGCATACGCCGTATTTTTTCACATACGTTTGTATGTATCTACATAAAGTGGGCAGGCGTCTGATGTTCCCAACTAATAGTTGCAATGCATATAAATCCGAATAATATGGAAATGCGATGAGGGCCGATGAGCTCACCAGTTGAGTTGATGAGCCCAGCGGATGATTCCGTGCAAAATGCAAGAGACGTGAATTATTATTGCATCCCCTCGTGTGGTAGCCTCGTCGCTCTATTTTATTTCCTCAACTAGGATATATACGTTTATATTGCATTGCGCTGTGGTAGGATTCAATAGATTACGAGTTTTACTGCGACGCGACGAGAGGAAAAACGTTAAGGTCAGCTATGATTCATCCCTGCTAGAAAATACGGAGGATGACTGGACAAACTCATTCAATTTTACTAAAATCTGTGATTTTTAATTTAATGTTATTAAAAATTCAATATCTAATATATCTGGGTTTATATTTTTCTAAGAATAAGAATTCGGTAATGTTTTGTACGAATATCTACTCGTAAGGAACTTTATCTCGGCGACTAATCGCACAGTTAAATCTTAAGACACATAGTGAGAAATTCCGATGAATCCTTGTTTTCCATCATCAAATCCGAGGCTCCAGGCGCGTACGACTTCATCAACATAAAGCGTCGGCAGACGGAACAATGCCAAAGTTTTTCTCTCATTCATTTTGTGTCCTTGAATACAATCGCAGGCTCAACGCCCACCAAAAACTTGACTTCATTGAGGAATATAAATGCGTACACCCACTTTTTGCAACTTTTTTTGCTTTACTTCATTTGTAGGCATGTTTTACGACAATGTGAGAAAATTAAAATGTAATTGGTTGTTTTCATTTGATAGAATAACAAAAGTTGGAAAGAAATGAATGAAAATTGAATAATGAACTTTATATTCAAGTTTGATCAGATTAATCAAATTATATTTTGTTTATTTAACCGGTTTTACAAAGTTGATTACGGTCAATTTTTTTTGTATTTGCTTTAATAATAAAGTTAATTTACTCACCCGAAATTGTCCACAACACAAAAGTATTGCAAACAACTTCATTTTTCACAAATATTTAAATTATTTTCACGATTAAAATTAAATTGTCCTGGTCAATCAATGTCATTCGCACTTATATAAAACACGTTACCAATTGCCATGTGGCTGCCAATTACCATTGTCTAAATTTTTAATTATAATTTTATTTTTTTAATTTTTGTTTTGTGTGTTTTCTACGCGCAAAGTTTAATTCCTCCGAAGGACGATGTGCAGAACTCACGCTCGTAGGGACGCGCGCGTTATACTGGTTTCGCCGTGCGAAGCAAGCAGGACTATTCGACGCTTGAAAAGCGTGCAGGACTATGCGCGGCGTCGCGATGGCTTGAGCGTTCGAAACGTCGCAACGCCCACGCACACCTCGTTCGGCATTCAACACACCCTCGAAATTTTATGACCCCGTGCGGTGTATGTGCACGATATTTTTTGCGCCTGTGTCCGTGTGCGTGCATTGTGTATACTAAGTGTATTCAAACGCCTTGGTGAGTTATCTTGACACGAGACGGTGTTCACTTGCTCAGCGGATAAATGAGCAGCGCGATGCCGGAAGGGAGAAAATGCGGTGGATATAAACGTATGAAAAAACAAAACAATGAATAAATAAATATCAGGACGAATTATTTATACATACAGATATGAAAAACGTTGCTTCGCGGTGAATTTTAGGCCTGGGCAGTAAATTAAACATGAACAAAATTTAAAAAAAAATTGAATTTTTTTTCTTGAAAACAAGTCAAGTTTACGTAATTTTAATTTTCGTATTTTGTATAAATAAATTATTAAATTAAATCTAAGTATTAAAAATAATTGAAGAATCAAGATGTGTTATATAATGTTGAGGCTTACTTTGTGTTTAGAATACACGAAATTCTGTTTAAAAATGTAAATAAACAGAATCGAACACAATGCACTGCACAAAATCGCGTGATCGCGCACGAAGGACACGAGTGTTACTGATATCAACAAAACAAGAGTCGAGATATTGTCGCTTGGAATTTAACACAAATATGTGCATCCTAGCACCATCTTGAGTCAAAATATAAAGTTAGATTTAAGAGGGGTGTGCGCAGAACGTGAAGCAACTCACCGGACACGAGTTTCGCTAATCAATTTACTCTCTGTCAATTGGAACCTCTAATAGGTAATGCATGCAATGGAAAGCAAAATATTATTAAAGAATGTTATGTACAAAAAAATATTCTAAAATATTTACTGTTAATTTTATTTTATCACTTCTTGGGTAATGGCTTTATTAAAAGTGTTTTGTATATTTCATACGTCACATACCGAAAATTATATATTTCTAAGTATAAACGAATAAATTTCGAGTGAGAATTTAATTATGAAAAGTTTTACGACCCAACTAGTCCAGTTTTCGGCGACCAAGTTAAACGAGGGAACGCGACAGGACGACCCACAGTTAATGCATATTCATTTTTAAAAGGATTCTATTACGGCATGATTGCCCCATATCATGCCAACATTCTTTCGTATGAATCTCGTTTTTCATCATAAGTATTTCGGCAAATTAAACTTCATTTGCCTAATTGGTTTCAAGGAAATAAAAATAAAACCCAATTACATCTTTGGAGAATATCGTCCAAATAAATTTAAAAGTTGATAGGCGTAAAATAAAAACATTGTGGGACATTAGAAAATTGAAGAATGTGAACCGAAAGAAAAACGATTTTATAGGCAAGCATCAGCTGGTGCAACCGGGAATTTCGAGGGTATCCCTGAAAATAGCAAACTGCAAATAACGACAGATCCTCCCCGATGGATAAATAATGACCCTAGTAAGCGAACGTGATCTTCTAGAAAACACAAGGATTATACATTTTTGTGAAAACCTATTCTTCATCTTGATAAAAAATGATTACCTCAATATTATTGGCTTATTTTAAATTAAACATTCCAAACATCATAAAATACTTATATAAAATTTGTTATACTGCTGCGTAAATAATGATTATGATAAAATAAAATTCAATTTACTGTAATCGTTTTTCCAATACGAAATATACGGTGCCAATCTCATTCCGGTTTCCTTTAGTGATTTTTTAATGTTTCATTCAGACCAAACCGCGGTGCAGAAAAAAATTCTTTTCACCATTCGGTAAAGACATTTCCCCACCCGAATGGCCACCATTATCGCAATTGAAATAAAATTAATCTTTATAGCTCCAACGGATCGTTCCGGTTGGATGTATCTATGCATTTACGTATGTGTGTTATTTGGATATGTGTGGTATACGAATGAGTGTGCAAATAAAATAATATTTGCGAACTGTCGGAACGTCGCTACTGATAAAGAGGAAAAAACTGAAACAAACACACTAAAACTACGAAGCTAATTCGAACTATCATCACCACTGACCGCTTGATTTTGTTCTTTGTTTTACGGCCAATTTATTAATGAAAACAAACCCTGGGTAGGATTAAATTATTTCCACACGCCGACATAAATTCATATATTGCGGAATTTATCACGCCGCCGCTTTTGGAAATCCAATATTGAACACATTGAATGAATGAATAAATGTAATAACGCGCAATAACCGTTAGCGATCGTTATTGCAGGTGAAGCGTCCCATTATAATTCATCCCCCCAGTTTCAGTTTACGTTCAGGGCTCCCAATGTGGTAAAGTTTACATTTGTAGACCCGTGTTATTCGATTATGTGACAAACACGCGTAGAAAGTGTTTGTTTTCGTAGCATCCGTAAAACATAAAGGAGCAATGCGAAATATCGATAACATATCGTTTAGAGTCACAATCATTTATTGCTACCTATGGTGACGTGACAATTTCGTTTATGTTTCACGACCTACGCAAAATGTACCTTTATGTTTATACAGAATGTCTCTCAAGAAAAGGTTACTCTTTGTGTAATATGTCGAGTTCTTTATGAGAAAAATTGATGTATCTATATATTTTCTCCCCTTTTAATTCTTTTGCGTACACATAGGGATGGTGAAAACGGCTGGATATGAGCAAACAGATCGCAAATATTGACACAGGCTAATTGTTTGTGGGTTTCATTACGCGTCACCACATCAAGGCGCAACCCTTCGCTATTCATAGACATGTTGTTGTGTTACACGAATAATAACTGTATAAAATTAACGCTACTTATATTTAAGTGTGGTTCGTGTGTGAGTTCATACATTCTAGAGCCTCTTTCTTTAATTCATTGTTCGCTTCCTAACACACACCAACAAAAAGTCTACCGCGCGCAGGACAAACTAACACATACAGTATTACTTTATTGTAACGCAATGCACACTTGAATAATTTAATGCAAAAATGTGCATCCGAGCTCCATCTTCAGTAAAACTATAAAGTAATGCGCGACTATCTCCATTTAAATCCGTGTAAGCACTGATCAAAACAAACTTCTGAAGGATAAAAAAAAACAATCTGCTGTAGCACGTGCAATCACACGATAAATTCAATTCGAAAATGACATGGTAGTGTCATCTATCTTTTCAAAAACATAAACATTGAAATGGGATGAGTGATACATAACAAAATGCCGTTGAACAAAATAAACAACAAACTTGTCTGAAAAAGTAAACAGTTCATTTATCTTGCACGCTTTACGCTAGACCTGAATAAATCGATTCTATTTATCTTAAAACTATGCTGAATTAGAAAAGATGCTCGCAGTTTCATTAATAACAAGATTCTGCTCAAGAAAACACATTAAACCCTACATTTACTTCATTATCCAGCCCGCAACTATGCCGACGTTTTCTCATAAGAAGAAGCGATTATACTTAATCCCATTCTTGTAGTTTCATTCAACTTTCCGCCATTCCTTATGGCTTGTGGCTGCATCGACCCGGGGAAAAATGTGCACGCGAATGAGCACAACGTAATATTATGCACGTACGAATCGCGAGCGGGCGCGCTGTAATCGTAAACGTAATTTCAACATAATTCTCTAATGCGATCGTTATTATGCACAACGCGTGAAAAAGCTAGGGGTGAAGACAAAGCGGTCGGTTCCTTGAAGGAAGCACACGCGCATTATTACAGCCTGAATGTTTATGAGCTCCTGGTGAATTTCAGAATACGATAAGTATGGTATGGCTTAATCCCGTACCGAAATTATAGTAAAAAGGGGGTGAATGGTGACAATGCACGCATTCTATGGCAGTCTGTCTAATTCAAGCACGATCTAAACTTTAAACTAGTACAAAGTGGTCTAATTTCTATGAATTGAGTAATGCGCTAAGTAATAAAGCAGAATTCAGCTGTATGAAGAATGTTCATAATATAATATCACTCATAGCCTCCTGCCGAGTCCCAAGTTATCACATTCGTTCCATAAAGATGTTGTTACGTTCCTTTCAGCGTCGTAAATATTCTTTATGACCATTCGCACCCCGCTTTCGCCCAGAAATATAAAACTCTGTACGAAGTAAATCAGCTCATTCTTGATGCGTCTCTTACAAATATAATACTTAATGTATGTGAATTATTAGTGATTATATTTTGTCTTTTAACAATATAATATATTCAAAAATGCGCAAATGACACTTATTTACCAATTATTTATCCATGTGAAATTATTATTAATTGTATTCTCCAATATTTTCCACGTATTTTTCATAATATTTCGTGGAGAACATTGGTACGTGTTTTGTATTCGCTGAATTTAAAAAAATTAACTTACATATTACTAAAAATATAGTTTACCAGCTCCATAAATGGTTCATTATGAAGCAAATAAAGTAGCTAATGCTAACATATAGTCAAAAAATACACTCCATTGAAGAGTCCGATAGAAACATGAAATTATTGGCTACAATAACAATTGGTATTGTATCTAATATTTGTTAGTTCCTTTTTTATTTCATTTTGTTAGTTTATTCATCGTCACCTTTGCTCTTCTTCTTCTTTTTCTTTTTCTTCGGCGGTTCACCGCCAGCATCCGCTCCGTTTCCGTTCTCTTCTACAACAGACCCATTAGCAGCGCCATTCTCATCAGCTGCGCTCTCGCTCTTCCTTTTCTTCTTCTTTTTCTTTTCCATTGACTTATTCAATACGGCTTCTTTTTCGACTTCATCCATCGCTTCCTTCATAACGTCCAAATTCTTCTTCGGAATGTCGCCGGTTTCATAAAACTTAAGTCGATCCTCCACCTGCTGACGGAGCATTTCACCAAAGACTTTTGTTTGCGATTCGGCGAAGCAATCGATTCGCGAGGCAATTGAACATTTGTTCGCTAAATAACGCGAAATACGACCCTTGTTTTTGGCGCCAGCGCGACCAATGAATGTCGAATGATACAACAAACCATATTTTGGAGTATTACCTCTAGTTTTTAACGCTCTGAAGAGTGCCTTCTCAGCGCCGAGAATCTGAACGGTTGATGCTGGGTATTTCGCCAAGTTAGTCAATGAACCAGCGTGTGAAATAAGACGCGCGCCTACTTGATCACCAATTAAAGTTGCCAAATTGGGAGCGACATCGCTCATCTTAGTGCGGAGATATTGCGACAATTCTTGGCGGTAGTCCGCGAGAGAAATAACACGTGCAGCAAACATTTCAATATTTAACAAGTCAACGACGCTAATGTCCATACCCATTGAAGAACGAGATGCGTCAAGAATAGCCTGGGCCTTTCCGGAGTCCATTGTGATTTCTTCTAGTCCAGTAAGAGAATCGTCGGTCAAATCTTTACGATTTTTGATAAATTTAGCAAGTCGAGCAAAAGTGTAATTTTCAGGCACAATTTTGACCAACTCCGGGAAATGGTAGGAGTACCATTCACTGCAGAAATCAAAACACGAAACAAAATAACATGAAATTTCAATTTTTGAAGTTGATAAAACAATTGAAACTTACCGTATTCTCATAGAGAATGTATTAATATCTTTGTCCAACTGATCCAACAAGGCAATACTCTGAATAATCATGTTGTCAACCCTATGAACATTAAACTTAACTTTAGCCCTAGAATAGGAATGCCCCAAGCCCAATTGAGCAACTGCAGCACTCTTTGAAGTGAAACCCTTTGTCAAATTGTGGAAATGATGACGAATTCCACGAATTATTTCAGGAACTGGACCAGTGTGGTTGCATTGAAGACCCAGAACTTCAGTAATGGCAGCACCTAATTTAGGGTCTGCCACACCAAGTTGAGTCTTCTTCTTCTTGGGAATAGCCATGTTGATGAACTGTTGGAGTTCATCAGGAACAATGCCTTCTGATACAGCATTGATGTTCTCCAAAGCAGTGATGGCACTCTTGAAGGGTGAAAAGCTGACCAGTTTGACTATGCTGTTAAAACGACCTAAATCGGTGACGGCCGCTTCGACTTGCGGCAGAAGCGTACCGATTTCTTCAAATTCCTCAACTTTGAAAATGCCGTAGCCAGCGGCATGTTCGTAGAGAACAAATAACTTGGACTGAAATTTGGAAACGAGAATTCATCAGCACCACGTTGCAATTGTAAGGTTATGAATACAAAACGAAATAAAATAAGCGATAACGCAAGTTAAGAAAAACTTTCAGTAATGGGAATATGAAAATGTAGCTTACCATTATTAAGCGGATCGGCACAATATTAAATAACAAATAATTAAGACACAATTATTAAATTCTAGTGCTTGGAAAACACCAACCACGCGGTGATTTCACAAGCAGACCAGTAAGAAGAAAGTTTACCGCATCTTGTGCAGGGGGCAGCACCTATCGAGAAGTTGCAAAATAAAAATGATGCGCATGCTTTATCCTATGTAGTTTGGTTCAAAAAATTAAATAATTTAATGATTTCACATAAAAAAAATTAGAATCTCATAAAATAAGTAATCCTATACATTATAATACAAAAACTAGTTTTTTAAATAAAAATTCTTCATTGAACTTCTATTTGTCTCATCTGTAAATAAGTAACCTATAATGCATTCCTGTCACAATACGATACTAAACGTAGACTCCGTTTACTACAGTTTTATTAGAGTTATTTTGGTTTTCTCAACTTTTATTGGATTTAAATGTCGTTTAAAAGCTCCGGCGATGAACAGAGTGAAGACGGCGAACTGCGTCAAAGCCCTTTATTAAATCGCAAGAAAAATGACATAATGGATTTCAGTTTATCTGAAGAAGATCCTGATACTATGGATGGACTGGATATTAAACCTCCACAGGCTCATGCACCAGGACAAAGTTCAAGAAGTAAAAGACGAGATCATGAGAGACATCATAAACATCCTGACAGACATAGGGAGGAGAGACATGCTCACAGGAGTAAACATAGAGATAGAAAAGAGCGCGACGCGCATTATTTGCGTGAAAAAGAACGCTACTATAAAGAAAAAGCCAACTATGAGGCAAGTATGTACAACCAAGAAATGCAATACATGACCGAACGCGCACACCGCGAGCGTAAAGAAGAATCGAGCACCAGAAGACATTCCGAGCGTAAGCATGAAGAGAAGAAGAGAGAATCTCGTGAAGGCCGTCTTTCCGATGGTAGACATCAGCGCGAAAAATACGAAGACGACCGCCGTTCTGCAGGCGATAAAACTCTGAATGATTTACGCGCACGTCTGCTTAGCAAACGAACAAGCACCAAAAGTGAAGATGAATATTTCCACATTGAGAAGGAATTGTCAATGAGTCGGAAATATCGCGAAGAAGAAAGCATGGATACATTACTACAAGGTGAAGCAGGGATGTATGTCAAAGATATTATTAACATCAGTTCTGGAGATGATTCTAGAAGGCATAGGAGTGTAGCACACAGGGATGATGATAAGTTGACTGAGGAGGAGCGAATCGAACAGGAATTGCGCAGAGAAAAGCTGCTTGAGGCTGGTAAGTCGTTAATATTTCTTAAACATAGTGAAAAAAATTCTAAATTTGCTTCTGGTTTAATTGCAGAGAGAGAAATGGCCAGACAAAAGGAATTGCGTGAACGCCGTCATCTTGAGAAACAAAAACGTAAACTCGAAGACGATCTATCAGCGCACAAGCGAGCTAGAGTCGAGGACCACATTGTGCTCTCGGATAACACCGATTCGGATGAGGCAGAACCAGTTTCCGATTATCACGAGAACGATAGCGCAAATGAATCAAAAGACAGCGGCAGCGAACGCAGCTCAGCTCACAGTAGATCCCATTCATCCGAAAGAGATTCAGCTCGGTCTCGTACCAAATCTCGTTCGCGATCACCATCTAGATCGAGATCCAGATCCGCGAGCGCAAGTTATAGGAGTGGTGAAAAGTCACGATCAACAAGCCCTATTGATAATGGCAATATCAATTCAAACGAGTATGAAGAACGACGTTTTATCCACGAGGTACCTGACGAAGAGATGGAAAAGACAGAGGGTGAAAAAGAGACCATAGAAAAACCAATGGAAAAAGAAGAGGAAGTGAAGACTGAAGTGAAGAAAATCGACGATGATTTACCACCATATTTCCCAGCTATCCAGGGCTGTCGATCAGTTGAAGAATTCCAATGCCTAAACCGCATTGAAGAAGGAACCTACGGAGTTGTCTATCGGGCTAGAGATAAACGAACTGATGATATCGTTGCACTGAAACGACTTAAAATGGAAAACGAAAAAGAAGGTTTTCCGATTACTTCTCTAAGAGAAATTAACACGCTGTTAAAAGGACAACATCCAAACATTGTTACAGTGCGAGAGATAGTCGTAGGTAGCAACATGGATAAAATATTCATTGTCATGGATTACGTTGAACACGATCTCAAGTCGCTGATGGAAACAATGCGACATAAGCAACAGACATTCACAGCAGGAGAAGTTAAGTGTATATTAATGCAATTATTGAAAGCCGTAGCACATTTACACGATAACTGGATTCTACATCGTGACTTAAAAACGTCAAACTTATTACTCTCGCATAAAGGTATTCTAAAAGTAGGCGATTTTGGTCTTGCACGAGAGTATGGTTCACCTCTCAAGCCTTATACATCGATAGTTGTTACCTTGTGGTATAGGGCGCCCGAATTATTACTTTGTGTAAAAGAATATTCTACACCAATAGATGTGTGGTCCGTGGGTTGCATATTCGCCGAGTTGCTTCTAATGAATGCATTATTTCCGGGCAAGGCGGAAGTTGCTCAACTTAATCTTATCTTCAAGTTATTGGGAACACCGAATGAAATGATATGGCCAGGCTACAAGAAACTGCCGGCTGTCATGAAAATGAAATTTACTGAATATCCAGTATCGAATTTACGGAATAAATTCCCGACGATATCAGAGTCCGGTTTGAATTTACTTAAAAGTTTTCTCACTTACGATCCAGCGCAGAGGGTTACAGCGGAAGATGCACTCACCCATCAGTATTTCACCGAAGTACCGCTGCCTATTGACCCGGCGATGTTTCCTACATGGCCGGCGAAGAGCGAACTCGGACATCGGAAAGCGCTCGCTGCAAGTCCCAAACCACCGCGCGGAGGACCAGACCTCAAACAGGTAGTTATTTACCAAATAATCTATAATTAATAATAATTTTAATTCGTCTTTGCTTTATTCCAGCGAGATGAAGTTGCTGATGATGGGTATGGCTTCCGTATTGGTATATCCGCAGCTGACAGTCGTCGTTTGCAAATGGGAGGTGGATTCAACTTAAAGTTTTAAAGATAAGTTTAAAAAGTTATATAACAGTCTGTAATTAAAATATCCACATAAATATTAAGTTAGAGTTAAATATAACGCCTCAATTAAAAGTTAAAATAAAGTCGGGTTAAAAAAAACTCCTAAAAATATTACTGGTTATTCCCTATTTTGCGGATCGCAATATACGTCCGCTAAATTTTCGGCCGATTCAATTGCGTCCTGCCTACTTAGAGAGCTGATTGAATTGCGACTGTAAATACTGACATTACTCGCGCTAAGCATGCGTGTCTTATGTGGGGGCGAGCAACTGGAATCTGAAAAGTTTCCGTCCAAAGTCTTCGCGCTGCGCTCCGGTGAGCAACTTTGGAAGGACGCCATTGAGAGAGCTAAACTGTTAGAGCTTTGCGACTGGCACTGTACGAAACCAGGCGATTTGGTTGGTGTAGAATTATCCGATACCAACGGGGTACTTTCATTGTCGCTCGCGTCGTTGAGTTCTGGATTTGAGTACAAGTATTTTTCTTTGAGTATATGCTCGAATGATTTTTTATGATGTCGTCGTGTTGTGTCGATCGACTTGGAGCGGTTTCTCGACGGCACCTTTGTGTCCTTTAGTACCAGACTCGTAGGCCGTTGTTTTTTGACATCGTAATATACTACGGTGTTTTTATTATTAGGCTTGGTAGGATCTGGGGTCGTTTGTTTAATCACGACGTGCTTCGGCTGTTTGTTCGCCACATTGGGGTCGCTTTTAAGATTGTTTAGCTTTATGCTGCTACTTCGACGTTCCGCTACTGAAAACATTAATAAAAGTATTTACAAATTCAACATTTACATTTTATGATTATATTACCTGGTGATAAATGTGGGCTACTACAGCGTGAACTATCGCCACTGATTGGTTCCGACTGACCGGAAATCGAAATCGTCACTGGTTGCCAACTTCCGATTGGTGAGGACTGCAGGATAACGAAGTCCGTTTCGCCGAAACCACACGCGCTATTCGCACGTGACCGAACGGTCTCGTTTCCTTCTACGGACAGAAAGCAAGCTGCTACAACTAAATCAAACTAGGTTTAGCACCAGCGTGAGATAGCAGATGTAAACAAACGACATTTTGATAAAACGGACGTCACAACTGCGTTAATTTAATTAGGCAAGCGACCTTAATTCACTTGTCATGAAATAGCTAACCCGTGATTCTTTTGAAAGCACGATTAACTAATAACAGTGATTTTTATCAACTTAAAAGTAGTTTTATAGCCAAAACCTACTATTATGGTACTTGGGTCGAAATCAATCACGAGGTAATTGTCTTTGTCATATTTAACAATATCGTGGGAATATCTAAGCAACTAATAAGTATTTACGAAGCAACTACAAACTACGTCAGAGATAAATGCGACTTAAAGTAAATAAAGCAGTGCTCTACAAGAGTTCATTCGTTTAATTTACAAGTTACGATATTAAGTACATCATGCGAGGTGTAAATGCATTTTGAAAAGTTTAAAACACGTAAGAAATTAATGGATACTGGATTTAATTTGGTCAATGTAATTTCTTTCTGTTATTTGTGTGATGTTGCATTCTGCCATTTTGTTCCAAGTAGTATTAAGGAGCATTATTGTTAGGAATATTTACTACACAGTAATACTAAACACCTAAACAATCGTTCAAAACGCAACTTTCAATACAACAAAGTAGTTCCACGTCTAAATCTAAAACGACCAAAACGGAAAATTTGTTCGACAGTTTCTATAAAACATAAAATACAAGTGGCAGGCTTATCTAATGTTAAAATATCACAACATGTATGGCACAATTGGCTCCCTGCTTAATTTAAACTTTCTACGCACACACACATAATACTTTAATTTCTTATTGTTCTAAATTATATTTGTTTCGATTCAAATGTTTGGCTCAAAGTCGGCGCCGTTGACAGACTCGTTCTGCAATTGACGCAAAACGTCCTGCTGCTTCAGGCGGCCGTTTTGTGGCTCAAGTATCATAATAGTAGGTTCGACATAATCGCCCGTGTTTGTGCTCATGTGATTCATGTTCGCACTCGATGCGTCGCTAAAAGTCTTATTTTTAAGTTGGTGGTCTTCACCTTGTGAGCTGTCTGGACTGGGATGGATGACAAACGTGCGCGGAATGTCGCCGTCCATCAGTTCAGGATTCTCCTCGGTTTCTTCAAGCACATCTTCGCACGCTTCCTCGTTCAACGTTTGCAGTGCACCGCATATCATTTGTTCCTCCAGGGTTACCTAAACAAATTAAATATTTACAACGTATTCATTTACTTCTGAACAATTTTTAGAAGTGTGATTAGTGTAGACAACACATGCAAGACATTCAGACAGATATTTTACCTGATACTACTCCAAGGCAATAAAGAAAGCAGAAGAAACCGAAGCATTAGAAATAATCTTAAAGATTCTTTCGAAAATACTGTACCTGTTTCTCAATTACGCTTTGTTTTGTTCGCTGAGTCGCTGCATCATTTTGAATTTTAGTTTCCTCACGATCACGATCCCCTTTAGCGGATCCTAAATATTACGTAAATTTTGAATGTTGCGTTGACTTTTTAGATGAGATTATTTACCTTTTCTTTCCTGATGATTTCCACTGGGCAACTGATTAGTACCAATAGAAAACCTGACATTTTTCGCCTCATCCTGCCGTACAATTTGAGTCAATTCATGCTCCCTTAGTGAAACAACCACCACTTTGAACATTTCCCAATCGCCAAATGTCATTTTCAACAATTTCTTTAACTCCTCCAAATCACAATGCAAAAGGACACGTCCATTTACGTTGTTCCTGCGGACGATTTCCTGATAGCCTCTCAAGGCATCTGGAGAAAACTCATGCATTTTTTCTAGTATCTTACAAACACCTTCGACATTCATAGCAGACAATTTCGAATCCAAAAAGTCTGGGGACAAAGTTGAGATTGGGTACTGCGGAATTGGGGATGCTTGGTGCATGACAAGATGGTCACCCCAAGGTTGCCACGGTTGTTGTGGATACATGGGCATTGCTATCGGCATTGAAGGTGCCGGTGCCTGAGTGCGATTTATAGATCGCTGTCGGCGTGACAAAGGATGTCGTTGGGCCGTCCAATCTGATGCACTCTGTGGCGGCCACGAAACATTTTGATGAATGTTCATATTACGATACGGTGTCACCATGTGCGAGGTATCATTATAACCCTGCGTTTCTTCTTTAATAACTTTCTTTAGATACGGATCTAAATTGATAGTAAAAGGCAAAAAGATTTTTAAATCACTGATCAACAAGGTTGATTTGTGATATGTGAGGAAGAAGTCAAACTTGCGCTCGTCACGGTCCAGTTCCAATAAGGGTTCCACATCTTTCATTGTAGGAATATTTGGACGCACCCTACAAATTATTATATTTAACTCTAATAAATCATTTATTTATTTACACTAGACATACTTATCATAAACGGCTTTGAGGGAAAAGTTATCCTCCATAGACTCCTCATACAAATCGTAATGATAAATAATCCAGGATGTTCTAAACGGCCATTGTTCAGTAATATTAATCCAAGATGCCAGGCGATACCAGGAGAAATCAATCTGAAATGCTTTGAGGAGTCTGCCCGTAATATACACAACGTTCATTAATCGTCGCATGGATCTTGGATTCACATCGCTAAAGTAGTCATCTGTGAGAAGCATTTTTGTGAGATCCTGCGCGCCTCCAATACGATTCAGGTTCGATCCAATCGAACTCGCAATCGACTCAGATCCCTTCAATTTACGAGATCCTTTACGCCCGCCAAATTTAGTCGATAGTTTTTCCGTGGATGACATTAGCGCGTTTTCAGATGAAAGTCGACGAGCAGATAACTACAATAAAATTATTTCAATTACAAACTTAAGGATAAAAAGCAAATATCAAACTTACAGAACGACCGGTAACACTCAAACTATCATCATTTGATGCCGATTGAAAGGCATTCTTTCGATGGGCTAACGCAGTCTTCTGTGCTTCTTTAAACTTGCGCAATCCAGAGTTTTGCAAATAAAACGGCAAGTGTACCATATTGTTTAAATAACCGTGGCCGCCAATATTACTCTCACTAAACAATCTCCGTGAATTCATCTCCACGGCTTTCGAAATGACATGCGGATCAATTGCAAGAATTACAATAAAGGGTGAATTCGCATCTGAGAATAACATATGCACTGCATCCAAAACAAGTAGAACTTTGTCTTGTTCACTGCTATCAAGTCCATCCACAACAATAACTAGTCGTGTCTGTTGTGAGGACAACGAATCAAGACATTTCACCATATCTTTCATTAGATTGACCTCATATCGCAATGCTTGTAAGAAACCTTCTGATTTCAGTGTATCCAGTCTTGAAATGGTTCGTTGCAAATGGCGTCGCTGTGAGAATATCAACGATCCAAACATTTTACTCCACGTATACAAATTAGCCAACACTGATATTCCAAGCATAAACGCCGCAAGTATTAAAATAACTTGCAGTGTCATAAACCCAGAAATTTCTTCAGTATTACTCTGCTGTTGATTGTATTGAAACAAAAACACTACCAGCGCGCTAATGCCCATCAAAAAGAAGATAAACATTGTCTCAAACACAATAACATAGGGTAAACAGCATAGTTTCCTCCAACGCCATGTTGACGATGATTTTAGTGCTCTCGGTTTAAAAGCACGATATAAACGAGTCACAACCGATCCATAATCATTCTCGATCGCATCATATAATGAACCAATCATTTGTACCACCGAATTCTCCCCGCTTGTGGTACTGCTCATCCTTGTCTGGTCAGTGAAATAAAACCGTATCGGTTGTGCTGATATCGAATCATGTGACGGTGCTCCCGGAGGATGACAGAATAATATCTGTAGTATCAGCTTCAAGTTATTCATTTTTGTTGTGAGTTTCGTGTTGAAATTATACGGCCAATCCCAATCGTATCGTTTGCTTGCAAACCACACGAATGCTAATATTATATACGAAACAAACAAAACTCCAAGCCCAACACTCAAACCCGATCGCCAATCAAATGCGGATAGGCCAACAATAGTGCCTACTATAAGTGCAACGTGTAAGATTATAAGAAACAATAACGGCGTAAACTGGAACACCGGATCAATCCACTGCCTCGCAAAGTTCTTCATTTCCTCACGTAGTTTATTCAATAGAAAAGACTTACCACTGCCCCATTTAGCGTATAATCCAACTGTTATTGGCATTGACAACGATGGCTCACTGAGGACATCCGCCAAAGCTGAACTATACAAATCATAACCCAGCATGTTCTCATTATCCTCATTTGTATTCAATCGTCGTGCTCCAAAAATTTGTCCCAGGATAGTTTTCTGATGATTAATATCAATATTATACGGAGTTTCACCAGCACGATTCGGTCGGTACAACAAGTGACTATGTTTTGGATTTCGTAGCAATATCTCAACGATTGCTTTGGATCTGGCACGCATTGCAATGTGTAACGCGGTATCACCCTTCTTATCAGCAGCTCCTACTTTAGCCTTCTTGTCTAAAAGTAGTTGCACGACTTCCGCATTCCGACAACGTACTGCTTTCAACAGTGGTGTATCACCTTCTTTGTTGGCTAATTCGAGATCAGGATTAGCAGATAGAATCATTTTCACAATATTATTATTGCCCTTTTCGACTGCTACATATGTAGCTGTTTTACGCTCTTTTCCGGCCACGTCTACATCTGCATACTTTTTGAGTAGAGCTTCCACTACTCCACGATGGCCACCTTTGACCGCATGAATAAGATTTGTATCTCCTGACCGATCCTGTGTGAATATTTATTTAGTATTTTTCTACCTTGATTGATTTTTTTATTACCTGTATGTTAATATAAGCATTACTGCTCATTAAAGCCGAGGCAATTTCATAATATCCTTCTTTGCATGAAATGGTCAACGCAGAACAACCGTCCTTATCCAGTGCATTGACGTTCGGTTTGTACTCTAATAATAGATTGACGATATCAATGTGATTACCCTGCGTCGCGACTAAGAGCGCTGTCCATGAGTACATTCCAGCTGTATCAACATTTGCTCCTATACGAAAATAAAATAAAATCAATCAGATTATTTTCCATGATTGAGGAAAATAAAAGTTACCTGCTCTTAGTAGCAAGCGTACAATTTCAGTGTGACCCTTTCTTGCGGCCCAAATTAATGCAGTAGTGCCGTATTTATCTCCCATGTTGACTTTTCCGCCATGATGCAGTAATGTTTCAACAATATGCGTGTATCCTCTACCTGACGCCCACAGTAGACCGGAAATGTGATAATTTCCGTGCGCGTTGACGTCCGCTTTGTTGTCCAGCAACAAGTTGAGTACATCCAGGTGACCCTTGTAGGTAGCCCACATAAGTGCAGTCCAACCACCCTGTATATTATGTTTAATTAAGTATAGTTGCAATCAAATAAAGATAAGATAGTATGATAACACACCATATCACGATGTTCTATTTCGGCATTGTTCTCTAACAATAAGCAACATATATCTGCGTGACCTTCCTTGGCGGCGCAGAGTAAAGCGGACCAGTTATCCGCATCCGCCGCATTTGGATCCGCTCCCATTTCGAGCAGTTCCCGAACGAAACGGGTACGTCCCTTGGAGGCGGCAACCATAAGTGCTGTCGTTGCATTCTAACACAATAAAATAATTTCTACTATAATATCTGCTACGTAGACATGATATTTGTTTGTATCTTTACTATGTTTGTTTAAGTTAAGACACACTCGAGAAATTTTCCATTACCTCATCGCGATCGTCGATTTGCACCTGTTTCCCCTGCAGGAATTGCTGGAAGCCTTCAAAGTTATCATCGCTGATAAATCCAGTCAACGAACGGAAGCAAATCGACACCATCGATTCGGATCGATGGAGCGTCTACAAAAATCGAAGGTAAACGGTATCAACATTTGTCGTCGGCGACACACTTGATAAACATCAAGGTAATTATTAATAAACAGCAAATTTAATACAGAACGGGATAACCACCTCCAGAAAAAACTTCACTGCAGTGCTGGTAGTCATTGTTACGGTCCATAAACAAGAGATTATTGAAACATTCACATACACAACACATTAATTAATTATTTAGTCCGCTAAACACGAGTGCAACAGACACACAAATCGTGAAGGTACTTAGTTAGAAAGACAAAATTTAAGCCCGTGCTTTTAATACCGAGCGCATGTGTCGCGATAACTAAATAAATATTAAGCAACGAACAGAGAGATGGAAATTCACAAAACCGAATTGAAAACTAAAAAAAACTTAGTAACAAACGCCTCCCACGCGCGTATTTCACTCGAATATATAATACTGAAGTGAAAACGGCGAATTTCATGCCAACTTCCTGGCGAATAAATAAATATGTCGTAAAGAAATCCATTTTAATGACATAAAAACACACGCAGAAAGTGGACAAATAACAATACGATATTTACACGATATATAAATATCTCGTTATCGTGATGCTACGTTTATTTAACGATTACTCGGTTCTGGAAACAAATTATCCTGATGCACTAATTTCTAGTGGCCAAGTCAAGTAGGTATGTAGTTAAGCCAAGTTTGTGCACTCTGCAAATATTTATTTTGGAAGCCTTGGCTGAAATTGAGCGTAGACGAGACACAAGTGCAATATAAATCATAACTCATTGAAAACTGTTGTTGCGTTATCGCCGCTTGTTTCATCTCAAGCCAGAAGCGTGTATTAATAAAACAACAAAGCAAATGTGCACACAGTTAGTGTACCACCTAGAATAGTGTTAAAAAACGTGTAGATAGTGTGACAATAAATTGAAATAACAGTGGAGCGTGACGAAAATGTGCGATTAGTGTCACAATACAAGTAAAAACGGTTAAAGAAATAAAGATCAAAGAAAACCAAAGATAAACCACGAGAGAGGGTACGTAAGTGCTAGTACGCAAGCGCACAACTAACGTTGTGCGAATGTCGACGCAGGCCCAGCCCGCCAAACGTGAACCACGGCGACTGCGATGAACCGCCATCGGGGGCGGTGAGTGAAAACGACGGCAGATGTAAATGCGTTAGGGAACCTCTCCAATTGCTCGAAGTTTTTCTCGAAGTTTTGTGCATAGATGATTTGGCGTGGGTGATTTTCAAAACTTCAGTCTCGAAGGAGCGATGTCTATATCAATGTTCTTAACGATTTTAAAATTTTCTTTGATTTAAAATTAAGCCGTGTTGAGACTAATAATTGTGTAGAGCGATTATTGTCTAAGTATGAAAAAGATATTGAGCCAGAATATTTCACTGATGAGTTAAATCATTTTCTAAAATACATACAAGAAGAAAATATTAGAGATCCACATGAAATGTATGCAACATTAAATAATGGTCTAAAATCAACTTTTCCAAATATACACACAATACTGCAAATTTTTTTGACCTTGCCCGTTTCTAATGCAAGTGGAGAAAGGACATTTTCAGTTTTAAAACGAGTCAAAAACTATCTGCGCAATAGTCTTTCACAAGAGCACTTAAATGACTTCGCATTAATGTTCATAGAAAATGATATTTTTAAAAAACTAGAGTACGACAAAATTATTGAAATCTTTGCCCAAGAGAAGGCAAGAAAAGTAAATTTGTAATTTGTATTTAAATACGATTACCGTTTTTAAGCACACGTACGATGAACTCGAGAACCAAGATAGCATTGAAAACGATAATCCCATCGCGGATAGTATGGCAGAAAATTTTACCTGTGATATTTCGATCGGTCCTGAAAACAATTAACGCACAACACCTGGTCCATTGCGAAGAGCGAATCGGAAGATAATCCATTAAATTTTGGAATAGTGCGTGTGGATTAGGCCTACTGGGGATACCACGATAAAAAACGCGCCACGTACTCTACCTCATGGTGGTGTGGAAATGAGTTTTTGGCACAAACGAATGTTGAAATAGACTTTGCGGCGCCCGTACGCTAAAACTATTAATTTTACTGGGCTAATAACCGTTTTTGAAAATTTTCGGATTTAGGGGCCCCAAACTTGATTTGCGCCTAGGGCCCCACTGAAGCATAATCCGCCACTGTATAGTTGCAATCAAATAAAGATAAGATAGTATGATAACACACCATATCACGATGTTCTATTTCGGCATTGTTCTCTAACAATAAGCAACATATATCTGCGTGACCTTCCTTGGCGGCGCAGAGTAAAGCGGACCAGTTATCCGCATCCGCCGCATTTGGATCCGCTCCCATTTCGAGCAGTTCCCGAACGAAACGGGTACGTCCCTTGGAGGCGGCAACCATAAGTGCTGTCGTTGCATTCTAACACAAAAAAATAATTTCTACTATAATATCTGCTACGTAGACATGATATTTGTTTGTATCTTTACTATGTTTGTTTAAGTTAAGACACACTCGAGAAATTTTCCATTACCTCATCGCGATCGTCGATTTGCACCTGTTTCCCCTGCAGGAATTGCTGGAAGCCTTCAAAGTTATCATCGCTGATAAATCCAGTCAACGAACGGAAGCAAATCGACACCATCGATTCGGATCGATGGAGCGTCTACAAAAATCGAAGGTAAACGGTATCAACATTTGTCGTCGACGACACACTTGATAAACATCAAGGTAATTATTAATAAACAGCAAATTTAATACAGAACGGGATAACCACCTCCAGAAAAAACTTCACTGCAGTGCTGGTAGTCATTGTTACGGTCCATAAACAAGATTATTGAAACATTCACATACACAACACATTAATTAATTATTTAGTCCGCTAAACACGAGTGCAACAGACACACAAATCGTGTAGGTACTTAGTTAGAAAGACAAAATTTAAGCCCGTGCTTTTAATACCGAGCGCATGTGTCGCGATAACTAAATAAATATTAAGCAAGGAACAGAGAGATGGAAATTCACAAAACCGAATTGAAAACTAAAAAAAACTTAGTAACAAACGCCTCCCACGCGCGTATTTCACTCGAATATATAATACTGAAGTGAAAACGGCGAATTTCATGCCAACTTCCTGGCGAATAAATAAATATGTCGTAAAGAAATCCATTTTAATGACATAAAAACACACGCAGAAAGTGGACAAATAACAATACGATATTTACACGATATATAAATATCTCGTTATCGTGATGCTACGTTTATTTAACGATTACTCGGTTCTGGAAACAAATTATCCTGATGCACTAATTTCTAGTGGCCAAGTCAAGTAGGTATGTAGTTAAGCCAAGTTTGTGCACTCTGCAAATATTTATTTTGGAAGCCTTGGCTGAAATTGAGCGTAGACGAGACACAAGTGCAATATAAATCATAACTCATTGAAAACTGTTGTTACGTTATCGCCGCTTGTTTCATCTCAAGCCAGAAGCGTGTATTAATAAAACAAGAAAGCAAATGTGCACACAGTTAGTGTACCACCTAGAATAGTGTTAAAAAACGTGTAGATAGTGTGACAATAAATTGAAATAACAGTGGAGCGTGACGAAAATGTGCGATTAGTGTCACAATACAAGTAAAAACGGTTAAAGAAATAAAAATCAAAGAAAACCAAAGATAAACCACGAGAGAGGGTACGTAAGTGCTAGTACGCAAGCGCACAACTAACGTTGTGCGAATGTCGACGCAGGCCCAGCCCGCCAAACGTGAACCACGGCGACTGCGATGACCCGCCATCGGGGGCGGTGAGTGAAAACGACGGCAGATGTAAATGCGTTAGGGAACCTCTCCAATTGCTCGCATCTGGTATATTCAGATGCAGGAACGAGGGCCGTCGTCGTCCGCCTTCCTTCGCGGAGGATGACGTAGAACCACCACCGTTGCTGTCGTCAACATTCAAAGATGGCGTCGTGATGTTTACGGCAGCGATACTATGGCGTACTTTTTTCGTCGCTTGTGACGCCTGTGCTCCTTGTTGTTGCGTGAGCATTGTTGGCGAAGCGGGTGGTGCCATCGCTGAGAACGTAGGCAGCGATGGCAGGTCGGCAACTGAATCGGCCGACATTTTATCAACTGATTTGTTTGTGTTGATTACAAGGTGTGAATTAAAGCGATGAGATAGAGACATAAAAGAAAAGAAAAATAGAAAAAACACATTGAAACGCAGACAGTGGCAAGAAACACAGAACCAGAAACAATACTTAACTTAAAAGAAAGCTTCACGTTGATAATAAATAATTTATGTATGTTGTAATGATATTCGAGTAAACAAAGTAAGTGTACATATCGATTTGTCATGTTTTTCAAAAAATTTCAGTTTTAATAATAATTATTTATAGCTACTCATCAATTAAACAAATTAAATTCTATATTTAACTACGGAAAAACGAACGAATCTGAATACTATTCAAAAAGTTATAAACAATTGAATTTGATGCTCAAAGCAAAAAGTTTAAAAAATGATTTCAATTGGTCGGCATGTTCTGATTAAACAATGTTATCAATAAAATCCTTTGTTACTAAGATTCGAAATTTAATTGTGAATAGATTTATAAAAGTTTCATTAATTTCCGTTAATTAACTTTCGCGTAATTAAAGAATTACTAAAACTATTATACCGACACGTCGCGACATTTAATAAAAGAACAATACACACTCGATGAATTATGTCATTATGAATTGTTCAAAATATGACAATAAAAATTTACTGCATTGCAATGAACAAAAAAACAAAAGATAACATTTTACGTAAACACGTCAGAATTGCTTCAATAAAAGATAGAGGATAGTGAAACGTGAGCAACGCACCTACATACAACGTCAAAATAATGATCGAAGTAATAAAATAAGTATGCTTACGACATTATAGTTTGTTGGTCGTGGCCGTCTTAGCGTGCTCGTGCGCAACTTCTTATACATTTTACTAGTCATTTTCGCGTCTTCCTCAACAACGTGTTTATTTGTTTAGACTAACATTAACACACATCAACACTTGCTCCAGTATACTGCATTACATAATACCAAACAGCTGATTGCTATTAAAATGAGCATGACACCAATATATTGCGAATGAAATAAAATAATCAAATGTTCACTTCGCGATTCGCTCGCTATTCGCGCCCGACAGACACTGCACTAGCGTATGAATGAACAAGCAGATGACACCTCTATCATTATCAACAGCGATTTTCCGCAGGTATGCGAGCATAGCGCGCGGCGTGTCAGTGTTCGCTCGCATGTAAGCAACTATTGATTGTATTTATTTGTCGGCTTATCGTACATTCCGCGGTGTGTTTATCGAGGCGATAAATCTCGGCGCTCGATCGTTGCTTTTACCAGTTCGGACGGAATGATACAGAGTGAGTCCTCATCAATAGTGAGTTAATTATAGCGCCTCCGCCATCGGCAACATGTTTTTTTTCATCACTGATAAGCGCGTGATAGTGAATCAACACTTTAGATGACTACATTGCAACTACAGACAAGTACCTGTTATGTCGACACTCATTCAGAGAGAGTCTGATTAATAATTGTTAATTTATTAATTGATAAATACAATTACCTGCGAGAGTTTTAGTTTCTTGGCGACTTTAAACATTTTATTCGACATTTTACGAGCGATTCACTTAATTATTAAACATGGTAACGTACAAGTCAGCAATCACTTAAAGAATAACATCTTTCGTGCACCGATGGACTTATTTATACCTCGGGTACGTAAATCGTCGAAACACGCACCGTTAATATTGTCAAATGGTCAATCGCAATCACAAGTCTTTAGTTGTTTAGTTGAATGCCCGCCTGATTCTATTATTTGAACAAACACAATAATAATAAGTCATAATATACCTCGAAAGCGATGCAATTAAAATAGGAAACAACTTAATGCAATAATAATATAATCATAATTTCACGGATAACAAAAAACGTTGGTTAGTTAATTTAGTCATTTTTACAAATTTATTTCGATAACCACTTAATTGTTTCTAGTTTTATTATTAATCGCTATCATGTTGTAAACTTGGACGTTTAAACCAATTTTCGATGATTCAGAGTTTTTAAGTCAAATCGCGAGTCACACTTGATTTAAACTGACCGTCTTGAATTATTGGGTATGTAAGTACACGCGCATTGCTCAATCGTGTAATAAGTGAGCCAAATGGTGACAGGCGAAACAATTAAGAGGCGTACGCACGCAGCGACGAGAAGAAGCACAAGTGCCTTATGATTTATGACGTCCGCGCGGCGAATGCGTTTTAATAAGTGTCCGGCTACTACACACTTCTAATCGCGCACGATTGTCGCATACACGTTTTTTATTCCAACACAATACCGTAATAACAATAAGTTAGGTCTTGAATGGAAATAATGACGTTTAATGCAACGATTTTGAGTATAAATCGTTGAATTATTGAAATTTTGCTTAGCAACTTAAAAAAATCAAAATTAAAACTCCTAATAATCTTTGACTTTATCTAAATACAATTGACGTCATGATTTTCGAAGATAATTCAATGTCATAGGATAATAAATTAAATGTAAACAAATTTATAAATTTTGTTATTATAAAAACGCAAAAAATAAAATTATTTTATGAAATTACCTGTGATGATCGTAGTGTGGCCTTAACAAAATGATAATACGGAAATAATGACCCATAACTTTTGGCTGGAGCGACAATCAACGGCACACGTTCAGTATTTTCTTTTTTCTTGACTTTCCTGCCATCTTTCCGCTCCCTTTGACTTCCTTTATACGATGATGTGCTACTTTTACTACTAGTGCTACTCTTCGATGACATTATTCACGCACATGTATCACTACACTACAAATTTATGCTTTAAACCAACCCGAGTTGCAAACAAAACGTCCGATTATCAGTAAGCATTTTTGTTTAAATAAAATTAATATTAAAATAAGTTTAAGGCCTTTGCATGATGCGTTGTGCTACAATGACGTAGATACGCAAATGAAACTCAAATGTGGATGCTCTCGCCTTGGCCGCGATTGTTTACAAACAATTAATAATATTCCGTACTCGCGTCGTAAACACCACTACCGAATTGCGTTTATAGCAAGAAAATAGAACATGTGAAACCAGGCAGTAAATATACGGCGTGTGGAATATTTTCACGAATCACCAGCAACGTTATTTCTTAGTTATTTAGTTATCAGATAAGTCGGTGTCGCGAGACGCGTTTATGAAATGTGATCGAACGCATCAGAACGTTCGATTGCGACGCATACGCTGCGAATCGGAAATTTATCCTCATGTACATAGTATACCCATGTATCCTTCGTCAATGCACTACTACGTTATTAAACGCGTGCGAGACGAAACGTACAAATGATAAGCACTTATCAATTCATCTCTGTATGTATTCTACGTTGTCAGACATTACATGAACTTGACTCATTTAAACGCTATCTGTTGATTTATTATAGGCAACCCAACATACATTCATTATGTATATAATCTCCCACTTTCGATTTTATTATGATTATTGTTGTTATTACATACCTCAGAAAAACGTCGTACATCTGATATACGTCGCACTAAATCATTACTAGTGTTTGTCCATTTTTCTTTCAATTCTTTCCAAGAAAAGGTTGAATTTGTTGTTAAATTGGGCACTGGTCTATACCGATCAATGGAACCCAACGAGAAACGTTTAGTGTACAAATGCGACATTATTACTATTATCGGCAATTGAGATTAGTTTCGCGTTTTAATAGGATATAAAATAATTGTATGCAAATTCGTTGATAGTGGAAACTGTAATGCAGTAGTGTAAAGTTGGAGCGATAGTGAGACTTTGGTGTGACTTTTGCTTAACACGCTTTTATTAGCGGGAATATGATGATTTTATGTACAAACATGCATGCTTACTTTCAGTACCTGTGAAATCACTTAAAACACACACGTGTATTCATAATCACGATTTGTAGGCGTCCAACAGTCTTTTTCCCCAATAAAATGGAAAATGTTTAATAAATCGGAGATTAATGTTTGAATTATCGTCCGATAAAGGAAATTTGTACGTAGTTTTCATTTATCTATATTTAAATCTTTAAAAAACGCGACATTTTTTAGAATTGTTTCTAGAAAATTGATCAAATTTGCAGATTTTGATAATCAGGAATTACCTCCTGTCGACCGCGGGGGATTAGGACGCACCAGTTACGTCCTGGGTGTCCTGCAACGTGCATTTATAAAGTAGTGGGAAAGGGGCGGATAAAATAATAGCATACATCTCCAAAGTACGCACTTTGAAACCTCTCAGATGGGTTTATTACGGACGTACTGTTGTTACGGAGAAAAATATAGCAACCGTCTATTAAAATTATAATTTACGGTTATTATCTATTCATAAAATAATCTAAGAATCATTAAATGATTCCATAATAAAAATATGATCTATGCTCTAAAAATATTGCAAAACGTGATATGCAAAACTATATTTTGCTTGCATTATTTTAAGAAACACACATGCTATTGCTATTTGCATATTGTAAATATTTGCGCAAGTGACGAATACGTCTAGAGCAAAACAACTCGATTATTTTCACATGTGTATAGCATGTCTGCAAATGAAATTATCCTGTGCAAAGAATGCATAAACAAATACGATATGTACCCAATTGAAACTGCATATATTCAATGAAAGGCATGTAAATGTAAATTAAAGAGAATGTGAGGTTATCAGACATACCTTTCTGTAAGACGCTGGAGGATGGTCAAAGATCGTCAACTTAATGCACCCTGGAAGTGCAACGAAGGCCCCAAAATATTAGCACATTAGTTGATCAACACTTCACATTTTTAGCAAAATAGATGCTTTTGGAATCACGATCACTTTCAATATTTATGTTTGCTGATTTGCATACTGCGAACTTGTCATTCACAACAATCAGTCATAGATTATATAGGTACTACTGTGCTAGTGACAATAATCGTCAGCAGAGAATTGTCAGTCATAGAAGTAGCATAGAAATAAAGAAATGTTAAATACCTAAGGGTTGCAAACATTAGTTTTGTTTTATAAATCTAGATGTCGGGACAATGCAGTTTAAGAAATAAAAATTATTGTTTTAGAACATAAAACGCAATATAAAAGAAATATAATTAATGACTTGTTATAGTACAAAGCCATATTGTTATTTTTTATTAAATATTGTGAGAAAATAGCGCTCAGTTAAGTAATATATAAATTATTATTCATTTTTTAACTACTGTCCTCTACATCACACTCTTCGGAACATTTCCCCCTCTATTCAAAATTGAATAGTGAAGTTTTCTCCATTTTGTACCGTTTCCTACCAGATTTTGCAAAATCTGAAACAAAATACAAACACCATATCTAACCTAGAAAAAACTAATTATTAGTAGCGCTGTGCTACTGGTGCAAGTGGTATTGTGGTGCTCGTTGTGTTGTTGTGAATGGTTTCGACAACTCGCGAACAACTCTCACAAGTCGATCGAATGCGCGAGTTGCTAGGAAACGCAGCATCATTCCAAGAGATTCTCCAAAAGGTAACACTAAATTTTTGTAGTCGACAAAGACAAGTTCGTTACATCAGTTCCTATTTCCGTGTTAAATATTGATTTTCCTCTGCACGCTGCTGCACACCATTTCGCCGTTGCACACAAAACAAAAACATTACACTTCGATAAATCAATCAGCGTCGTATCATATTTCCAACGCGAAAATAAACAATAAATAATTTCCAGTAGAAAGATGATGAACTCGCGTTGGAATGTTGAATGTAACGATTACGTTTTTATTTATTTTTATTTATTGCTTTCTCGTGTTTATCTCAACGCGCACATTGGAATTTTAAACTATGAGAACCGTGAGTGATGAACTTCTTCAGGGGCATTGCAGGCAGCTTTTAAATCATTCGTTTATTCACTTCTGCAAGTCGTTGAACGGAAGGAAACCTATTACAGATTACAATACAATTGCCAGTTTTCTTGCTCATTTAACGCTCGTGTGTATGCATTATTACGAAATACGCAAGACGAAAGCGATGGGAACGTTCAATATAAGAGCTTGGAATGCCTGAATTATTTATCATTCCCAGATTTTATTAAACAATGAATGTTTTAAATAAGTAGGTGTTAAGAAACTGACTTGAACTTGTTCCTAAACAATAATACACCATATGTGATTCAATGCAAATTAAATATTATAAATAATTGTTTGTTTATACTAGAGATCCGGTTATTATAGCCTGCGGTAAAAATATTCAAATGAAATCAATGATGGAACCTTGGATGACATGTGCGTATCTGCATTTGAATCAATAATATTTTTTTTTATTACACACATCATTTTCCGCCCTTTGAACCCAAGTTTTTCACTTTCTACGAATGAAGTAAGCGCGAAATAATTATACTACGTTGAACTTTACATATTCATAAGGGCAAGCAAACATGCAATAACTTCGTGTTCTCTTAGAGCTATGAATAAACATAACTTCATTAGAAAAGCAATAACTTTGCATAGGGTATTATTATGTGGAAATTGGCGAATTTATTAATTGCGTGTTCTTGACCCGAACTGCAGGTAATCATAGCTCAACTCAAGCTTAGTGCTTGTTTAAATCATGCATTTTTTTGTTATCTATATTAATTTCCGCTATAAAATGGTTCTGTATTCATCTTGTGCTCTATGTGCCTACGAGTGCCGACACGGACGTAATTTATAATTAGAATCAAAGCTCATTAATGTTGCCCACCGTCGAAGCTGAATAGGTTAAACAGCGACCATGCGACTGAATGCAGCTACTCTATCACCATGACTTTACTATAAAGCTCCTGAACTAAAACTAGTAGCAAACTAGTTACGTCGCTGTATTCGAGCTTAAATTCTCGCATCTCACGTCTTTTAAAACCGCCTCCAGTCACTAAAAGCACTGGAAGCGCAGCATTGCGGATGGAACTCGTAATAGACGCGAACTATATTTAAATCGGAACTAATTTTGTATTCATATAGTTCCACGAAATGTTTATTTAGTGTTTTATCGAAGGATTATGTTTGATTGTTGATAATAGTCACCATAACGTTCAAATATTTGCATTTTTAAGTGAATGCCATGCAGCACTAGTTAAAAAAAGAGTTAAATTATATTAAGTCAACTTCTTAAGTCAACTTTGTGATTTATGACGTAAGAAACACAAATAATTTTGTTTTATTTGACGCTTGCACTTGCACTAAATACATAATATAATCACATCATTATAAATATGCATGAAATCTAATTGCGCAAAGTTGAACTCTCATTTCTTTGAAGTAAAAGTTGTTTTCTTAGTTTTCTCAGCCAGATAGCGAGTAGAAAAACGCCACAAATAGTATAACATTTCACCGCGCGCGCGTTGCGTTAACCAAATAGAAATGTAGGATAACGCGAAGTGATAGGCTAAAAAAGAAGAAAAGCCAGTGCAAGTTTTGAATTTCAAGCATCAAGCTGCGGCACCAGCAACAGTGTAACATGTAGAATGTAAGATAGATGATTGTATCAAACTGCACGACTATTTTGGGCCTCTTGCACAATCTTTTACCTCTATGCACATATGCACGTGCTAGAGCTGGTACAACACAAGCTCGTAAACCTTTATGAGCTTGCCAGTATGTTACTTTATAGTGTTTCAAACAGAGTAGATATAGGTATACCTAGACATACAGTATGTATAATGTATAAAATTGTATAAACGCGGTGCCTTTTTTTATATTGTAGAGCATTATGAATTGTTTTTGTCATTGTTGAACGGGACGATTGTACGTGAGGCAATGCAATCGAGTGGAAAAATGAACGGATGAAGTGACGGTCAAGCCTTTCATGGTTTGCACGAATATTATACCGTTTTGTGTTTTAGATGGTTTAGCAATTGTAAATGTAGTATGATACCTTTTTGCTCAGCACCGTGCAGTACAGTTTATATGGAAATTACTGAACAACATCCTTTGAGCTTTCTGTAATACCCATAGAGTTCATAGCGTTGCGTTCAAGTGCACAACTCGAGGCACAAAACGAGAATTCAATCGAAGTTTTGAATTCTGCTGCAACGCGAACACGATACGAATACCAGGAATTTATTGTTCTTTATGTCTTGTACCTATGAAGGTATAATACTTGCAGTACAAAGAGAGATTTTCTGGAAGTCCAAATGTTACAATTTTTGTAACTCTTGAATTTGCCATGCCATGAGTAACACAATGGTATGCGTTGCGTCCACATTTGTATGCAATGTGCACATTGTGCAGCACTTTGGTGCCGATGTTCGTTCCTGCCACGCCATTTGCACCGTTTGCCGCATTTTATTCGATCAAGTGATTCAGAATCGAGTTGGTTGTTGTGGTCGCCGGCAGCGGCTGCTCGGGTGTGTGTGTGTGTTTCTCTGTGGTGTTGTCCCTCTACTTCCGAACCTTCCGCGGGCGCGTTTTGTTTGTCGACGTCGTGCCGGTCGTGCCGTCGTGCGGTGCATACCGAGACCGATAGCTCGATTCGTCAGACAGTCGGCGGTACCGCGCCGCGTGCGACTTCCACACCGGCTTCGGGAAACGTTCTCATACTCTCATTGCTTCTTACAATTGTTGTGACCATTTAGTGTGCCAATACTAACAGTATTATTTTCTTTTCTTTTGCAAGGATTATAAATAAAAGGACTTCGGATGTGCTCCTTGGATGTGCCAATACCGTAAGTTGAATAAAACTTTTTTTAAACTTTTTTGGCGATAAATTTGAACCCAAAAAAGGTGTGAAAATGTGCGATGAATAAAAAACGTGTATAATGTGTTTGTCTGCAATGTGCACGCAAATAAATTCAGAATTCGGCCGCACAACCACCCATAAAATATAAACCATCAAACCATCAGCTGCTCTTTACACACTGCATTGAATTGAAACACATGCCACTCTTGCCGGCGACCGTTGGTGTGCCTTTAGTGCACATTGAATTATTGTGGCACGTTTCAGCCGGGTCGTTAAAACGATGTACATATCTTATTTATTCGTGTATGCCTTCCTGCCGCATTCGCTGTTTTTTGTGCGAATGCTGCGCGTTTACATTACGCAATGCTCTTTTTCACTTTGATGCGGAATATCGGCTTTCAGTGATCACGATCGCATCACATTCTAATTTTGAAAGTTTGCACAAATTAATTGCACGAATCAGTGTTTTTTATTATGTTAACATTGTTGTAATTTGATTTGGTTAATTTAATAATTAAATTGTTTTATTTCAATTCCGTATTGACCGCACGCGATATGTTTTAATTAAAACAAAGTGGAGACTGGAAATTAAATGGATACTATGCAGGGAAATCACGTAGGATGAAAATAGTCAATGTCAACACGTGTTTACAATGAGGAAATGTTTGATTACATACAAAAAGCAATCCTTAGACATTCTTCCTTTACATTTCAGTGATGTTGAAATTGCGTTTTATTTTACATGCATGTACATACACAAAGTATGTGCTTGTAGCCGTTGACAGTCACATTTTGTTTGTTTTGTGCGCTTTGCATTTATTATGTCAATTTCTATCCTTACATGAAAAAATTAAATAGGAAGACTTATTTTTGTCAACATTTACAGTATATTAATGAATGGTATCTTTATGCTGCATAAAGATACTCCTATGCTAAGTTATCACAGCTGGTGTAAATAAGGATGTGTAAACTTTCCTATAGGATAAAAATGTTTTATTCAAACAAACGAGAAATTAATGCGTCGCTTGTGAATATTTTCGATGAAAACATTAAGTAATGCTAGTTTTTTATAGGATTTTTATGGGATAATATCATTTATTTAATAAAACAATTTGTAAAGTTGATTGAACAAATGTACATAATGATTACAACGATTTTACAAACCTGTTTGACGCTCTGCTCTTTCTCCTGCAGTGAATTTTAAAACCCAAACGCTCGGTAGTAATCGGTCGTGATCGGTGTGCGCAACTGTAGACATTCTCCTGCGCTCCTGCGAGCGTATTCAACCAGTGTCTGTCCACTCGACTATTTTAGCTAAAGTCATGCAGGCCGTGCGCCAGTAAAGCGAAACATTCGACGCTTCTCTGCGGCGTGCGTGCTGGTTCCATCGTCGCGAATGCGCATTTTAATTCACTTGGGATGAATCGTAATGTAATTAGCGAAAAGCGTCAAACGTGACGCATCTAAATTGTGTTCAATTGATCTGTACGTCGGTGTGATATTGATACAAACTGCTCCAAGCTTATACGAAGACAATTTACTGCCTAAAACAAGCTGCACAGATCGTGTTCATGTTCATCCTTTGTGTCTCTTGCGCATATTTCCAAAGTAAATAAAAATAAAACAAAATAAAATCATGTCAATTAAAATTACTGTGATTTATGACGAGATTATATTGTGATTAGTTTTGATTCGTATATAAAGTTGAAAAATTCCATGAATTGTTTCTACGTAGGTTTGTTTTGAATTGATAGTCATTTGTTTTCATTCCGCGTTCGCTTATTTCATCGCAACAATCAATGCTAAACCGCGAATGCGCGCACTGATTTGATTCGCTGCGATGGTGTCGACATATAAACATCGTGAGTGTTTTTTCGTTTGAGCGATTAGAACAATTGAAGTCGCGCGTTCTTTGCGCCTAGGAACTATTCCCGATTGAATCGCGGTGAAAACATTTCAATTGTTTTCGCGTGTGGGTTTTCGTGTGTTATTGTTGCCGTCGATAACGCAATCGAGGGATTTGCGCTGTAGAAAATAATGGACATGGACGCGATTACTATTTCCATACAGTAAGTGTTTATCTTTTAATGTTGTTTGCGTTCTTAGCATTTCAGTTTTCACTCCGGCAATAATAATTGCATCAGTTTTGTTATTAATGTTGCAGTATTTCATTTCTATTTATAGGTTTGGTTAATAGTAAATGTCAATAACTTTAACGTTAATATAATAATTTTGCGTATTTACTCAAATTTAAATTGTGATCATTTTTTATTATGAAAATATTGATTTGAAATGAGAAAGAAATTGAAAGTGGAACTTTATTTTGAAATGAAAACAAGTTTCTTCTTCATTTTTTCAGTCCGGCATGCTGCAAGCGTTGAGATTTCTTAATGCTTAATATCCATTAACATTTTAACGATAATTGCCATGGGATGTTTGTGGTCGTCGGGCATCATTTATGAGCGGCGTCGTTCTCGACGACACTGGCGGGCCCATTTCATGTCGGCATTATTTTGTCGGCGCACGTTCCGTTGTTGCTTTTGTTACACTCTTTTTATCATTCGGCGTTTGTTGTGCGTGCGTATTGTTTCATTCCATTTAATTATTTAATATTTTAGAGCGCTTACATGCTTATTACTTCCATCACTTACTCTGCATACGTTCCTGAGTTTAATTTGCGTGGTATTGCGGTTATAATAATGGTAGAGGTCAACATTTCTTTGTTTTCGAATGAGTTGACATCCTCTCGGTGTTTGTAAGTTTTTATTTGGACCTTAATCATCATCATTTATATTTATTAACGTGCTAAACTTTTTTTACGCTAGTGAGTTTGTTATTGCGTGAAATTACTAAAATAAGGGTTTTTTTAAATTATTTCTGGTGTATTTATTCGTCAAATGTTTATTTACTTATTAATTTTTGTTTATACTATGCTATATTTTTGGCAAAATTGCATTTCATACCGGGAGTATTTTGAGAAACATCCTGACGCACTCTGAAATTCCTGCCTGCGTCCCAAAACACTGAAAACATGCCAAAAACTACACGCGATGCTCTTAAAATATATCTGTGTAAATATTACACCCAAAAGGGAACTAATAATTTATCACCTTGTAAAAATGTTGTTGTCAAGTGTCAAGTTCTCAGGTAAAAATAATATAACAATAAAATTAATATTAGCTTTTTGCTATAAAGTAATAAAATAATTGTTTGTTTGTGTGCTCCATGAATATATCACCTAATTATTCATTCTAGACGGTTAGATAACACTTAAATATGCATTCATAATCTAATCAACACTAAAAACTAGTTTGTATTTAATTTACATATAAAAACATCTACGCTCAGTTTAAAAATACTAATCGTGCGTATTTTTTTCAAATGTATTTTTGTCGGTTTCATATTTGCGTACAAAAGCCAAATATTGAAGTTTGGCAAATAAAACATGTCGTTCACATTAGTTCGATTGCACATTAAAGACTAAATCAAACGAACAAGTGTTACGTCGCGTTCGAATTACAAATCAGCACAGTGCAACAACTTTGGCTTCCACTAAGAGCAAGGAGCAAGAAAATTAAGCAAAGTGGGTCATGTTTATGTTTACATAACTTTTGGTGTCGGCTTAAGTCGAAAGTGATACAAATCAGGCTAGAAAAAATATTGATTTCTACAACTTGTACTATCTGCGCGCAGACAAAGTGTTTTGCGATCAATGCCATCAACACCCAACCAATTAGTTTGCACATGTGGGTGCGCATTATTTAATAACGTAATGTAATTAAGTGAGATCATCATCAATAAGCGGTAATTGTAATTGTATGCTTTTGTGTTTGTTTGCAGGACTCGTGTGGGCGAAAGAGTTGTGAGCATGAATTCAACACTTGTCGAAACCGTGAGCATCAACTATGAAGACTTCAACGAGAGCTTCCTCACCTGTGGGACTTGCCTTTGTAAGTGTATTACATAATTTCGAATTATGTAAATCCCAGAATTGTATTAATGAGCACATATCACTTTTAATATTTGTAAATTTGTATAGAAAAATAATCTACATAAAAAGCATAAAACATTCGTTTTGTTTTGCAGACGGCTTATGGACCGGTATTGTGCTTCTCATTGGTGTCTTGTTTTCTTCTAAAAACTCATTCAATCATAAATCTAGCGGAATTTATTTTAAATCATAGCTTACAAGTATAGTTTAATAATTTAACAATAAAAAAACTGATTAGACGGTTTGATTCCGAACCACTAAACCTTGAACTTCGATTCAGCTCATATAGCACGTGTGTTTAAATTTTGCACGCGAAACTAGAATTTATGTACATATTTTCATTCATTAGATTCATTTTTGCACTTATAATATAGATACATTTTATGCAGTTGCACGTTTCCGACATTCACCGGACATTCTCTTCTCGTTCTCGGTTTACAATGTCTTATGTTTCAACTTGTTTTGTTTTTAATGTGCGCTAATTGTTTTACTTACTTGTTTATCATGTTACTCACCCAACTAATGTTTCACGTGGCCCGCTCTTCTATTCTTGTAGACACGTACGATGGCAGCGAGCACACGCCGAAACTGCTGCAGTGCTCGCACACCGTGTGCCTGCACTGTCTTACCCGCATCGCCGCCTCGCAGACACGCGACACCGGCACCTTCAGATGTCCGATATGCCGCGAGCAGATCACGATACCCAGAGGCGGCGTTTCGGCGCTGCCACCGTCCTTTCTCGTCAACCAGCTGCTTGATCTAATGTCGCGACAACGACGCGAGGTCGTCCCCAAGTGCCCTGTACACATAAACAAGGAACTTTTGTTCTGCGAAACCTGCGATATTGTTTTCTGCACGCAGTGCACTGGCGGTGGGCATAGTAACGATAGCTCGGCGAATTCAGATAGCACACAGAATGTTACATCGGACCATACTATCATACCGTTTTCGATTGCTATTAAACGGATGTCAGAGATTCTACTTTATAAGGCTAATGAGTGTATGTCCAAAGTAAGTTTTAAAACTAAATTTTTATATATGAAATGATTTAATAATTAATATTTTAGTTGAATCAAGCTCAGGAAGATGTGACGAAAGAACTTGGACGCTTGGATGGTGCCAAGGATGATAGCCTGGACCAAGTGAATGCTATTTTTCAACAGGTGCAGTCTTTGGTTGATAAGAGGAAACAGGAAATGATTGAGGCTGTGAATGCTGCCTGTGCAGAGAAACGAAAAGTTTTAGAAGAACAACATTCATTAATCGAGAGCGAAAAAAACAAAGTACGTTACCTAATATTGCCATAATTTTTTTTTGAATGACTAATGACTATATTTGTGTATAGGTAAAAGATGAATGCCAGGGATTGCAACACCAAGTTGAAGTGCGTAACATTTCTCAACGTATTGATACACTGACCAAAAAAGTAGACGCTGCCTCGACTTTAGGCGAACCACGTGAAAACGCATTCCTAACATGCGATTTTTCGCAAACTGAAAGCTTAAAACTCATCGAACAAAATCTCAGTAAATTGGGTAAGGTACGCACATCGACAACGTTTCCAAGTCTGTGCAAAGCACACGTGGAAGATGAAACCATTGTTGGTATTGAGAATCATATTACATTAACTACGGTCGATTATCATGGCGATGTGAGGCAAACAGGTGGAGATCCAGTAGAGGCTAAAGTCGAACATGAGGATGGGTCTCATTTGCCTACGTGGATTACAGACTGCGAGGACGGTACTTATCGAATTCACTTCCGGGCGGCGAAAAGTGGCAAACATTGCATGCGCGTTACAGTTTTTGATCGTCCCATAAAAGATGTGGTGTCTTTTGAGGTGACAGAGCATAATAACCCAGTGGAAACGTTTGGAAGCAAAGGTAGCGGGAAGGACGAGTTTAACCAACCTGTTGGTATCGCGATTGATGAGAGTGATAATATGGTTTACGTGCTGGACACTGGCAATAGTCGAATTAAAGTGTTGAATACTGATTTGGAAGTTGTGAAGCATATAAGCAATGAAGGACTTCTAGGTCGCAGTTGCACAGGTAAATAATTGCTTCCGGTATTGATAGTGTGATAATTTATTGTGGATGTTTATTATTAGGCATTGCCATTTCGAATGAAGGCTTGGTCGTTGTCAACTGGCGAACGAAAGTTGTCACTGAAATGACTACGGATGGTGATTCTATCAAAAATTTCACGTACAACGCTTTCATGGAACCTATTGATGTGGCAGTAGATAAGAGTTACGGGCATATCCTGGTTGCTGACAACGGCATGAGTTGTGTCTACGTCTTTGATTCCGTTGGAAAAATATTGTTCCAAGTAAGTTCGCAATTAAACAGATTTTTTATCATTCATGTAAATTATTTTGTTAAAGGTTGGGAAGAAAGGCACGTTTAGTTTGATCTCATCTGTAACAGTGGGTCCTCTTGGTGAAATAATAGTAGCTGACAGTCGAATTCAAGTGTTTTCTGCAAAGGGCGACCCCCGGAAGGTTTTGTTCGAAGAAGGACAAGGTAAATCTCATTAAAACTAATTTCCGAAAGCCATTTGCCTAATATTACATATTACAATTTTCACTTTGACTATTACCGATAAAGGAAAAGGTAATATAAATTAGTTTCCTTGTAAAATGTTAGTCCACCTCATTCCAATCATCATTTTCTACCTATACTTGTATTAAATTAATGTGTAATCATTTAGGAAAGGGTCGTTATGGAGGAATTGCTGTCGACTCCGAAAATCGAATCCTAGCATCGCGCACTGAGCCAAAAAGCAAGAACTATGTCCAATTGCTATCGCTGACTGATGATGATCCGCCATACACGATTGATTCGCATGACTCGAAGCTAAAACGACCAAGTGGCGTCGCCGTGACTCACGACAATCACGTCGTCGTCGTCGATCTAGGCAATAATTGCATCAAAAAATATCGGTACTGGTAACAGCACGACGCACACGATATTGCTTGCATCTACATATTTACGGAAAATATATACTACGAAATCGGCATTTCGCGAATGATGAACACTTATCTGCCATATATTTTGTAAATTAGAGTACGATTGGTACCCGCAACGAACAAATGCCATGATGGAATATTTTCGAAGCTATAATACGAGTTTGCTTGCGCACGATGTGAACTTATTTGCTACATACATAGAGGATAATTGAATAATTACGCCAACAATTATTTAATTGGATTACATTACCTGAGTATAAAATGTACATTAGATATTTATAAATTTTACTGTGATTTATTTAGCATGATGAAACAAAAATGAGAAACAAATGAAAATCACGCATATTATACAAACACGAATCAAATTGTCGTCACATTCAATTCTGTATTCATGTGACCGCTACTACTACTACTTATAGCTCCAGCTACACGTGTTCTATGTCTGATAGACGCAAATTCTATTGAAATGCTTGTGTGTATAGCAAAGCAATGTAAAAAATATGTTTACTTTTGAATCTATGTACTTAATTTATTACTTATCAACAACATATTTGTTATGGAAATGTTTCTCATTTTTTATATGAAACCATTGTTTATTGTTAAGCTTAATTTTTTACATCTAAACGTTTAGTTTTGTTTGTATTTGCGGCCATTATTTATGCTTTGTTGTATGATTTTTAATTTGCAATGCAAAGGAATTGCTTTTTGTTCGATACGATTCGGTTTTACTTTATTTTTCTAGTCATTAGGATGTAAATTATTTTATATTTTTCTTAATCATTACAAAGCGCTAGTATGGCACATTTTGTAATACAAAGAGTAAATGAAAGCAAATTAAGTGTTTTCTTATTTTGTAAATTAAAGAACGCAGTGTACGTTATTGCACGGTTTTCATTTTGAGAAACTTAAAGAATTACGCTTAAATGTATAATAATTATGATCAAATACAATCAAACTACGAAAAATATAATCTGTTGGCTTGCTCCTTCGACTTTTCTGCATTTAAATAATGCAAAAAACGTAAAATTTCAAATAGATTTATTAATATTGTAATACATGTGTCGCCATCTCTTATTTCAATAACTTGCCAGAGCGCTGCCAACATTTTGTGAAATACCCAAATACCCAACTTTAGTAACATTTAACCAGCCTTCCTTACATTCATCGGTTGTCAAAGTAAACATGAAGAATTAAGTGTGTTGCCTCATTACATTAGTGCTTAGACAATTTTATAGCGATAACGGGATCGGTTAGAAATGAGTAATCATCACAATAATGGTGCTAGAGCCGGCGAGACTGAACAAATGGCGCCTTCCCAATGCCTGAAGGTGTTCATCCAGAGGGATTACAGTGAAGGCACTGTAGTCAAGTTTCAGAATAGATTTCCACCAGAACTAGATGGAAAAGTAAGTTATGATTTGTCCCATCATCTTAAACAAAAGTTCATATAATAGAATAATAATTATCTATCTGTTTCACAGCTAGACAGACAAGACTTTGAATATACTATTAACAAACTGAACGAACTGTTCATGGAAGCTGAGAAGGCATCTTGTGCAGCTTACTGTGAGGGTTGTTTGGCATGCATCACTGCTTACTTTATTTATATTTGTAAGGAAACACATTATGAGAAAGTAAGTGATGTTAATATTCCTTCATACAAGTTCTTCAGTTAATACTGTTTTTTATTACAGTGTTTGAGGAAAGTATCAAAATTTATTGCTGAACAAAATGAGAGAGTTTATCATCCCAGAGGACTGATTGTGACAGATCCGAGTTTGCGCGGACTCCGAGTGTTAGAAATTAGCTGCTTAGATCGACCGCCAAACGCATGACTCACCTTGTCACACTCCACTCAGGAGTTTTTCATGTAGCATGCAAGAAACTTGCACAATTGTGCATAATGACTTATATGATTGCATTTCATTTATCATATTCATGTCCTTCACTGGTTACTACCCAAAATTGATGAATTACCGGAGTAATTGCGATTTATTACAGTAAAAATCTACATAACAATCAAGGACGAAACGAGAAGAAACGATATTTTATACTGTATTTATATTTGCATTTAGTCTAAGATAAAATATTGTGATTAATCAGAGGTTTATGTTCATGTTTTGAAAGTCTTAATACGTTTTCGTCTTGTATGTATTTTCATTTCAAATAATTTACTAATAAATCTGACTTCCTATATATTTAAATTAAGAGAATTTAAAGAATAAAAGATGTAATTACTAAAAAAAGTATCTTAACACTTTGGTCTGGTTGAAAATATATGTTGTTATCAATGTGATGTGTTATCAAATGAATTGTGGTGGTGAGAAAAATTACGAAGACTTTTTTATATATGTAAAGTGTAAATAAATATGTTCATGTATATCAGTTGTGTATTTTTACTTCTTTTCTATATAAAAAGACTTGTTTTCCGCCCGAAATTATATACAAGAAGAAAATTGAGTTAATTTTAATAAGATTTCTTTTTACAATCAATTTTAAAATACAATTATTTTCTGTATGAAAAATTTGGCCAATTTTAACATAATAGTACATAATTATAATACCAGCTTACATTTTACCTCTGACATCATGCCTAATATAATTACAAATGCGTTATGTCTTTTACGGTTGCATTATATGCTTTCACCTTACAAAATATATAACAAAAGGTTTTCATGACACAGACTCGTGAATCATTTGTAAGGAAATTTTTGATATTCTCCATTTTCAGTGAAATATTAAAACAGTTTTGATGTTGCAATATAAACTAGGTGGTGTATTGTAAACTGTTTCATTGTCAAACCACATAAAATGTTTATTTAAGATTAAACCAAAACCTGAATTATCAAGGTGAATATTGTGTGAAAAGACGCATGTATGTGTTAGGTGAATATTGTTGTGAACGTAAATCGAATGCCAGCAATTAGAAAATCTCATGTCTTAAAAAAAACATAAACAAACATGGAATATTTTGCAAGAAGATACAAGAATGTTTTGCTAGATGGCCTAGTCTGTATGAAATATAACATTTATTTATTTTTGTTTGGAAACATATCCCCAGATAAAGTTTTATCTTCAAGTCTTGATACCGGTTTAAAACAGCGTTCGAATGCACCACCTTGTAATATCTCTCTTGTTTTGTTTTCATTTCATGTTAAACGTAATATAAGTTTACAATGCTTATTATTCTTCGAATTGTTATAAATGGTTTCTTGACACAGCTTCGTGAATCGTTTATAAGGAAATTTTTTGTATTCTTCATTTTCAGTGAAGTATTAAAACAGTTTTGATGTTAGAATATAAACAAGGTGGTGTATTGTAAACTGTTTCATTGTCAAACCACATAAAATGTTTATTTAAGATTTAAACCAAAACCAGAATTATCAAGGTGAATATTGTGTGAAAATACGCATGTTTGTGTTAGTTGAATATTGTTTGTGAACGTAAATCGATTGCCAGCAAATGAAAAATCTCATCTGTTACAAAAAACATAAACAAACATTGAATATTTCGCACAAACATACAAGAATGATTCGCTAGATGGCTCAGCCTGCATGAAATGAAACATTTATTTATTTAAGTTTGGAAACTAATCTCGTGATAAAATTATATCTGCCTGTCTTGATACCGGTTTAAAACAGCGTTCCAATGCACCACCTTGTAATATCTCTCTTGTTTGGTTTTCATTTCATATTTAAAACGCAATTTAAGTTTACAATGAATATTATTCTTCTAATTGTTATAAATGTCCCGTTATTTGATCGAGTAACTTGCATCTATTTTCATAACATTACTGCGTTCAATCATAATCTGATATTTTGTTAGATTTTCTGGTAAAATGCTTGAAACACACATCTTTTATGATGGTTTCGTATAAAATCTTCACCATTTTCATCATTTTCGTAAGCGAAAATTAAAAAGTGCAATAAAAATCCACAGTTTCTTTTTATGCTCGATTGACAATATTCATATACACTGAGTGTTTCTTGTTAAGGTATAACATTGAATTTAATTGATCAGATCAGATTAGGTATTACATTTGCTTGAAAATGAAGAAACAACTATAAAGTCATTGACATACTGCACATTGGCCCGAATTGTGAAAACACCGTTACATATATTTGGACCCTGTTTAAATCTAATACAGTCCAAAAATTAATCGCAATTCATTCGGTTTTCATTTCATTAATTTCATTATCATGTTGTTAGAACCAAATTTGGCCCCTACCTTTTCATTAACACTTTTTGTAATCGTTTTCTTTTTAATTTTAATATTTTAAAATACATCTACAAGTATCAACAAATATTTCACCTCAACACTCGACTGAAAGAAACTTAATTGATAAAAATCAATGATATTTGTAGCCCAACAAAGACGGCGTGAATAAAATAGTAAATGTCTTTCATGTTTCTTATCACATCCATGCTTAACGTGTTTGTTTACTTTCTCCGCATACAGTTACACTCGCTTGTGCCAAACACAAATAGGTATATTTTTAAAAGTATTATCCAAAGAAACACTCTGTATATATCTCACCCGCTTCGCAATTTAGTAAATATTACTATAAGATTAAAGTTTTACCGTTCACAATGAAACATTATGAGCAATCACATCCAATATTAAAAACTACGAAATCACTAGATTCATCATTATCGTAATTATTACTTAGATAATTTCATTTCATCATTATATGTATAGAATATGTACACTAGAAAATATTTGATTTTCCTCATTTTTCCCATTAGTATTTTCACTGCTGCTATTTTTGTTTTTGTTTATTTGTATTTGTAGTTTATATTATAATTTGTTTATTGTAATAGTAATTTTTCTTAATGTTTTATTAATTGCTTCAATTGGAACTTATTCATCGCACTTATCACGCCTTCCTCCACTCGTTTTAAAACTTATTTGTTAAGAGACTAGTATTAAGTAAATGTAGGCAATGCGCGATGTGTGAAAACAGTGCCCTTATTAGTACCTAGGCATGCACGAAACGACATTAGGCTGCTTGCTGCGACGTCGAAGTAGTGTCACAAGACGCAACAGATTTTGTGCCTTCGTTTTAATTTCTGACTCGCCAGCGTCGGCTGCGAAGAGTTTTGATTCGCCGGTGTCGTGTGTAATGTTTGCACTGTAAATTCAATGTCTTTGCTTTCTTCCTGGTCTGTAATTTACAAGCACACAGAAAGTTACAAACGAGTTTTATGAGTAAAAACAAAGTTTGTGCTTGTTTATTAGGTTTCTATATAAAAAATATCACCTGTGAATGTCTCCACCGGCTTGTCAATGGTGTCGTGATCAATCCACGTGAGGCCCATCTCGACCTTTTCGGCAAGGTCCTGCCAATGTCGGCGGTTCTCCAGCGTTCCTTGGTAGAGCGGCTTTACCCAAGGGAACGTGTCGGATAGCACGCGATAGAGTGGTAAACATATCACGTCGATAAATCCAACCTGCATCTGCGGCAGCTCGTCCTTCCGTTCTCTGTCCATCATAGCCTGGGCGAAAAAGGACGATAGTAAATACAAATAACGCTGATTTATCGCCGACGGCAGATTATTATAGACATTATGATAGAGGGCTTTTTCCAACCGGAATCAAAAAGCAAAAAGATACTCACGACGGGTTGCTCTTTCAACTGCATCTTTTCCAAATCGCCTTGGTCGAAAAATTCGTCAGCGACAAGCTTGGCGACGCGATGTTGCACATCCCAGGGTTTGGCGATCGCGCTGACGTCGCATGCGGTCATCATCATTCCAGAAAGGACTGAGGAAAAACCGAAGATAAACCAATCAAATGTGTTTGCCGGAAAATTCATTGGAAAAAGGAACAAAAGTGCTGAATGTGCTATGTCAACATAGATTTAATTAAATAAGGTGGGATTTACAGGTTTCGGCACGTGTTTTAACGACGTTAAGGTAGCTGTTAAATACGTACGGTCTTTTTTGTCGTCGCTCTGCCAATCGAATTCCCCATTTTCTATCAGCTCGAGGAACATGCTGCGTTTCTTGAAGTACATCGCCAGATCGGTGCTCAAGATCGCCGTCTCCACAAGTTTCATGACACGTCGATAGTCCTCTGGCGATAAGGCCTGCAAACGGAATCGACTTTTACACTTCACTCCTCACACCCTTCAGAAGAGTGCAATGCAACATTGTGACCTTTTAAGAATCATATGGACTGGCTGTTGTGAAAACTGATACGTCCGACATCTGATCCATTTAATTTTCTTTATTTTTAGCGAAAGATGAGAGATATTTGAGGATTAATCAACGCGCACCTACTTGAAAAATGTTATTGCTGTCCGTATTTAGTATCATGACGCACTGGTCGAAGTGATGGTGTTCCATCGTGCTGGTACTGTATAGTATCGCCAGCGGTGATTCCGTCTTCGTCTGAAAGGCATTGTTCGTCCCTCGGTGATCCAAATCGTGGCAGAGGCAGGCGACAAGCAGGCCGAGAATTTCCAGATCTGTCATAAAGCGGTCCATTTTCCCCGTCTTGAACATGGCGAACATTGTCTGCGCCACATTGAGCGCATGACGCCAGTTGTGATATTTCACAGGGCGATAGTTTTTCCTAACTGACAGGATCCATCGACAAAGTACCTAAATGTAACACAAAATTAATGCTACTAAGGTTAAACTATAATATTTACTCACATCGTATGGTATATGAAATTGTTGGACTAAATTACACTCCATGAACATTCGAATCGTCGCTTTGCATGTATCATCATCAGACAAATCAAAATCAACGAATGTAAAACTATACAGATTGAATTGCTGAGCTGGCGGAATATCCAACTTGACCAGCTTTTCCGTTGCATCGTTGCTTGCCGTCGCATGATAGGACAAGCATTCCAATGCAACCTTTTGTTTCGCCATCAGTTTACACGCATTCTCGTACATTTGCGTATTGTGAATTCCTAGGCCACAGAAGATCGCGAACGCTTCCAACATTGATACGTCTGCGTCCGTAAACGAGCTATTGTTCGCTTTGTTGATGAGTTGTGCTACACCGATCAGATTTCTCTGGCCGTTGCTAATCGGCATACAGAGGATGGTACGTGCTGATTCTGCATCGCCTTCACTGTGCTGTTCCTTCAACCAGGTGCGGACATCACCAATGTTTAGGATCTGTTCCCTAGTGGCGGAATATCCAGCGATTTGCGCCAGCGTTGAGCTTTGCAAATCGAAGGACGACGGCCGCGAAACGAGGCTTTTAGAACCGCAGTCTCTCAACTCGAAAACTGTTGTGAATGTGCACGTTTTATCCAAGCCATTCTCACGCATATCCTCGGGTGTAACATTGTCACTTTGAAGACGATTCAGCGGTCCGTGGCGCTCAATCACTCGCCCTGGCCGCTCGATAATGTTTTCTAAGTGACTCTGCGGAAAGTGAATGATATTAATCTTTTAAAGTGCGATTCACTAGGGTCGATTAAGATGAATTAAAGGAAAATTTGCATGAGCGCATGAAAGTTCGCGGCGCTTCAACGCTAGCGAAAGAAAAATATTGGAAAACTTTTTGGATCCCCAAACGTGAAATTTGCATTTTAATTTAATTTACATAAAAATAAAACTTTATCTCGTCGTTTTTATTTGCGATTTCTTTTTGTTCGTTAATGTCTCCTCACTCCTGGTTAATAAACGGAATTAATTAGACTGTAGGCGTTGAAAGTATTTATTAAGTTAAAGGTTTGTAAAGTTTAAAGGCGTAGTGACTGCTTCTTCAACTCTTCCACAACATTAAAAAGTTTTCGGACGGGAATTTCCAACTTGAAGACTTGTACCTTTCCTATCGCCAATTCACCGAAGCAGCGTTGGTTGTTTGTTGATGGAAAACTGAAAATTCTCGCGCTGAAAACGCTAAAAGTTGTGCATGCAGTGCGAAGGAAACTTTTAGCACTCAGCGTTCAATTCATGCTTGAGCTGCGGCGCGTAAACTTTGTTATTAACTCTTAATTACCGAAAATTAATATTTCGTAATCAACTTATTTGTTGCTACTGATAGCATTAGGTAAGGTTGCTTCCTCTCAAACTTTACGTGTAACTAACAAGAGTAACAAGACTGAGTGTTTGCAAATCACAACTATAATTCACCCTAAACTAATTTTAAATATAAATTAAAAAATTATTAGTATAGGAAATATTATTGTTTATATTATACCTGTTCACAACAATCCAAATCAAGTAGATAAACAGCACAACGTTCGCACTTGAGTAACTCTTGTGCTTCTCGCATTATTTTAGTGACGAGACACTCCAAGTTGTTTTGCTCCTCGAAGATGCTGCGCGCTAAATTTAGCAATATCTGCAAATTGAGATGGAAAATGAGTCAAATTGAATTTTTGCCATTGCGGGTTGGAGTCAAGCGCGAGAGCGTCGCGACGCTAATAGGCGAATTGATTGCAGTGGCACGGTTATACCAATTCCAAGTGATTAGATTTTAATTAAATCTAAAGTCACATTTCGCTCATACACGTTTAAACTCTAAGTCACAAATTAAATCCGAAACCGAAATAACCACATTGTTTAATTTTCCAATGTTTTACTACCTCGGGAGATGTAAAAGTAACATTTTATGCCAAAATTATGTTTTTAAAATATCCTGAGTGAAAAATTAGCATGTCAAACTTTTAGTGACTCGTTACATGAGTTTACAATCAGAAACTTTAAAGCGACTCACATTATGAATTAAATTTTATAATGTTCTGCGGATTAAAACCGTATTAATCCGTTTTATGGTAACGGATAGCGAAAGCGTGAGAGTCCTCTGCTCCTCCACTTGAAGTGGAAGCTCAACGGCAATCTGATTAACGCAGACCGCTCTTGCACACACGTGCTATTCTCCTACAGCACTTGCACTTCAGGATGAGCTTCTAGTGTGTAATCGTAATCTCGTCATATAGTAGCGCATAATTATTTTCATCTTTAATACGCGCGCAAATGATGATTAAATTTTAATAAAACAAAAAATCTGTCTGAAAACCTCGTTTTATCACAAAGTTGTTTTGTTCATACCCACCTATTGGGATAGTATGCGCGGCAGAACATAAATCTTGTCAGATTAAAAGATTACGCGTTGGTTTAGTACTCCTCAAAGCATACAAAGCTGCGATTAAACGCCGAAATGTGACCGGTCAGCAAGCATAGCCGAGGTTGCGATTAAGATGATTATTCATTCACTCTTGTTAACCGCATTCAGTATGTTCCATGAGCTTAAAACAAACATCAAATTGTGTTTTCTTTTACGTCTGTCTCGGGTTGATTCTTTTGTGTTTCTATCTACATGTTTTGTTGCAAATTAATACAATGGCAACACGAACAAATAGGTAAAACGGGTTGCCTGTCAACGTTTGCGCTATTCAGTAGCTGAATCCGATGAATATATTTGAATAAATATCGATTCCGATTGTGTAATACGTATCAGGGCTGCGTGCTGGCTTGCGTTGTGCATTCCTGTTGAACATCCTCACCTGATTGCGGCGGTACTCCAGCACGGAGACTTCGAATAGCTGCGCGTTCTGAATGCCGATGCCGCAAAAGGTGAGATAGCGCTGGAAGACGACGACGTCATGCTCGCTGAACTCGTCTGATCCGTCCGTCTTGTTGATGATCTGTGCCACCCCGATGACTTCGCCCTCGTAGTTGCATATCGGCATGCATAGGATCAGCTTTGTTTTGTAGCCGGTTTTCATGTCCATGTCACGGGAAAATCTCGGATCCTGTGGAGGATAAATTTACGTGTTCAGCATATTAAAATTTATTAAAAATAAAATACATTTATCTCATTTATCTTTCGTTTGACGTCATTGCCGCTAACCTTTTCAGTATTTAATAAAGTACAATTCGATGTTCAATAAAACAAAAACCAAACATAAATTAAAATTCAGCGATTAACTTTTTATGGCGTAATAAAGTTGAGTCATATTCTTAAATAATTACAAGAGTGATCCCCAAGCGTCCGTTCGTTCCTGTTAATACACGCCGGACATGCAAACAGCAATTAAACAGAAACTGCTTCAAAATGTAATCGAATTAAAGGATTATAGCGTGAGCGAAGCTACTTCTATTTACTTTGCCCCCAGGAGAGGTCGGTCTATCCGGTCATGTTTTATTTCCCTGCATATGTACGGTCTTATTTTGTTATTTTGCGTGTGCTTTTCGCTGCGAGAGCTTCACATAAGCCAAAAACTCGGTTGTTGCACACGCCAGCCGGGCCTCGTTTGCAATGCGAATGCGTTCGTTGTTTAGTTGACGAAGCCGGAAACATGCAAATTATGCAGCACGCTACACCTTTCACTAACTTGACATTAGCGGGCAAAATGTGGAAACGAAGTAGCTCTGCATGAATATTCATCAATGCTTTCAATTGTTTCATTGGGTCTAAACAGCGTGATGTTACAATTTTGAGAATAACACAATTTTTACTCGCTGGCAGGTTGTTTGTTAATTAAACGTAAATAAATTAGGTAAATTTAATTATGGTTATAAACCACCCCGTTGTGTGCAGATTGCGACGTGCATAGTGCATCAATAACCGATCGGCATTTTATCGCCTCATCATGAAAACGTGCACCAATGACGCAATTTCATATTTATAGCCCAATGCACTATATCGAAAGCAATACGAGATAATATTATGAAAAGCGTTTTTCTGTAATAAATCTGCACTTTATAGCACTGCTTGTAATAAATTTCAAAAACTAGAATTTCCACCATTTTGTTGTTGACATGATAGACGTCAATACATTGTTTACCTTCAAAATGTTGCATTTTTAAGAGATGCGTTGAAATATAAGGTTTCCAGCTTTCAAAATTTGATATTCTTACTTTTACCTACAGCCTGTAAAGTGCTTCGACATTAAGCAGTATTGCTGCCTGTGGGATGTATTTATTTTATGGTGTTATGATGAAATGGCGACCGCGGTTTTCGCATTTATTGCGTTTTTGTTGTGCTTAATAGAGAGCTCTCTTTCGCTCGTGCGCGCAATGGCGGGGCGGTCTTTAATTAAATCGTGCGGAAAACGCGCTCGTTTGTCGTCATACTTGTCCTCATCGGGTTGTTTAATTTCAATTCTCCGCTTCGACTCCACCGCAATCGTCGCGGGCGAATCAAGTCGAGAGGAAGCTTTAAAACGGAAATCAGCCGCCGAGAATATACGAAACGCTTTCATTATATAAAACAATAAACTGTTTATCACATTTGTGCGATGCAATGTAAACGAATGAAAATTTTATGACATAATTTTACTTTTAATTATAATCATTGCGGAATTATAACAGAAAGCAATTTGGAATTTAGTTGTAGGAATATCAAAGTGTATTAAACGCATAGATAAACAAAAATGTTGTAAAATTGAATTTTGGTGTGTGTTTACGTTGATACCAGAAATTGGATTTTATTTTTCTCCTCTGTTGGAAATGTTATTTGATGTAAATAAATTATGTTTTGGTAGTGCAAGAGTAAACAAACTCAATGTACAATGCCTACCCGTGCATTACCTTTTTGAATAGACGCACACGACGCAAAAACCTTATTTCCTCAATATCACATTGAAGATTGAAAGTTCCCGAGCGATTGGGTTTGATTTTCGATTAGTTTCCTACCGCAAGACCCAGCAGACTCTCGGCCGCGTTTCAATTCCCATCCACGGTGCAATCCCAGTCCGTCTCTTTGTTTGAACATGTTAAGCGCTCCAAATTTCCGAACAGTGCCGGATAATCGCCACGTTTATTGGCGCAGTAAAGCAGTGAAAACCTGAGAATTGCATTCTCCGCCTCCTGCCGCAAGGCGGTTGTCTGCTTAGTCTCCTTAGATTATTCTAATGCAATTACATTTGAGAGTCAATTATATTAGTTCGGTTGGCAGACAAAGCCCCCGCAAAGCTGAAGAAAGAAGGCGATAGTGGGTTGTGGTATTGTAGCGGTATAGGAAGAGCAAGAGATGAGAAAAGACGTGGCAGGGTGGATGGGAAAGCGACGTGGTGCTTGGCCAATCTTACTAATGGATTCCACCGCATCCACCTCGAAGCTCACGCCGGATATAAATAAAGTACAATGCAAAATATAAAACATGCGAGTTTAATAAAACCGAAGTATGTGCTTTCACTTAGCGTTTAGACACACCTCACGGCAAACTAAACAATAGCAGCACAAACAGCGCAAAAGAAAAACATACGAGGACAATGTTCCGCGGAAGATGCTAAGGTTTAAAAAAATATATTAAAAAAAATAAACATCACTAAAACCGACAGTGTGCACTAGTCTAGTTGATCGATCCATACTTTATGCTTCAGCTCTGACGCACGAGCAACGTTTTTATGTAATAAAACCTTTAAAACAATTTTAGCACCATACGTCAGAAAATAACTTGTTGTTGCCGTTGAATTATCAAGGGATGAATTATTATCTATCCCTACAGAGTAATTATTTGTCATATTAGATATTGTAATATTTGTTTAAGTTTGTCGACTTAGTACTCACTATTTAATGGCATAATGGGATAGCTAACATTAAATTGATGTGGATAAATGTTTCTCAACTGAAGAGAATGACCATTGAACTAGTAGAATTGTCTCGTGGACGTGAAATTGCTTGAATAATACGAGTAATTCTAGGAAGTGACAGTGGAAAAAAGACGAAAGTAAGAGAAATGTCTTTGAGTTTGCACAAAACTCTTTTTTTGCTGCTTTTTATCCTTCCGGTCTTTTAAATTGCAAGTTAGAAGTTATGTGAAATTTTTAGACTCGAATAAATGGAATTTCAGATAGAAAGCGTCGCTCAATCGTAGTTTAATAGGAATAAAACAGCAAAAAATTGAATATTTTTAATTCATAAAAGTTTTAAACTGGCTTTAAAGTTTATGCCTTGTACTTTATATCCCTCCTTTAACATTTAACTAAATTAGTGCCAATGCTATAATTTTCTTTCAAGTTTCTAATGGTTTTAAACGTCTGAAAGAAACATTTCACTCTCTGAAAGTATATAACGAGCGTCTTCTTAATCTCCATCGCTTGTAATGTAATTAAATCCATCCATTTGAATGGAATCCAATTAGATTAACGTCACAACGTCCATTGACATCAAACGCCAATCGAATCACATACTCTGTTTATGCTCCCACACCTCTATCAAAATCAGCGAGCCACATTAAATTTGTTTGATATGGCGCGCGGCCGGTATCATATCTGAGTGTTTACACGCAAAATCACTAATGACGCGCCATTTGGCTGCGCTTATTTCCATCTATCATATGCAAAATATTTGATTAATAGTTAATCAGTGCCGGCGCCGACGATCGAGTGCGGCAAACAACTGTGTGCAGCTGGGACAGCCGGGAAAATTGTTAAATTAACTGTGAAGCAATTACGTCCCCGATACAGACGGCTGGAAGAGTTTATCAGTAAAAAAAATGAACCTCGTGTGCGGATAAAAGGTGATTTTGATTGGTGGTAATATCAATATAGTTTCAGCTAAAATTGTGTAAAGATTGGTGTATGGGGGGATATATATTTTGTCGATTAGCGACATCTTGTCGGTCTGCTTCCTATTAGTTTTGCCAGCAGGAAACCCGATAAATAACTTCATGTTCCACCAGGCACAAACTGAGCAGCGATATAAAAACATGATTTTTGCCCACCTGCGTAGAAAATAAGCTTTTACTTCTCCGAGACTATTATATTGTATATTTTAATGAACAATCATGATTTAAATAATGAAAAGAGAATCGTGGCATAACATAAATTACGTTTCCCATTTTCAGCACTTTCAGAACCACATACGTGATATATTCCGAAACAGCTACACCACAAAAGTTTAATTCCGCGCAGACACTCGAGAGATTTATGAGCGTAACAAAAGTATCTATGCCCTTCCTGTCAGTATCAGTCTCTGTGTCAAACTGATTGGTTTATACCGAGATGAATAACGTGAGAGTTGAAAATTGAAAACACCATCATTTCTTCACAATTCCGACAGTCAATCATCAACACGCACATAATATTCGCATATGAAGAGATATCGATGACGTATAGTACAATTGCTAAGAGAGTTGATAACGTCACCGTCACCCCTTCAGCATGGTGCCATGATTATTGTCTGCTTTACTTTGTTAACAATGCAATAGCAGTTGTATTGAATTCAATTGAATTGCATCGTGAGTGAAGGACGTGACGCACACCCCGTGGTATTGTGAAGAAATGTCATGGCAGCAATAGACGACAATTGCCTTTCAAGGACAATAATCTCACAAAGCGAAGGAGATTTTGTTATGGGAGTGAAGTAACTATATAAATGTAATGTTATAGTTGTATTGCGATAGAAGTTGAATTGATTCTACGTCACGCCGCGGCGAAAATTGAGTTTTTAGTCAAAGGAGACTGAAAGGAAACAAAATTAACCTACATATAGCTAAATTATGATTTGTGCAGTATATACAACTGAAAGAGCACAAGATTAACGACGTATTTTCTATTTATACGTTCTGTTATTGTTTGTAACTTTGTGCTGGTACGCACGAGTTTAGCTTGGTGAAGCTAAAAATACGAACACATCGCAACTTGATATTTTTTTAGCATTCGGGTCATAAAATGTGAGAAACCTATAAACAAGATCACATTGAGACTTACATTGTAAGCATCTTTGATGTTGATCAGTGTCTTGGTTTGCGCGACGGTGCCGGCAATGCCAACACCGAAAGGCAGTCGTATTTCTTCGATACGTTGAGTTTGTTCTTTTTGTTCTCGCATTGTGCCCATATTGTTGGAGCTTTCCGGAGGTGTGGTGTCATGTCGCACGTCGAAGAGCTTCGCCACGAGGTACCGCGAGTTCGGTGCTCCGCGCGCCAAAAACAATGAACCGCGATCGGCGCGTGTCAACACGCTCACATTGCGAAGAATTTTGTGGCAGAGCACGTCGATGTCCAGCTCGTTGGCGACGTCGCGTATCAGCTCCATAAACAATTCGCTCTCTTCCAGCGCGTCGTAGTCGGGCGGCTGATGTGGACGGACGTGCGGGCCCGCCGCCAACAACAACCGGAAGAGATCGGCGCTGGCGGTGGACGCCGCATGCTGAGCGGTATTATTCGACGGAGATACGTCTGGAGCCGGTGGTGGTGGTGGCGGTGCTGGTGCGGCACTAGAAGAAGCACATGCATTCTGCACGTTTTGACGGTCTCGTAACCACGCTTCAACCGCGTGCGGATGCGCCTCGAGCCACGCGACGACCTCGGCGGGAAGGTCGACGGCGGCAGCATCGTCTTGATCTGTCTGTGGCTGCAGCGGCGGTAGAGGCAGCGGCGGCGACGGCGTCATCGCCCCGCATGGCCTGCTGCTGCGAGCGGACGACGCACGGCGCCACGACGTCGAGGCGGCCAGGTGCGACGCTGCGCGGCGTTGGACTGACAGCGCGACGACGACGGCGACGGCGGCGGCGGTCGCGGCATGTGCTCGTCCCGGATCCGAGATGCGTACTTTTATTGATCAGAGCGCCGCGGCGCGCGCGAACCGCCGGCGTGTGCGGAAAACGCGCGCGCGCCACTCACACGCACGTGCGCCGCCTACGTTGGCGGAGGCGCGCGCGAACTGGGTAGTTACCCTCATTACGTAATTGTTACCAATGCGGTGTGGGCACTCATTAGCGGCGTGCACACCACGCGACGCATCGCACACATCTCGCGGATTGTTTGCCCAGCCGCCAGAACGGAAGCGAATGTAGCGCTGACTCTTTGTGCTACTTTACTTCGCTTCCACCAAACAGGAACTGCGTTACCCCTTAATTGCTCCAAAGAAAAAAAAAACGCCAGGTAATATAAAAGTTTGCAGCGTTCCTTTATTTAACATAACAGCTAGTAAGTATAAAAGTTTTTATTTGTTACGGCCTTTGCACGGTGCAATTAGTAATGGTCCCACTGGTTTCCCCATAGTAGAATTGGCAGTACGCAGCGTTATTCTCAAACGTCATCTCCGGCACCTTAAACTCCGGATTAACAGCCACTTTCAAAGTGTAAACTCCTGGCTCAATGTCAGAAATATCCACCCATTGACAATCTACAGTATACTTGTAGATATCAGTGCAGTTGACTGATATTCCTTGATCTCCATAATTGGCACATGCATACCGTGGCTTTACGCCTGGCATACATTGATTGTCTTCTAAGCAAAACGATGCTTTGTGGCCTTCAGCCACGCGCACCATATTCTTATCGTAAATGTCAAACGTCGCGAATACTTCCATGCTGTGATAGTGCCTGTAAAAAATAACCAGGATATTCAGTACCTGACCCACATCAAACTCATTCACTACATGGCTTGCTTTTTATTATATTTTTAGCCCACTTTCGAGCTTTTTGAATAGATGTGTTAACTTACATGTGACACATGTGCCATTCCCAGAGATGCTTCGGAATGGCCGGGCGAAAGTCCGCTGTGCCTGCGTTTAGTATTCTCGCGGTGAACTTTAGCAGGCGACGAGTTTCGAGATGCCAATTAGATGTCTCTTTCTGTATGACGTATGCTTGTGATGCGAGGCAGTTTTCTTCCATGGCGCATTGCAAGAAATACATTTGCCTATCTTCCAAATGTGAGGTGCGCATCAGTTCCAGATGGTCTATGACAAGGTCAGCCATTTTGTCTGTGCAATAAACAGCCGCTACGTCCTGTACTTCACAACTACCCCGCGCGGATACATCGTGCATACATTGACTTAATGCATTTTCTTCGCCATTACATTTGATACCGGTAAAGGTACTTGAGGTTATGTTACCACCAAAATAATCTGTTTGTAATGCGTCGCTTGCATAACCAAATGAAAGACTCCTACAAACAACCATTGCTTCAAGCAAGGACCATCCTTGTCCACAAATTGTGTGCCATTCATTGTTTGCTGTTTTGACCTCTACTCGTCCTTCAGTTGCTATTCTTCCACCTTGTAGACGAACTTGTAAAGTTGGTAATTTTGCCCTGTTTTACAAAAACAGATTGAAAATGTAAATTATTTTATTTGGATTTAGCTTAAATTACATGGTTGGTTTCTTTTTGGTGATATTTTCTTCAATTTCGTTTTCGTTTGTTGGCACGTGCTGACAAATCACGCCAGCTGCCTCAGTGGCGTCGCAATCGCTCTGACCCCATCCGTCGAAACGACACTTGGTAATTTCCTCCTCGCTGCCGTCGCAATACAAGTTATCCATCCAATATTTCCCTGCACAATGAGTATTAACATTTTAGCTTTACACACAGCTTGAAGCGGAAGGCAATTTGAATGCGTTACGTTTGGGTGAGCCAAAGAATGAATTATGCGTGGCTTTCGGTATTCCTGTGTAGCCCAGTTGTTTGCAGATCACCTGCGCCTCAATGGCGTCCCATTCGTCGTCGCAGATTGCACCCCATTGACCTTCGTGGAGCACTTCTACGTTTCCTTAAATGTTTAAAAGTTTCAAAATTAATTTGGTATTAAATTTATCCTTTAAATTATAAAAAAACCATAAATATTATGTGATACAATAATGTCAACGTTATTATAAGTGAATTGTGTACATGATTTATGGTACCTAATTTTATATTAATATATGCATGATAAAAATTAAATGTAAATCTCTGGCGCATGAAAAAATTATAAAAACACATTTACCGATTTAGCCAATCTAAGTTAAAAAGCGGATTTTGGGGGAATTAAGGATACGATTTTTCAGTGTGGCCAAAAGTACATTAATGTTTTTTTAATGGCCATTTACAATGCATATTAGACCATAAGCCGGATGCAAATAAAAAGAGACGAACTTACCCTCGTATTCGCCGCGACCGCCGACTAATTTAATACCGCCCTCTTCTTTTCGCAGCCGTTTTAAATGCTTCTTAATTAACCTAGCCATCTTCTTTTTTCTGCCCTGTCTGAGCGTCCTGGGCGTTTCTGTGCCGCGGATTGCCGCAGTTGCATTACCAATTTCGGTTTCATCATCCAACGTTGATGCATGCAGAATGCACAAAACTGCAAGCAAGATAAAGCATCCAAACAGTTTACACTGCATTTTAAACGCAAGGCAATAAAATTTAAGCGGAAAACGGGCGCACTTGAACTACTTCGGAGCGAAATAAAAATTAGGAACAGGCGCTTGCTCTCGAAAATGTAAAAAACGACTGCGAATTGTTTTGTGAACGTGTTATTAAGAGTAAATTATGAAATGGGTTTGAAATTAATATGCGCTAAATAGAGGCCCAGTTTTTTTTGTTCTTTATTGAAGCTGACACAATAATGACCGGCGACTCATGAGATCATGCTCACGCAGGCTCTTTTAATTTCTATTTATATAAATAGTTGCTGGTTGTCGTCTCAATTAATTGTTGGCAAGACACATTTAGTTCTAATCATGTTGTTTACAATAAAATGAAAAATTTAAAGGTTTTAAGGTTAAAAAGTTGAAATTAGGTTAGAAATTATCCAATTTTTAATGGTTGCCCGAAAATGCATTAAAAAGTTTCCAAAGTTCCAATTTTCTTGTCAAAAATTAATTACAGTTATAATGACGACATCATGGCTAGAGACCGACCGAAATTTCGGTTTCGGTTTCGGCCAGTTTCGGCCCAGAATTCGAGTTTTGGCTTCAGTTTCGGTTTCGGCCAAAAATGGCCAAAACTTTCGGCCGCACCGAAACTCACTTTTCGTGAATTGTCGTGCGTCGCTCGGCCAACTTCGCGGCTAATGGCGGTCGTTATTTGCCATCTCAGTTCGCTCATAGAAACTTAAATTAATATTATATTAAGTATCAAGTGACTAAATGGGGACTTTAATCCCAAAATGGATTTTGTGTCTAAAAAATGTGGAAAAACTGGCGATGTATAGGTAAAAGTAGAAAAATATGTTTATATAAATTAGTTTCGGTTTCGGTTTCGGCCGAAACTGATTGCAAGGCCGAAATTTCGGTTTCGGTTTCGGCTTAAATCCAGTTTCGGTCGGACTCTAATCATGGCGCATAATATGAATTGCAGTCATGAATACGGTTTATAATTAGTCATATTTGATATATTTTGACATTAATTACAATTAATACTCGCATAGCAACAAAAATTTGCCAGACATCTCATCAAGGAAGGTTATCTCCAGTTAATTCCTACTTTACATTAATGTACACGCGGCCTAAAAGCATTTAGGTGCTTCCATTGTGCTTTAAGTCGTTGTGTGACTTGCTCTCCTACTCTCAATAAGTTCGTGTGTACTCGTTTCCACATGGCAATGCTTCAAATGATCACTTGAACTGAACAGTAGCACTCGAGACTTGCCACAGTTAGATAGTTGTAAATTTAGTTCATTTTGTGCACGAGACATCAATTTCCACCGATTTGCAAAATGATTCCTCAATTGTGACTATTTTATTTCTAAGTGTTACATGACTCGATTATTGCAGCTATCAAAATAGCATAGATATTGTTGGAAACACTTGTCACATTATATTATCAGTCGGTGTGTGCGTGGTTTGTAAATATTGAAATAACTCGCGATATGCCAGACGTATTCATAAGAGCAAATTCATTCGTTGGGCATTCTAGCTCTACCTCTCGTCGAGTAAGCTTTTAAAAGTGAATTCCATCCACACGCTCGGTTTTATTAACGGAAGCTAACAAGGTCATGGATAATAACGACATACTGACAGAGCTCGAGACTGAGGGCATTGTTGAGCTGTCTGCATTCTACACAAAACGGCAAGATGTTGCCCCACATATATTCAGTTATCTGGAAAATACCCTCACGTGGCAGGGGCAGTCGCATGGAAGTGAATTAGTTCAAGTTTTTGTACCAAAGGGGAATGACTGGAAAACAAATGGAACATTTATCTCTGTTGGGCATGTATGCAAATGAAAATCAGTTTAATTTGATTTATTTATTAATTTATTTTATTATTTATCCTAATAGTTTCCCTGGAAGATGATTGTAACATTCACAATGGAAGAAAGTGGTAATCAATTATTTAACGCGCTTGTAAAAACAAATCGTTTTGACTATGCCAATGATATGTATTTATACTATGCTCTTCATGAGAAACACATACCAATAGTTGATAAGGCGATGTCCCAGCGTGGATTAACAAAAATCTCTGAAGATAGAACAGATTTATGGAGATTAGATCAAAAAGAAGGCATATTGAAACAACCAAGGTAATTTACTTTATGCAATCATTTATACTTCACTAAAATATCTTTATATCTAGTTTTCCAAATGATTATACAATGGCTCCACTAAACATCTGTGATGCAGGTCAAGTGAATGATGTGTGGCCCCATAAGTCTGATAGTTCCGAGGGTTATGTGCGTATGTTAATTGAACTGAATGGCGGATGGGGCTTGTACACTCAGGAATCTAATGAGTTAGTTGCTTGGATTTTAAAATCGCAACTTGGACAACTTGCGCTGTTGCAAGTAACTGAAGATCATCAAAAGAAAGGTCTTGCACAAGCGCTTGTTTATGCTCTATCAAAGGATATAGCTCAGGAAGGCTTTCCTGTTCTTGCCACCATTGTTCAAACTAACGTTGCATCTCAAAACTTGTTTGCAAAGTGTGGCTTTGAGAAACTTTTCATGTGTACCTTTAATGTATATAAATAATTCTAGTTAATTATCATTTTTAATGCAATTTCTAATTAAACCATTTAAATCAATTATTTATTATCTTTTCATTCTTATTAAGTTATATAAATAATAAAAGATAAAATATGTGATAGTTTTATCTCAGGACGTTGACTTGAAGTGTCTCTAGGAAACAATGTAAAATTTGCACATTTTATGCTTAAAATGTGATTGCAGAGTAATTTTAACACTAGTTACCTGTTGTTACTAATACGTAACTTATAAATACACAATCCCCCTTCTTTCAACGCTCGCATGCAATGTCAGCGTATTTATTTTGTTTTCACGATGCGTCATAGCTTATAAAAATGACCTCATATTGTAAACACAGTTCAGTTATTCGCCAGCAGTGCGTCGTAACGCTACCTTTTGTTTCAGCGCATTTATATTCACGTAATTGTTTAAATAGGCGAAATGGTTTGTAATTCCGTATTAGCTACTGGTGCAATCTTGCTTCCAAATATCGGCGGCTACATTTCGAGCATACCGGTACGCAAAAACATGGCCTGGTACGCCAGCCTCAAAAAACCGCGTTTCGGCCCGCCCGACTGGGTCTTTGCACCTGCTTGGACCTTTTTATATTCGTCCCTCGGCTACTCATCGTACTTGGTATGGAAACATGGTGGTGGATGTTCCGGTACGTTTTCTTTTCAATACAAATGATGTAATATTAATCAAGATGTTTTTAGGTCCCGCGCGGATTCCACTTATGGTTTATGGCGGTCATTTGATGTTAAATTTAAGTTGGACTCACATCTTTTTCTCTATGCATAAATTAAAGCTGGTGAGTAAAATTTACCTACCAAAATTTACACAAGTTGTATTCATATTTGTATTGTGGATGTGATGATTGCAGTCACTTTATGAAATCGCCGCGGTTGATGTCACGGCTGTTTTAACTGCGTACTTGTTTTATCAAGTTCAACCAGTGGCTGGTTGGCTCTTTCTGCCGTATTTCGCTTGGTTGAGCTATGCCACTGCACTCACATGTTCAATTATGCGACTAAATCCTGAGGATGAAACGCAAGGAGCGACTGTGACTGAAATTAAAGATGAATAGTTATAGATTCACCTTTTGTAGAGCTAATAATTGATAATGTTAATAATTTTATAGCTTTAAAGATACTTTAACATTTATATCTTGTTTAATGAAGTTTTTAAGATAAAAATGAATTTGACTGGAAAGATATGCAGTAAGTTACTTTAGGTAGTTAGGTTGAAATAAAATATGAAATGGCTACTTATTGTAAATAAATAACAAGAAATTCTTATTGTATATGCTTCATTGTTCTAAGTTAAAGTATACATGTACAATTTGAGGCTTACACACTTGATATATTATTGTCGATGTCTCTTATCCACATTAGTCAATTGGATTGCTTGCATCAACAACGCAACAATTGATAACTGACAAGTTATCTAAGCTTTATTACAATTAAAATAAGTCTGTGTAGTCTTTTGTATAAATTAATTATACATTGTTATTCTTCGTGTAAGTTCGTCATAAACACTACTCATATAAAAAATATTCATATAGAAATTTAAAATTTCCTTGCTCAGAATGTGTATATGTTCATTTAAATGTTCATATAAAATTCCCTATCATGCGCAGCCATCACATAATAGAGAATTTGTGTTTTTACAACCCGTGCAATGCAAAACACACTTTGTTTCAAATCTATTACATTATTGTCAGAAGAAGTCAAAGTTTGCATTGATCTGCACTCAGCACTTTCATTTCATACAAAAGACTCTCAACTCAACTACAACCATCATTGAGTATCCAACAGTAACGCAGATAAACCAAGTCAACAGCTGGTAAAAATGGAATGTTGTGAACATGCGAATCAATGCAACCGCACATATCTTATGGCTCATCATGTGCGAGTCGCAAGTCAACAGAATATCGAAAAAAACTTGAATGGAATGAAAATAAATTACTTAAGCCTGTCGATGAACTCGAAGGATATGTTGGTCAGCGTGATGAAATTTCAGTTTTATAGTTGCGCTGTCTTCGCCTTTCCGACGACGACAAATACTTTTTGCATCGCTGACGTGATGCACAGAGTGCAGGCGACAAACCATCTCGGCTTTTGCTTCCACATGCAACAAACCAAATAGACCGGTACCGAGGTGAGTATCATTAATAAACCAATGCCAGTTTCCACCGGACTGGCAATCATGGGCACTGCGGTCACGAAGACGGTGGCTAGGAGGTAGAGAATCGGCCAGATTAAGTTCACTTTGATGGGTCGTTCCAAATTCGGTTGCTTCCAGCGCAACCAAGGCAAGCAAAGAACAGAAGCTCCAATACTCAACTAAAAATTAATAATAAATAATAAATATTAATAATAAATATCGTTTTGGCGATATTGTGAGGGTATAGCGTACAGTAAGTGTTTACTTAACTTTACTTAGCTTAAAAATTAATATTATCACTTAAATATTCAACACAACACAACATTCAATTATATTTACCCAAGTTGCAAATCCTACATAGTTTATCAACGCGAATATATTGCTGGATGTCAGATACAGCATTGACAGTATTGCCTGCAAAATTAAATCGTAAATACAAATTTACAGCATTGTGTTTTATGTGTACCATAGCAATAACAGCAGGGGTTGGAGTTAAGCGCTTCGATTGAATCATAGTCAGCAATTCCGGCATCTGGCCGTGCAGGGCACCCGCGTAAAAGAGGCGCGATGAAGTTAGCAGGATTCCGTTGACAGCGCCGAACGTCGATAACGCAACAAAGACAGGGATTGTCCATGCCAGTGGGCCGAATAACTTATTCGCAAACGATACGGCAACGGCCTCAGAACCCAAGACTTCCGCTGGTGACAGTGTCGTATAGAACGCCACATTCGTGAAGACATACACGATTGTCACCAGGGTACAAGAGATAGCAATAGCCAACGGAAGATTTCTAGAAAATAAAAATTAGGTATAATATAACATCACAAATCAATATTTAGATAGATTACCTGACTGGGTCTTTCAATTCCTCAATGATGAAATTCAGATAATTCCAGCCATTGTAAGCGAATAAACCAGAATAAAACGAAAGTGCAATTGATGTCACCTGGGTGTTTGTATTCATGAAAGTGAAATGCTCGGTATGACCTAAAATCAGTATTAAATTTTATTTATCTATTCTTTTAATGTAAATATTAGCAGTGTGGACTTACCGTTGATCAATTGGTATGCACCAGAACCGATAATGACAAACAACGCCAATAGTTTTGCATAAGTGAAGACATCCTGCACCCGCGTTGCCCATTTGACGTCATAACAGTTAATGACGGTCAAAATAACTATAAGCAAATAAAACACAATATAAATATCAATCGATACTTTCACAGTTCAATGATTCTATTGATGAGCTGTCCAATTAGCAGAGACAATGCAAAATAAAGCAGAAACAATAAGAAAAGTGATTCGAAGAAACCGCAGCGAGGAAAGAATAATTGGCTTGTGTAGTAGACCAGACAGCAATAAGATTACGCGCTCGGTATTTTCGCTTGCGTGATTTGCGAATAGGGAAAAAATGGCTGAAGAGAAAAAACATGGCGCCTAATAGGACTTACGAATGCAACAGGCCGCTAGCAGACGGGCAGCGTCGTCGGGCGGCTGGCATTCCGGAAAGAATGGTTTCATCACGTACACGCTGAAAGTGAGCGCGACAATCGCCTGCGAGCACGGTCGGACAATCATGCACTCGATCCATAGTCGCACGAAAGCCCAAAATGGTCCGAACGTCTCCATGATGTAGGCGTAATCCGCTCCACTTTTCCGGATCATCGTCCCCAGTTCGGCATAGCAATAAGCACCGACCTAAAACGTACAAATAGAAAAACTCACTTTTATAATTTACCTAGAACATGATAATAAAAGTGAAGGAAAAAAGTGGACTAATCATGTTGTTGGTGAGAACCGGAATCCAAAGTGGGAATGCAATATCGCATTACGGCCATTATTCGAACGGAGCGAACAAAACACAAAATAATGATACGTCCTTGTAATTCGTCCGCTGCAAAGGCGGCAGGTTCGGTCATGCGATGCGTTGCTAGCACGCAATATACAAAATTCGATCTGTTCAATGGCTCGGACGTGCATAAAACCGAGAAATTGCACAAGAAATATCATTCGGATAGTGCTATGCAGATCTGTGGCATTATTAGTTACACTACAATCGATTTTATACGTGACAGCCACGCTTACATAAAAAACGAGCTTATATTCAGCCAGAGGAGAAAATATGTCAACCGCACGCAAGAGGAGTAATTAAATTTTCCTCTTCTCCCTTTCAGACGCTTCCATAGAATCACCATCACTCTAGAATTTCCCGAAGCACGCCAAGCTTTCGTGCGCTGCTTTATCGCTATTATTGAACTGTTGTCATCCTAATTTAATTTCGTGATTAAAAATCTTATGAAATACTAAATCAATCAATCTGTTTGTTTGGTATTATACAAACTAAAACCGGAATAAATCGAATTATCACATACAAGTTACATAAATAAAAAGTCAGCCTTGAATAGTATTAGAATATGAGTTTTAACAAAGATTGTCGAACGAAAAGTTCAAACTGGTGAAGTTTTAGTGAGTCATGAGCATGGGCCAAGAAGATTGACCAAGCTAACATACCAAACGGCTCACAGCGTGAAGTTAAACCTTTTTATAATGTGTGCGGCTATTTTTTAATTTACTTCCTAACAAAGAATCGAAACGATATGCGCGCATTGAGCATGAAGAATACAATTAACGTGTAAACACGAGCAGGTCGAGCAGGTACACCGAAGCACTGTTATTGTCTACCTGGCTTGCGTTCTGCGTACATATTATTCATGCTAATATTGTCTTCGAGCTCGACATTATTTTACCTGATTGCATGATTATGGTGTTTATTAAATGAATCCGATATTCGAATTCCCGCCACTTGCCACCAACGTATCTTATTTGTTTACGTAGGTACTTATTATCAGTGTTGTGTGTAATGTTTGCCTTCACTTAACATAAAAATACATTGTGTTTACCATTATTGTCAATTCTGATGGATTTCATAATTACGATTGAATGGAATATGTAGAATATCTAATTTACATGGGGAAATAGATAAACAAATACTTAGTATTAAATTAACATTCCATATATAGACAACAACAATATGCAAAGAAAGTTTTTAATATCCGACTAAATATATAAAACTAGTCAATCTGTGTTGGGTACTAGCACGATCAATAGTTTCATTCATTTAAATCTAATCTTAATAGTAGTAAACAAATGTGGATGTTTCGTAATTCATGACGAAAGTTTTTTACATTAAAAAGTAAATAACAAAGGCACAATTTATGTAAATTACACTTAATTATATGTTGTAAAGAAGACATGAATAGTGCGAGGAGGCGAAAAGTATAGATCCACACCTTCTGTATCCGATTTAGATGCACTTATGTATAATTTATACTAGAATTTTTTAAGATTCATAGAATATTTGCATGACATATTTTAAAATGCAGATAAAAATTATTTAGAAGCATATGCATTCATATCTCACTATCACATAATTTTTGTGTCAATATTAAAATATTATAGTAACCTGTATAAAATGTAAATTTTAATCCCTGGCAGTAAGATAAATAGATTCTACATATGAATATAGGGTAAATGGAAATGTGAAATGTTGTGCGCGTCTATTATTCGCCTGACCTTCGCAGCCACCGAGACTCAAGGCTTAAGTTCGAGGGGTTTCAGACTCCCAAAAATTGCGCCCTTTGCTATATGCTTCGTGGCATCTGCTATTGAAAGCAATTCGTTGTGCTCTTTGAAAGCATGAATGAGAAACGCCGCAGAACGCAATACGAGCGAGCACTTAGTTTATAATTGATTCTGAAAAAGAATACGCGATAACAGCCACGAAGAATTGCGTTTACTGCGTAGAAATTAAACTTAATCGATTCCATTCTCAAGTGACAAATAAAATTATCACGCAATTTAGTTAGAAATATAATAAAATATGGAATTTTATCAAACAATTCAAGCTGCATGTCAGATAAATGTTTTCATCCTGCAGCAGATGCATATTATATTGTTCTTTATCATTATTTAAATTATTTAAACAGCTGCGTTTAAGAAAAATATGTGCATTAACGGACTACATTCAGATAAATCCTAAATTCAAGTAACCTTGTCGAAATTATCCATTTACTGTCGCGTATAATTTCATCATTAGACTAGTAAAGCAAAATTGCAACCGTTAATATGCTAAAAACACATGAAGATGGCAAAACGTGGTTATTCAGATGGACATAAAGCGAAACGGAATAACGAAATGAACGCACTCTGGGAGCCGAATGAGAAATCGGGAAAATCGATGAAAACGCAGTACGCGAAGGGTGAGTCCCCACGCTAGCGCAGATAACACAGTTACTGAAGTGTGTAAACCACGTGGCGTGTTCGCAAATTTCTAACTTTGCACTAGCAAAGTTACAAGGAAGCTCTACACAACTAAAATCATTCATTACTAGACTCTAAAAGCTTTTTAAATCATATTAACAAGCAAATATTAAATTTATAGTTCAGATCTCTTCTTACCATAGAAAATACACCGGAAATAGTCCACACAATCAGTGATAAGTTAACGCTGCCAGTGTGTAGGAGTACACCGGCCGGCGAAACAAAAATTCCCGAACCAATGATGCTGCCAACAATGACGGTGATGCCATTCAGTAGACTCATCTTGGGTTTGAGGGCGATTTCATCACCTTCGCCCTTTTTCTCGTCTTTCTTTTCGTCCTCCATTGTGATCAGCAGGGTAGTGTTGTCAGTATATTCCAAAAATCACCGTACACTTGTAATTTAACCGGCGCTTTCGGCAAAGCGCAAGGCGCGAGGACGATGTGCACAATCCTGTTTCCTGAACGCGAGTGGCTGAAGTGACGGAGCGCCAGGAGTTTCGGCGCGCCACCACTCACCGCGTGCTTTGGCCTTACGCTTGCTCAGACCGTTCAATTCATGGTGGAATGGTCGTAATCGTACCGGAATACGTCGAATACTATGGAAGCTACGCTGCACTCACTCGTGGTTCTCTCTTGGGTGCACAACAATGTACAGGGCTGGTTCAACCCCTGCTTCCCACCACTAGGCCGGAATCGATATGAAGATGACGTAGCAAATTCTCTACTTCCTAGATTTGGGGTTTAGAATATTGTTTATGACGTATGCGGAAAATGTAGTGACAAATAAACAAATAAATTAACACCATTTGTAATGCATCACCATGGGAATATATCAATCTCTTAATTTTTCTAGAGAAATAATTTTCCAGAAAGCTTTGTGCAATTAATATCATGATGCAATATACTTTCCTAAATTGCGTCATCCTACATCTTACACCTACTCATTTAGCCCTTAATCGTTTGATCAAAACAACTTTAATTGAACCCTCAATCAAACTCGTTAAAGTTGTGCTAACAAAACAGTTTTAGTTTGTTTTACGGATTTAACGCGATTAAACGTTAATTTTATTGAATGTAAGTAAGATCGGTGCTATTGACATCGCGTGCAAGTCTACAATTTAACTGAAATGTAAAAATCTAGGTCAATAACTCAACGTTTCCTGAGTTGATGTATTATACGCACCCTTTGAAGGGTTTGGAATTGTTACCTAGAATTTTACGCTTTCTACCTCAACATGTTAAGCGCCTCCAAACAGAAAGAATAATAAACTGAATTACGTAATTTGACTCTTCCCACTTTTCAAAAAACTCAAACGAAACAAGTTTTTAATTTGTCTTGCTTCCATCCATCTTGTGCGTTCATTTGTTACAACGTATACACTCGTTCCTCCAAATATCTCCAAGTCATTCCATACCAGTTTTTAATTTTGGTTTCATGAACTTTTACGCGCCCGCTAGGTAACCAAGTACAGTTTTTTGTTGTTGTGGCGTTGTTGCTGTGGTTGCTGTTGAGCAAACGCCTTGCTACACTTGCATTCGTCGAAAATGATTTAACAGGTTCGTAACGTTGGTTTATTCGACGGTCAGGTTCATTGTCGGACTCGCGTTTCTGAGCATTTCATAGACATTCAGCCAAACGAGTAATAATGTTTATAATCTTGTTGGATCGTGTTGTTCGCTGCTTAACAGTGAGAGAATGGGCCTGAGGAAGTGGCCACTTATAATCATGACTTACCGACCTAAACTCGCCTTTTCGGTTTTCTCGTCGGCGTTACGCGCTTAATTCGTTCTCAAAGATGCAGCAATTGCATCACAATGTCAATTATGAAATATTTCGGCGGACCCATCGTTCATCCGAGGGTCACCGCAACAGGATAAACAAACAATTGGTTGATTTGCCTGGTTAAAATTTGCATTCATGTTATATTGTCCTGAGAAAAAAGTAGACCCTATTAGGATCAACTTAATAAATATATAATATATAGGTGTGTTAATTGTGTGTTTTTCTAATATAGTTTAAAATATATTCTGTTTACTTTGAAAGGACTTGAATTGGTATAATAATTTAGTAAAATTCAGTTCAGCAGGTGCATTTTGTGTCTCTGTCAAGGTTAAGGTTAAATGAATGATAAATAATTCATATATGCATGTGGAGTCACCTTTCACGCATATGCAAGAATTATAATAATTATTTTTGATGATTTTAGTTTTTTGCGCTTTTATCTCAATAACTCGATCGTAACTTAGGCAACTAAGAATTCATTACTCCCATTGTATTCATTCTTTGTGAGATTCATAAGATCATTGCGAAAAAGCTTTGAATCTTAATCTGTATTTTTTGCATTATCAAACTAAATGTAACTCCACACTTTTATGGAAAATTTCATAATTTTAAAACAGCAACGCTTTACTATAGTTCTTCAATTTAATGCGAGATGGCGCTGGCATGCGCGTATTTGCATTTAAGTTGAAATGGAGACTTCTTCAAATTAAAAGTGTATTAAGAATTGGTAATTAAATTTGTAATTTGTATATATTATAAATAATCAAACACATAGAGAAATAAACTGGCTTTTACTTCACAAAATTTATATATTTTAATATCTTGTGTTATAAAAAAATTACAACTTTTCATATATTCTGGTTGCTAGCGATTTTAGTTTAGACGAAATTTGTTACCTAAAAATAAATTTAAAACTCAAAAAACTAAATATTCAGCACCCCTTTACCAATTTATATATAAAGAACATATAACAAATCCGTCCACTAATCAGGGCCGCTGAGAGGGGTGGTCAACTGATTGGCTTAGCCTGTATCTTGTGAACTATTACACAATATGTATTGCATACAAAAGTGGAAACACGTAAAAACATTTATTATTGACGATAATAGTCTAAATTGTGAGACTAGTATCTGTCGAATTCATAGATGGCACTTGGATGCACTAAAAATCATAAAGTCGAGTTATTCGGTATATTTTTATATTTATCGACAAACGTGGGCACGAGAAGAGTTTTGTATACAATGCTGTTATCTGCGATTCGGTGTAAACAACGTTGTTAACGCATGTGTCCCGCGCATGTGTCTTCTAGCGCCGCATCCACTTGCTGCATGTATCGAAGTCTAGTATAGTTAAGATCACAGGTAAAGTGCCTATTGCATATTCGCGCACAAGGTCGCCTGCCGTCGACGCGACGGCTTTGCGCACCTCTTGCTTTCTTATCATATACAGTTCCGGTGTTGTTTACGCAGTTTCGGCATGCACTATCGGTGGATTGCAGCCAGTTTCGTGCCGGTTGCTGGTTAATTCAGTCGTGTTTTGAGAGACTTATATCGTTTAATCGGACTTCAATATTCTAAATTTATGTTATACTCGAAGATTAATCGACTATTTATTTGTACTTTGCGACTATAGTATTTTGTTAAATGTTCGGAAATGCCGGTTTTTGATCGCGTTTGTTAGGTATATTACAAGTCACGTGATAGTGGATTTGATAGCATTCCTTACTCGGCGTTGTGTTTGGTGTCGGTTACTAAATTAATCGAATATATATCGCCGCCATGTTGATTCTCATCATTAAGAAAGATCCATCAGGCTCGTGTAAGTATTTTACAGATTGTTTATTTTGTGTTGATTGTTAATTATAACATTATTCAATTCTATAAAATATTATGGTTTTAATTTATATTTTCGTTTAGTTACAGCACTCGTTGTGCCTGGCAGTTTATAAAACAGTTTTCTATTTATCACGTACTACCTATCTGCAGGGCCGATGAAAGGGGGTTAAATCGCAAACACAAAAAATTATCAATATATTAACGATTGCCGGGGCCGATTTTTAACGATTCTTATCTAATGCACAATTTTCCAATATTTCATAACTTTCAATCCGGTGGTCGCTATCGCTTTTAGTTTAAAAGATATGCACTATAGTTAGAAGTTAGTTTAGAAGATGTCAAGAACGTTGATTTTTCCTGGTTTATTTAGTTATATTGCTATTAATCGCAATTGTATAGTTGAGTCTCATTGGGTTGCCCGGAGCAGGTCTCGTGTTCCAGGCACCGTACGAGGACAACGGTAGAAGTGACTCGTGTTCAGGGCACCGTACCAGGGCAGCGTCAGAAGTGACTAGTGTTAAGGACACCGTACCAGGGCAGCGGTAGAAGTGACTCGATTCGGGGCACCGTATGAGGGTAGCGGTAGAAGTGACTTGTCTTCTGGGCACCGTACAAGGGCAGCGGTACAAGTGACTCGTGTTCACAGCACCGTATGTGGGTAGCGGTTGAAGTGACTCGTTTTCAGGGCACCGTACCAGGGCAGCGGTAGATGTGACTCGTATTCAGGACATCGTATGAGGGTAGCGGTGGAAGTGACTCGTGTTCACAGCACCGTATGAGGGTAGCGGTGGCACCTACTCATGTTTAGGTCACCGTACCGGGGCAGCGGTAGAAGTGACTCGTGTTCAGGGCAGAGTACGAAGGTAACGGTACAAGTGACTCGTGTTCAGGGCACCGTATGAGGGTAGCGGTAGATGAGACTCGTGTATAAGGCACCGTTTTTCGCGTTTTTTGACCTTTTACTGATCGAAATATAATAAATAAATATTCTTATCTGATAGAGAATTTTCCAGTCTTTCATAATCAGCAATTCGTTGATTTCTACCTCTTTTAGTTTAAGAAATATTAATTATCAATTATTAACCGGCGAAAAAAAGTATCAAGCACCCCCTTGGCAATTTTTTCTCAAGGATTAAAATGTCATCTCTCAGATTTTAACTATCCGTTTTAACTATCCTATCTTATAGAGAATAGTCTGTAGATTAAGATGCTGCGATCAGATCCAATTTATCTCTTTTAGTTTACGAGATATTCGCGATTGAATAAAATGGGCAAAAATTGAAAAATGTCTCTTTTTAGTGGCGTTTTTTGACTTTTTACTTTTGATGATGTAATTAATTTATTTTTTATCTGATAGAGAAATTTCTAGTCTTTCATAATCAGCAATTCGTTGGTTTCTATCTCTTTTGGTTTCAAAGATAATAATTATCGAAAATCGTCGATAAAAATTGTCTCTCAGATTTTCGTTTTAACTATCCTGTCTTATAGAGAATAGTCCGTAGAATAATCTTTCCGATTTGTGCCTATTAATCTCTTTTAGTTTACGAGATATTCGCGATTGAAAAAATTCGTCATAAAATGAAAAATGTCATTTTTTAACACTTTTGGAGTAAATTCTTCGGGGCCCGGTTGATTGCTCTTAAATCACAAAACGATTGGCGGGTCACGCGGATTTTCCCGCTCTTGCTCTCGACGGCCCTGCCCTAATATAATATATAATATATGCAGTAATATTATTGCTGCAATCTTTGATAATTCATATAAAGTTGATGTGATTCTAATAGATACTTATTTTTATATCAGTGTTTTCTATTTAATTGCCGCTTATATTTCTCTTAATTTAATTTTTAACTGCTTATCTCAATAATCGTGGCCGACTTTTATCTTATTTCTTCGATTAGTATTTATAGTTTCGTGATGCGTGTGAAAGTATTTCATATTTCACTATCACCTAAATACAACGCGTGCTTCGCCTGCTTTGCAACCTGCTTCTCTCCACTTATAATACGAAACTCTTTTCTAACGAAGAATAATGCTCGTTAATTTCAGCACGTAAACTGCTACGGGCTCTCGTTCTCTAACAAAATAATATTTGCCATATTTTTAATAATGGTGATTATAAAATACCTCAATAAAAACCACAATTAAATGAGTGATGGCCGGGCTATAAACACGTAAACACATAAATTTTTATAAACGGCATAAGTGTTTATTCCCTGTGGCACATAACATTTACGGAAGTAGTGCAGCATTTGTGCAAAGTTCATGAATATCTTTCGTACGAATTCTTCTGTCGAAGAGAGAATCTCCATTTTATGCGTGCATAGAATTTTAAATGTTTTATAGTTACGTTATTCTATATCTACATGTGCAAATTTAATGGATAGCAATAAATATTTAAATGTTTGCAGAAACATTATGATAACATAAAAACCATTATAAATTTCTTAGATTTTTGTATTCTGGTCATATTTTCAACTTATTTAATTTCAAGTAAATGTAAATTACCTACAAGAAAAACAACTTAAATCTAATTCAATACTTTCTTTACAAATCTTGATGTACTGCTAAGAAGAACTATATGTAATTTTTTCTCCTCTGAGAAAAAACAATTGCAACTTTCCTTATTTATTAATGTATTTTATCTTCAGATATATCACCTACAAAACCAAAGTCTTATTCTTTTTGCTCACTTGATTTGAATGTTATCACAGCGTGGTAAATGTTTATGCTAAACTTATTTCAAACTTCTGCGGTTTCATTTTCTTTCAGTTTCTTGCTTCTCACTATCCATCATGCAGTCGTTCACTTGATTGTGCATTTTATACCTTACTTCTACTCTCAAAGATTGTAACAATCCAACCAGTTCGATATGCAACTAATGATTATGGCAGTGAAAGTTTTTTATATCTTAATATTGTTACAAACAGCTCGTTAGCGTCTTAGATAATTTGGGAATGTGCTAATTATAAATTGTAGAGTCGGTTTCCCAAAGTAAATCTAACGATCGTTGACGTAAAGTATCGCTGAGCGAGAGCATTAAGCCAGTTGAACATGTTTTTAATAACATAGGTTAACATTGTTTTCAGATGTATTCGAGAATGTAAACAGAGAAACAGCGATTGATGAAATGCGCAACACTGGTGAAAGAAACGAAAATATCCCACGATAACGGAACGAAATTTTCGGTAGTATCTAATGAAAGTTACGAGCAAACTCTGCTCATGTCAAATTTGCCGAACAGATTGCAAATAGAAGCACAGGAACAAATAAAAAGAATAAAATATCATGACAACTATCTCCAAACAAGTTGATTACAACAAAAACCACAAAATAGACACTTTTTTATTGAAAGTCTTCATACTTACCTTATTTTGAAGTTTTCTTGATACAATAATTGATTAAACAATATAATAGCCTTGCGTGACTTATAAAATTGTAAACTAGTAAATAATCAGTTAACGTGTTTCCAATTTGTTGCAATTCGCCGGCAGTAATCTAGAAAAACACCTAATTCAAAATAACTGTGTAAGTGTTTGACTGGTTTGAATCATACATGCAAAGAATTATAGATATTATACACGTAATCGTAATTGGCGTGTGCAATTTCTGGTCGCAATAAAGAGTTGTACAGAAAAACTTACCACACAATGATTTTCTGTTCGTATCGTCAGGTCCGTCCACACATTGGTCGAGCATTTGTTTTGTTTTAGAAAAAAGAAGCTGCGGCCTGCGTAATTACTAACATTGCGTGCATTACAGTTAGAATTTGCGCTCGAATGAGCCGGAAAATTACCACAGTCACATTATTATATTATGTTGTAAATATTAAGCACGCCAATCATTTTAATCTTTAATTCGAGATTGCTGTACAATGAATATTATTTAACAATCAAACTTATTCTTTCTGACCTATAGATTGTAATTTTTGCGTTTTTAAATCTAAAAATTTAAATTTTTAAATTTTTTCTTTAAATCTTTTCATCTTATGTCAAGAAAAAACAAGTTTGTTGAATACTGTAACTGGTAACGTATTAAAAGGCCAAAAACCCGCGTCGACGTCTGATGCACTTTTGCTCATGATGGTATCACATCCATTTCTTCCTTGTTTTCATCTTCTTCCTCATCTCGAGTGTAGGTATGTCGGCGTGTGTGCTTATGAACTTGACTCGTGCGCGCATATCTTAAAGTTGTAAGAGTTGTAGCCACACACAGTCAAACACACACACTACATACATTTAATACTTCGTGATATGAAGGATACATACCGAGTCCAGCATCGCATCTTGTTTGGTCGGTTGGGTATCGAAAAGTGTGTCAGTATGTCGGCGGTGCTCTTCGGCGTGGTTGCTGGCTCTTTGCTGCTTCTTCAGAGCGTTCGATTCTTTCTTGCGTGCGTCTGCTTTGCTGCTTCTTGGGTGCTGCGGAGTACTCCCAGCGGAAATTAAAACGCATGCCAATCAGCCACCGCCACGGTAACCATCAGCAGCACGAGCGGAAGAACGCGCATTCAGTCAGTGGTAGCGCGCCGCGCCGGTCGTGCTTAAATTCGTACTCAGCTATTAAAATTTAAATACTTAAATATCTATCAATACAAAAAGTAACTAGTGTGTTAAAATGCGCGAATGCGGTGACCGTATACGTCGCGAAAGAGCAATGAGTCCAAGACTTGTCTTAAGACGAGTCCTTGTCCTCTCCGAAGGGCGACAATATCGTGAAGCAGCAACGGTTCTTTCAAAATTAGGCTGTTCAGGTTTAGCGCAAGTCGCCAATGACTTACCACTGGATTTACTTGTTGAAGGATTACCACATTCTGCTCAATTGCTGGAAACATTATTTGCGAAGTAAGTCATAACCAAATTAAAAGCATAAAACACTTAAAACACTTAAGTAACACAGAATTACAAATCATAATGAACTTATTACATCTAATTTTAACCTAGAGAAGCAATTAGTTCTCGAAACGAATTCTTTCTGTTTATTATTTCATTTGTATTCTTCTTCAAAATAATCATGTTGCGATGTTATGCATAATACATTTGAATTTGACGTTTCCGCCTTCACGAAACCCACATGAGAATACCTCCTAATGTTTTTAATGTGAGAACAATCTCAAGAGGAAGCCACAATTCTGTCCCGTCCCGAGACGCAAACCAGATTTGTGAATCTCATCATTAGAGACTGCTTTATATTTTATATACCTACATAGCTGAGAGTACGGCCGGTTTATTGTGATTTCTGTCAGCATTGTCGGGCGTCTGTTGTTTGCTTTAAGACTTTTAAGTGCATTACTTCATTGTGCGCTTCAACCGGAAAATTATTTTATCGTTGATGATCACACAATCACGTTATAGACATATTTCATCGTTCATGCGGCAATTTAGCAAAGAAGTTCTTTGAACTTTATTTTATTTTATTTGAATTAATTCGCATTAAATTTAATTAATTATTTTCCAAGCTTTCATGTACTAGGAAATAAACAATTATAATTAATGTTGGAAATGTGCAGAAATGCAGAAAATTCGCGTGTTAAATTAACTAAAAGTAGTTCCTGCATCCTGTAAATTATGCTAGGTGTCAACTTCGTACAATTACGGCTGGTTCGTGTCAGAAAAAGTGTGTTTAAACATGTGAAACCAACTAATTTGTGCAATTACCACCAAAGTAGTGTCTAAAAAGTCTCAGGAATCTATTGAATGTAGTTTAGAACAAATAAAGTACCTACACACGATAGTTATTTCTGCTCTCGATTCCACACGCGCGATTGTTGTTGCCTATATTACTACAACGTTGATTTATTATTTCACGCGCAAAATCATAATTTAGAACACATAATAATTACCTACTTGCTGCGTCACGTAGCACTACTCCTGCGAATAAAAATAGCATTCGGTAATAAATTTGAAAATCCATAAAACCAAACTTTCTATTCTTCCCGAATGACATTCAAACAATATTAATTGATGACCTCTGGCATTGTGCGCTTTTACAGGTTGGTGTCTTCAGGTCAAAGGCCGAATTTAAGTGCTGAGCCTGTGCTTTGGCAATTGGTGCGTCTCTTCGCGACTCATGAGGATCCAACACTGAAGACGAAAGTTGGCCGACTCGTCCGGTCACTCGTTGAGTATCAGCCGGACTTCCATCGATTACTTACCACACGTCGGAATGCTCTAGAAAAAGCCATACAAGGTAATCATCACTAATATCTAATAAAATCGGTATCGTTAAGTTTCATTTTTTTCTGTTTTTAATTTTCAATTTCAATCGGACTGCGGCATCTCTTCAAATAGAAATAAAAGAGTCTTATTAAGTTTGAAATCGCCTTTCACTCTCTCAGATTTATCGGCTGTGCAAAATCTAATTAATTAGGCGGACGAGTATCGCAGAATATGAATACATTAATGGAGATGAAGTGATGAACATCGCATGCATGCGCGGTCGTTAGTTGTTCTTCAGAAGTGTGTCAATTTCTGTTTCTCATCACATTTGTAGTCACATTAAACACGGACAAACACCGCCAACGAAAGACAGGCGGGCGCAAGCATGAGAGCTTTTATACAAACGTTTGCTGATCAATGTTAAACATTTAAACTACTTTCTCTCCTATCATCTTCTATGAATTGTAAAGATTAGTTTATGTGTTTTATTTTTTGCGTGAATACATGAATACAAATAGTAAGGTGCGGAAAATAAAACTGTTTATTTTTATTCATGTAACAATCTTTACTTTTCTTCTTACTGTTGTTGTATTATTGCAGGATTGGGATGTCACGGTTTAACACCGGACGCCAGTGGACTTACACATCTTCATGTCGCGCTCAAGGGCGAATTACAACGACACATCGATGCTTACAAAATCGCGCTGCATCGTTTGGAAGAATTGGGCTTGAGTGCTACCGATGCAAAGAAACCCGTAGATGCATCTCATCAGCGTTTGCTTGGCTTGCATCACAATGATGTGCAGCAGCGACTCATCGATAACAAGACACTGCTGACGATGGTCGACAAACCAGCGTTGCAGCAGCTGCGGCCGTTGATCGACACGCTTGCCGAACGCGTGCAGAACGACAAGGAGGCACTCTTTTGCGTCTCCCAACTGAAAAGGTAATTATTATGTCATCAGCAAGCAAATAAACGATGTGCGGGCAAATCACAAATGATGCAAAGAAGAAGAAAAAAACGTTGAAAGCTTCTTTGCGACCGCTGATTGTCGATTTTATGGCATAACTGTCGACGACAGGTACAAATAGGAGTTATGAATGAAATAATCAACAAAAAGTGTGTTGAATGACGGTGATTTCAATTTATCCGCGGTTGAATAGGCGAATAACTGAATCATTGAATTACGGATTGTGGAAGGAAGATAGTTTCGACATTGCAGTTGCAATGACATTTATTTGAGTTACTAAAGCAGATGTTTCACTGTTTTGCATGCCATAGATTCACCTAAGTAGTTTCTGTTTGCTTGCGGTACGTAATCGGTAAAATAGCGGAAGCTTTTTTATGAAAATTTGAAAATTCCGATTGGGAATAACAGGTTTCTGGTTCATATTACAGAGTCCAGCCGGTGTGTGACGACGTACCGGTGGCGGCGCTACTAATGTCTTTCTCCAAAGGCTGTGCTGCCATCTTGGAGCTGATGCAGATCGCAGCCGACACGAGTCCGTGCAACAGCGACGGTTACCATTCGGAGCCGGAAGCGGAAACGGACCGAGGGTAAGCAAAAGCACTACTGGCAGCCTCGTTTCGATCATGTGTACCCGTCGTCTCGCGTTTCGCATCCTCCCGATATCGATTCGTTTCGTTTCACATCGCATTGCTCCGCGCCGCCTCTTCATCCCGCCAGTCGCCTGAAATTGCAATGAAAAGTGTTAAAAGCACCTGACGCTCGACTCGCTTCCCTCCAACCATAAAAACATCAAGTATATAATGGTTCGGTTGACTGCAAAAATGTAATTACGGTAAACAATTATGAAAAGTGCATCACATTATTAAATTTCAATTGGATGAAGACTCACTCACCGAGTTGAAAACCCTGAATAAACACTTTTAAATGCTTTCACCGCGTACGCATTGCAACCAGATGAGAGTGGACGGTTTAAATGAAGTTAGTCCCCGAAGTAATTAAATTTCGAAACGGTTTCCTTTTTACACCCGCCATCATCGCCACCAATGCGCCACCCCAGGCTGCGGTGCGGGAAATTACATTTTTTGATTTCTCTCTTCTTACAATTCGTTTCTTTCGGTGCGTTTTCATTAAAAGAATCCACCGATTTTTTTTCATTCTTCAATACGTAAAAAACCGGCGGAAATTTCGTGATTTTGAACGATGACAGTTCAAACCTCGGCGTTTGGGGGGCTATAAAAAACGCTCTTAATTAATTACGAATTTTACACAAAAGGCAGGAAGGAAGAAGGGCAAAGAAATTAATCTCTTGGCTTCCTGACGCCGTCGACTCGCCTAACTTGCAACGTATAACTTCCTACCCGTAACAACAAATTTAATTTCTGTTTAATTTAATCATGAAAAGTTGTAACCGGAAACTAAGCGCGTATAAAGCGTGTAATTTAATTTCACGATCCCGATCCACTGTTTAATAATTTAATATCTATTAAATAATCAGTATTGCAGCGTGAAACATGTGAAATGTTTGCGTGGAATCTTTTCATTTATAGGCGTTATTGTTGAGAGCGCAAAGTTTTGGCGATTAACCCAAATTTGTGCGATATTTGTCCTCGCGTTGTTTGTTTGCGCCACAGCAGCAGCGAACACAAAAGGGGCAGTGCGTCGATAAATATACTGGAATTCTGGCATAGTTTCGGCTTCCTCTGGGCATCCGCTTTGTCTCTACTTTTACTGCAAATTCAAACACATCGTACTTTGGCACGGATGCCCTCCCGTAACACGAGCAGTGCGAATTCTTTTCGCGTTCGCCCTCGTTTCTCTTTCTCTACTTCTACATCTGCGTTTCGTTCCTGGCAGAGTCTGCATGCCCGGACACTCCAGTGTCATTGCTTTCAGTTTGTGAATCTCTGAAGACCTGGAAAACTTTCCGTTGGCAGTGTTCGCATAACAAACACGAGATGAGGCAAACAAAAATGAAGTTTTTTTTGCATTCAGGTGCAAAATGTCCTGAAAAATGATTTATCTTTCAGGACGCACGTCGTTTGCTGCTGAATACACATATTTCTTAATGCGCATTTAATGAAACGCTCGTTTCACAAAGTCACCACAATAATATTCTTATACAGCGTGTTCAAATTTTAATGAATAATATTTTTCTTCTTCAAAAATATTTGAGGTGCAATATTTTTGCAAACAAATAAAAATAAATTGAGAAAAATACTCGAAGTAAACTTTAATGAAGATTTATCGAATCTCACTCAAGCATCAAAAGCTACAAACCTGCGGTATTAAAAATCTCAACAAATCGAAGTCGCAAAACTGAGTAAAATTGAGAAAAATATTTTATTTCCGTTGCAGGCGTATTATGCACGTAGCCAGCGGTATTGAAACCGGTCGAGAAAAATTGCCATCCATTCAAGCCACGAAATGAAATAAATAAATAAGAAAAAAGGCAAAATAACCCCACGGTTAGTTCAGTTCGGTCGGCAATCGTAAAGAGAAATCTTATTGGAAAAATGTTCATGACAGGCGGGGCGCAGAACTTACACCATGCAAACGCAAGGACCTTCTCTAGTCCATGCAGTCGCACTTTTCTGTATTGGACACATAAATGCTGCGAAGCCGTCGAAGTACGCTCGCCGGCAAACCTGGCGGGTCGAAGAGAAGACGTGAAACACATTCATGCATGGAAATTATGTGCTGAAAGAAATAAAGCAGCGCAAAGTAGTGCAAAACGCGGAAGCGTACAAAACTGAAATACTATGTGTGAAATTTAACGCGTGAAGGACTCGAATGAAAATAAGAGCAGTCTAGTGTGCTGGAAAATGATTGTATTTTACAAGCGTGAAGGAAAATGCCTGAGTGCATGACACAGATACACTCGTTACACATTTTAGGAGTTTTGTTATTTTTCTCTGTAAATATCAGCTTGTTTTAGAGTTTGTACAAAAAAAAACATAATGTATTTTGATACTTAGCAGCGTTGGTAAATAAAAAATGAGTTTTAAAAAAGTCCATGAAGAAAACAAGCCTACGCATTATCTGCCGATCGATTAAAAGCAGCTTCATTTATTTATACAGAGTGTTCCAAATGCAATAATGATTTAAAATATTATTAAATATACAAAAAAGTAAATACTTTGTAGACATCTTAAAGATTTGAAATATGCAGATGGTGTTGTTGATCTCCGTGGCGGTTTTCGCCCTGTCGCTATTCATCCCCCAAAATGTAAAATATAATCCGTGCTATATCTTGCTCCCTTAAGCCCCGAAAAGGGCTTTGATAAAATTTGCGAATAAGAGAGAAATGGCACTACCGCTGCGGGCTTAACTTCCAACGCGGATTTACGATGTTTTTAATCCTGTTTTATAGTGTGTAGTTAATTCGGCAGAGACGTGCCTTCTAGTCATTCTGTTACACACCGAAAAGTCGATTTCAAAGAGGCAAAACAACAACTGCAAGTGAAGGTGAATTTCAGGCATTTTTGTTCGTTTGTTTGTTTGATCTTCTTTATGGAATTTAATTTTGCCATTTTATACATTTTAATATAATAAAAAACGCGGTGTAATAGCAGAAGTGACCCAAATTGCATTTTACGTCACGTGGAATTACATTGAACTTTGTTTGTGCCGACGCATATATAACACGCTGTGATTTATTCGAATTGATGATGTGATTTGTACGATGCGCAATACAAACGAGCTGAATATTTATACGCTTGTCCCGCGAGATTAACCGAATAAACAAATCAATAGGATTGTGACATTTTTTCACAGGGCCCGTGATTGTAAATTTTATATAAAATATTATTATATAATAGTGCAATATTTTATTTATTTTATAAGCTATAAAGAAAACTTGAATGCCTCGGCAGTAAACTGCATATGTGGACGATGCATCAATATTTACATACATTTAGGAAATACTCGCAATAAAGCCACAATGCGAATGTAATTTGGTACATCTCGTAAATTTTACATTACGACCACGAATCGTATGCGCACATGTCATCTTGTTGAATACAATAATGTAATAAAAGCAGTAATGGCGCACGGCGCACCGCAAATCATGCATCCCGACGCAACATCACGTGAATCAACGCGTATTGATCACAAATCCAGATACAGAAACGTGACGGAAAATATACCACGCTTTTAATTATTCAGATTAATTCGTAGAGTAGCTATCTGCATAAAACCAGAAACACTTTTCCTAATTGATAAAGTGTGAATGCATAGACAAAGGAATCAATCACGTGTGAAATGTAGAACAAGTTTCGGGAAAGAATAGCAGTTGTTTGCTAGTTCATAAAGTACTCACAGAATACTGCCGTTATCTGATGATTAATAACTTACTTGCAGACTGCTAGACTTTGTTGAGTTTTAAGACTTTGCTTTGCGATGCTAAACGCAAACACAAAGTGATAGGTAATCCATTTGTTTAATTTTCTATGACTGATGACTGATTATTGATTGATTGAAGTTCAGGCTGTGTATTTAATCAAGTGTTTAATGTTTCATACGCCAGTCATTCCTTTACAGTTTATGTGATTTCCTGTTCTCATTTAGTTTCACTTCTTGTGCTATTATTCTACAAATGAAGTCTTTTAACATGCAGAATAAGTAAATTCTTCTCGTTTTTAATCGGTAGTGAATTAATATTTTAATGTAAACGCAGTAAAGTGCTTTTATTAATACAGTTTTCGTTTTGTGTAACATGCAGCTGTGTATAGCTCAAAGCATTTTCATGTTAGAACATTTTCACCCTGTGTGTGCTTTGAAGTAATAATGTTTTTTCACGCTGTTAGTATGCTTGCATCGTCTGCACGTTTGCCAACCGCACAGCATGAAAATTCGTACTTTGGGTAATGCCAGCATGTGTTATTACTCATTAATGTACCCGCCACTTGAACGCTCTCCTGGAAGCTAAAACCCTTCCTGGGTTTCTTGCGTTTGTTGAGGATCATATGTCAACTTAATTATGGGAAATTCTCGCACATTTCCACTTTATTATAATTCAAAATATTCATTAATACAGCATGATATAATTTAATATAGAACAATATAACACTTTGCTAGAAGAGAAAAGAAATAAGTAACAAGATTAGTGTTTCTTTTTTGTTAGCATTATGAGCATTATCTTGTTATCATTAAGCTTGCGGCAGTTCTTAGAGAAAAGCACACGAGTGTGCACTAAATGCGTAAATAGGCAACACAACGAATAGTGCCGAGGGGATAACAAATCTTGGATGTGTGACATACAGAAATGCGCTTTAACAGTAAAACAGGCGTAGATTGGCTTCTTTGGTTTGTATTCCGTGTACGCACACAAAACACGCTCCAAGGCAGGAGCCGGGTCATAAAAGTTCAGTGAATGTGCGCATTGTCGAAACAAAATGCGTTTGTTTCGCGAAATGGCCGCCGGCATCTTGTCGACATTGATTCTACATCTATATTTTCCTTTAGAAAGTATAGTTCATATCTTTTTTTTGCTTAAATATTTAGCTACTCTCATTCGAAGCTTTGTTTTTAGCTATTTGAAAATCATTTCAGCATCATTTATCTTAACCAAAGTGAAATTTACCACACGATTCGAATTTTTGAATTGAAATGGATATATACGATGGAGAGACTATTAATAGACTCCTACAAGCCGTAATTCTTTTTTGCTGTTTTTCGCATTTTTCCAATCCTTCCGAACTCATCCGCACAATTCTCTTAGTTATTAACGCAGTCTTTCTATCTGCGCTGAATTCAGAAACGAGTAATGCTCGTAAAAATGTGTGTGATAGGTCAATCCCATCTATTGTTTGCTGAGACGTTCGACGCTTGCTTGGTGTTGTATTTTCGGTTTGCCATTTGGCGTTTTATGCTCGCGTGCGCACCATTCCGGCGAGAGAACAAGGGCGTAGAGAGAGTCTTATCATCCAAGATATAAATCAAAAGAACGACAACGAAAATATCCGCTGTTGTGGTGCATTTGGAAGGATGGAATCAAATTTCCTCAAAAACAAATTAACAAAATTGCTCTCGTAAAATAGCGCATAAACTCAACTCCACTAAAAACAAATGAATCTCATTTCGAGTACTAAAATTTAATAGTAATCATAACGGCTGACTATTATTTACACCTTGATATTACTGAAGTTTATCTAGTGGGGAATAGAAAGTCATAATCTCATTAAACTGAATTGAATGGATGTAAAGAAGAAAAAAGTATAACGTAAAAATTTCAACAGTTAGGACAATTCTGTGTCGCTCGTAAGACTTGAAAGGTTCAATAAAAAACTCGTTAAACCGCTTGTTTCATCCCTTTTCGCATCAAGGTTTCCGTCGTCGAAATCCTTGGCAAATTGCAAATACGAAACGATGAAGATGTAGATTTGCTCCCTCGGTAATCATATCTCATTTGTTGAAAACCTGCTCTTCTCCCAGCGCTCTGTAGGTACCAGGAAATGTCATTAACATCCCTTTCTTCCATCATCTTCCTTTCCCTTCGTTTGCTTTGCATCTATTATTATTATCGTTCCGCACTTCTTCATACCCGAGCTTAGATTCGTCGCGAATTCTGCGTTTTATAGGCAATGCATATTTACGACTCGCGTTTATTTTTGTTTGCAGGAAGGACGCAGTCGGTCGATACGGCAGTTTGTACTATCAGAGTAGACCACGCGCTCTGGAAGCATTGGACTCTTTGCCCGAATTACACCATGCCACACAATTGAAAGCGAAAATATTGTTTTCCGTTGTAGTCGTAAGTAGTGCTTCTTTTTTACTTTCTGCAGACGTAAAAAACTTGTTTGTTTTCAGTTGGCATTTCGCACATGCAAAAATCTGCGTGATGTCAAACTACGCGAAACATTTCGAAGCTTACACGTGGATGTACGCACCGCTGCTGGGTTGGCCCTTCGTGGGGATCTCATGCGGTGTCTTTCTCAACAAGCCGATACTTATCCACTCGCTGATGTCGAGATTCAAGTGCGTGGTTTGGTCTGCGATACGCTCAAGGAGTACAAATGTTTGGAAACCTGCATGCCACTACGAAGGTAAAAATATTTGCTGTTTTTTAAATAACATGGTCATAATGATGTTTTTTTTATTTTTGCTTTAGGTTTGTTGGTGAAGTTACTCGCGTCGCTTGGTTTCTGGTGAACCAATACCCACCCTACGAGTTAAACACAGATTTCCAGGCTCCGGTTCGCTTCGTACCGGAACGGCATCAGCGTCATCACGCTTCTGACCGAAACAGTGATGTGGTGCGTTCGTATCTGTGGCCGGCGCTGGTGCAGAATAACAATTGTGCGTCGAAAGCGGTTGTAATCACAGGCGGTGGTATCTAATTATCTAATCGGAACTCGTGTGGGTGCTAATTGCTCAGCAGATTGCAGTATGCATTTTGGATGTGCTCCTCAAACGTAATTAAGGTCTATCTAAGTTAGAATTGTGTTTAACCGCTGATTATGTCAATAATGTCAATATATCTAGTTGTAATCACAATTTAATATGTAAATTACGTTTCTAGATAAATAAAAGCAAAAAATTAATTATCTATGTATATAAAATAAAGTTATACGCATTTCTAAATATAATTTAAATGTAATTGATATGACTGTAGCGAAAATTATCATTATAATTGGTTTCAATACTGCCAACTGTGTGAAATATGACTTAATTCAGTTCGCACCAAAGTGTGTGTATTCTGTATTCAAACAAAGCGAAGGAAATTGCAAGCGAGTCTGCAAAATGGAAGCTGTGAATAGGAAATTGCTTTCGCATACATTAACAAGCATTATTATCATTCGAGATGTTCGACGTTTTCATCGCGCGAGCGCCATCGCCACGCTGAACATTCGAATATTCTTGAGCGTCAAATTTCTCAAATGAATAAGAAAGCACAACGATAACGACGAAAACAGCACTGCGTTCAGACCCGCCGCAATTACTTCTAAGTCTTTCAGTGTTTCATACTTCAAAGGAGCTTTAATTTTCGTGAACAATCGTTAAAAACAGAAGCAAAAAATATTACAGAATCAGCGTTAAATGAGAAAAGTGTTTTGAGTATTAAGTTGCCTACATCGATTACTGAAACAGTTTTTGAGGCGATATTATCGTATAAAATAGTTTATAATATAAATTGTTTATAACAAGGTTATAACACAGATAGATATGCGAAATCATCACAACTTCCTGCCAACAACGATACTGATACGCCCCGACTCGCTTTCCACACATACAATGTGTTACAGAACCAAATAAATGAATAAATACAATTTAATGTAATGTAATACACACATTACATGTTTATAGGAATGACTGACTCAGTGTAAATTAATCAAAGAATGTCAGGTGAGCTTAACCGGTCCAGTTTTGATTACTTTGTCCTCATCTATAATGTGCTAATGTATATGCATAGTTCCGCTCATAGTTATAATAACAAATGTGAAACATTAATCCAATAATCGCTGGAATTAATGTTTTGCCTGTTTGAACATTTTTAACAGCGCTTAAATAGATAATTGCACATTAATTATAATATCAAAGCTACCAGTCGGCGTTCTGTCGCAATGTTTAATTAGGAGCAGAAAGCGCGCACAAAAACGCACATAAACGTCGATAAATTGCGATTAACTTCGAGATTAATCCTTCAACGCATAAATATCAAATTTATGGGTGCATAAATTGAACGTCAAAAAGTGAAATTTGAAAACGCCCAGACTAAAATTAACTTTTTGCTCTGATTGCATAGACGGTATATTTTGTTTAAAAACATGAGGCGAATAAATGCGATTAATGTATTATTCGTTAGTTAAGCCATCTAGCGGAAAAACACATAAAAATGTACGGTTTTATTTGTTTTTGCGTACAGGTGTGCAGGAACATTTAAAATTAGTTTCTTTTGTAATATTTTTCTTTCAGTTATAAACTTCTGGATGTTTAAATTATCCCAAAGCCCGCAATGCTTTTGTTTTGACACAACACACAAAAACAATAAAATGCGAACAAAACTAGAAAAGCTTTCTCCGCGTTGATGACGTTTTGTTTTCAACACATCTTCTTTTGTTGTTGTATACCAACAATGCGCCGAGGGGCGCTAGGAAAAACAATAAAACATTGCGGATGTGAAAGGAGGCAAGTCGGGACCGTCTGCTCGTTTCGACGCCGCGCTTTCGGTTTTCAAATCATGTTCATGCGTTAGCTATGCATATGGTGGGTGCTAACTTGGTTGTCTGCCAACCAGGCGTACGCAAATTATATGGGGGAGGTCACGCTCGGCGACGCTCATGGCTCACATCCAACTCGTAAAGCAAAACGAGGCATACACGAAACGAATGCGAATGCGTTGGTCCCTTGTTGGAAAACTAGTGTGGAAAGCGGCTTATCGAGTTAAATACAGTGGCAGGAAATGTGCCATGCGAATTGTTCGCATCTGTACGACAGAATATTAACTATAAAACTTTATTTGGCATAATTTCTTGCTTTCTGGGGTTTCGGCCTTCTAAAAGTTAAAAATGAAGCTAATAAAACTAATTTTATGAAAGTTCGGGGAAGTTCGGAGAAACTACAGAAATCTGCAAGTATGGAGGCCTATATTGAATGTTTTGACCGTTTTGACAATGACGCGGTTAGTGCATCAAAACAACTGACAACAACGGACGTGTTTATTAAGAAAACCGAAGAAACAACAGAATAATAAGCAAGTGAAACTCTGAAACGAAGTGCGAGCTCAAACATGTAAGTTTTAATATATTTATCATGTGTTACGTTTACATTCGAACGACTAGAGTGTTGAATTTCATTTATAATATTAATATCACTTATAAACATGTGCAACCAGATAGCTCGTATGAATCTAACGTGAGTTCTAAATAAAAATAGTTGATACCAGCCCGTGACCCGTACGTGTCGTAAATAATTCGAGTCAATTTACTAAAATAATGTCCCCCCATGTTCGGCGTTTTGCTGCTCCTTATTGTAAAGCGGCCGACAGTGTTTGCACGTTGCGTATGTGTATCACGTCCGCTTTGTTTTTATCGCTATTATTTAAACGCCGCCCGAACCGATTTGTCGCTGCGCTACCTACGCTTTCGCTTTGAAAACGACGACAGTATAAAAATAGCGCGCATTGTTTTCGTTACTCGAATTCGACTTTTATTACTTTACTCCATACGTTTTACATAAATATATCATCATTCATCTTGTAAGAAGAGAAAACTGAAGACAAATTATAATTGTGTTGTTATTACAAGTGCATGTTAGGTTGCATATATTAACCTCAAACATGAACGGAACTAACCTTAAAATTTTTACATTCCAAGTAATTTTAATACAGATGAATCTCTTATATAATAATATTCATGAAATCATTCAATTTTAATGCCTTTGAAAGGCCTATTAAAACTTTATTCAATTCCACTGAAGTTTATTCATCTTTGTCGAATTGTCAAAGTAAATTCCGAGTTAATATGAGAAGACGTATGCGATGTGAGTCGTCTAAGAACTGTGCATTCATGATGAAAAGCGCTCTGACCTAGAAAATCCAGTCGCCGTAATCTTTTAACGACACAAACGAATTTTCCATGCGTTACTGGGCGAGTGATTCTCCTACATGCTTGGCTGCTGTATCCGTTTGCATTTATGTGTCTCGGGTGTCGCTTCGCGTCGTTCGGTTCGTGCTTTGATTATTACAGCGATGTGTGTCTTCGGTGTTATTAAGAACATCCACCGAATCACACACGACAGATCTTAGCACCGAGCAATTCAGACAACCCATGCATTCGGCAGCAAACTGCTCGAAATAGTAGATTATGATATTAGGAGGAATCGTTAAGACTGTGGAGGAAAATTGAAATCATCAAGGTTGCCATAAAGCAAACTAGTTTTGGATTTGATGATATATTTTGTCATATTCTGAGATTATCTGCTGGTATTTTTAGTAAAAAGAATTGTTATCATCCTAATCTCGGCGCATACTTCCGGTATTCTGCACAATTTACCAATTGCAGAGTCGGCTGAATGGTGGAACCGAAGAATAGAGTTACGTATTTTCACCAAATGGAGCTGTCCACTACAAAAGACTCGGATTTAATGTCTTGCCATTTTATTTATTTCCGACGATCATAACATATTTCTCAGCGCAACACGGTGAAGCGTGCAGAAGCATCCGAGACTGTTTCGTTTCATATTTTCCCGATATTCCTTTGCGATTCATCGCAAAATCGCAAAATCAAAACCTCTCAGAGCATTTTCTCATTTTTCATTGCGCTCGCATTTTGAGCGCGGACGGCGTCAATTTTCGGCTTTCGCATATTTCGGCCTCAGTGCATTCTTCGCCTGTTTGAAGGGTAAAAATGTTCGCGTTCGAATATTCCACGTTTCGATGGGCACGTCACTCAAATTACGGCAGACGGCGCTGACGACAAACTTCTTGCCTTCTTCCTGCATGTTTTTCTATATTCTACAAGAAGGCGCACAGCACACATCGTGCTTCATCTGCTTTTACTTCCGACTTTTCGCCACGCCGCCGCCCGGCTAGATTTTATACAGTCTGCCTCTTTAAGGGACAGTTGATTAATGACTCCATTTGCTATCATCCATTCAGCCAGTTCTTGATTATGCCTCACAGTCGCTTTTTACACTCGCGCTTATTCCCGCACATGCGCGTACAAAATACATAAAAACATCATTAATACGGCTCTGTGTTTGACCCGGTGTGCATGCTACACGTGTTTCACGTGAGATACTCGCACAATATTTCTGAAATAAAAATAGAAAGTGATTGATCCGTCCTGTCTGTCTGTCGTGCATAGTTTTGCCGTGTGTCGCAATCCGTGCCCGCGCGCCTCGAGAAAAAATATCATCAATATTAGATTAATTAAAAGTCGTAAAAATTTTATTGTTTGTCTTCGGCTGAATGGTTACATGATATGATGTTGCAACGACACGAGCCGCCGAGGTGACAAAATAGGCACTAAAACTTTTTACGAACTGGTTTTTTACGCTTTTTTATATTTCATTTCATTTCGACTTTAATATTTCATAGAGTTATGCGCGTATATATTGCATATTGCTAATATCTAATAACATTTTCGTCGCTGGCCATATAAATTATTTACATAAATATTGAATTTCATGTAAATCATTAAAATAGCCCACCAAAAAATATTTATTACATTTTTTTAAACAATCAAACAATGGAAATTTTTTAAATTTGTGCTATTTTAATAAAAAAATAAACAAAATCATTGATAAAGCGAAGTTAATTAATCTATTATCTTCTTGTTTTCATGTTTATAAAAGAAAACACTCGATAATATGCATTGACAGGTTTGTAGTAGCATCGAAAACATGATGATAACGTGCTACTTGCAGTGACACTATTTTATCAATGATGCGATACGATCGGACGAACCTACTGCGTGAATAAACGAATGTATGCTAATTTATAATACATGTGCGGTACCCACCTATCTAGTGCATACGCGTTTGATGACTTGTTTGTGCCGGTTTTAATCAATATCGGCGTACTTCCGAATTTACGATCGTTTACCACCCTCTTTGCCACTGGCGGATACCGCATATGCCTTCTTACTTATTTTCATGCGCACGAACTTTAAGCGCCGCACGCCATCTTGTTTGTGAACTTTATTATTAA